TGTTAAGTGTGACAGTTATCCGTCACACGCTTGTTGTACTGATGTTCCGTTCTGTGTATAGTTATTTGTTGTTTTTTTTTTTTTTACGCAGATGACGGCATACGAGAGTCTTTTGTGTTTTTCGTTTTGTCGTGTGCGCTTCCGTTCTTTGACAGTTGCACAAACTGCTGTGTGTGTGTGTGTGTGTGTGTGTGTGTGTGTGTGTGTGTGTGTGTGTGTGTGTGTGTGTATGTGTGTATGTTTATGTTTCTGTGTATGTATGTGTATATGTATGTATGTGCATGTGTATGTGATGTGTATATGTATGTGTATGTGCATGTGTGTATGTGTATGTGTGTGTGTGTATGTGTATGTGATGTGCATGTGTGTATGTGTATGTGCATGTATGCATGTGTATGTGCATGTGACTGTGGGTGGATGCAGGAGCCGTGCGTGGTGATTGGAACGCTGCTCAAGGATATGCCGATGAGGCCCTCAGTGCTCGCTGAGTATATCAACACACTGGAAATTCAGGTACGGCTTTCCGGCGGGGGCGGCATTGCCGTGGATGCTGAGCAGCGTCTCCACGAAGGGCTTTGCTCCGTTGCAGAGCATGCAGGTGCTGGTGTTAGGCCTCGTTGAGCGCATGCGTGCGTGCTGAGGGGGTGGGTGCCTCAGACAGCAACGCAAACGACTGCCGAGAAGGCCCCCCCTAAGTTGTTTTTGGAGGATGCGACTGCCAAGATATCTCTTTTGCCTGCTGCATCAGAAGAAGGGCACACGCCAAACGCAGCGGCATTCGACACGTCTGTGGAAGGCGTCTTTCGCACGCATGGATCCCTCAACATAGACCGCTGCGTTGCAGGCATGGTGTGTTATCCTCGAATCTCAGGGGCTGCAAAGCGGGCTGCCTCCTTGAAGTGTCTGTTCGAAGGCAATGTGTCCCACTTTCCACCTTTTCTCACGAGCAACGCCGTTAAAAGGGGCCCCTAGGGGCCCCCTAGCGGCCGGGCAGGGAGGGAGGGACGGGGGAAGGAGGAGGTGGGCAGGAGTAGTCGTAGAGCCTTTTTCGACCCCCACAGGCCTCCTCGCACCTTGTTTGCAAGCTCTAAAAATATGCAACACACCCCAATTTCGAGTGTGGGGATTTGTTTCGGTGGACTGCAGGTGGTAGCTGTACGGGGAGTGCCGCTTGGCACTGGTGCCTTTAGCGTGGAGGCCATATGCGTTGCAGGGGCCCCTGCACCGGGGCCTCTTGCAGGGGCCCCTTCGAAAGCGGGCGAGGGCGACATGGATTGCGATTCCTGCAGCGTGCAAGACACCTATGTTGCCCTTCTCTCGGGTAAGAGACTGAGAGCAAGCTTGACGCTCCAAGCGTGTGCATGCCCTCCGCACGTGCCTTCCTTTGTGCTTTTTTGGCGAGAGGGAGGGGCCCCGCATCTCACGGCGTTCTCTGTGGGGAGGGGGCGAGTCTGGTGTGCTCGTTCCATAGGCCTCCGTTTAGGGTCGGCAGTCGTCAATCCGAGAGGCCTTCAGCTCTTGAGAGACTTCCTTCTTGGCGGAGCACCGTAAGTCTGCTTTGCTTCGAGCAACCTTCCAAACGCTTCGCCGCATGTGTTGCCGGAAGAAAGCAGGGGGAGAAAGGCGGACCAGTCAGGCTTTGGCTTTGCGCATGCGCTGCACGGCCCCGCTAAGACGCTGTGCATGGCGCATCTTAGCGACCGCTAGCCACGTACTACCCACATTCATATGTATACGAACATACATGCATGCGTGTATGCATGCATGTATGCATGCATGAATATATGTATATATGTATGCATGTATGTATGCATGTATGTATGCATGAATATATGTATATATGTATGCATGTATGTATGCACGCATTAGTGTATGTATGCACGCATGAGTGTATGTATGTATATATGCATGTATGTATGCATGCATGTATATATGCATGAATATATGTATATATGTATGCATGTATGTATGCATGTATGCATGCATGAGTGTATGTATGCACGCATGCGTGTATGTATGTACGTACGCATGCATGTATGCATGCATGTATGCATGCATGTATGTATGCATGCATACGCTCTTGCAGGAGCCCTGAGCTACGCCGCCTATCCTCTCGCATTGCGAAAGTCGTGATATGTGGAAACTGCCTCGCGCTTCCCGTTGTGGCGGCTGCCTCCGCAGCGACATCGAGTCCCCATCTTAACGGAGCTTCCTCCTTGGATTCTGCTGCCTCCCTCTCAGCAGCTCTGCAGGAGGCTGACGTCTTTCTTGCACAACTGGCGGCAACAGTCTCCCTGGCCCTTATGCCGGGGCCCTCGGATCCGACAACTTTCGCGCTTCCCCAACTGCCCTTGCATGCAGCCCTCCTGCCCATTACGCGTCTGTACCGGACGGTGCAAGGCGTTACAAATCCGCACGCGTTCTCCGTGAATGGCGTATGTGCCGTCGCTCTCCTCTTGCTTGGCTGCTGCGCACTCCTTCACCGCCTTTCCCTCCCCCTTTGTGCCCCCGAATCGCCCTTCTACAAGCCGACGCCCTGCTGCGTTGAGGCCGATTCGCTAGAAGGGACAGCAAAGGCGTGTGCCTGTGCGACGGGCTCGTGTGTGCCTTCAGGTTAGATTCATTGGCAGCAGCGGCCAGCCAGTTGACAGCATCTGCAACGCAAGCGTGCTTTCCTCTATAGGTTAGGTTCTTTAATTAGACGCCCTGTAAGGCGCTTCTTGAAGGGCTGTGTGTGTGTGTGTTTTTTTTTCTTTGAGGGGGATTTGAAATGCGGTGTGTATACGTTTTTCGGTGTGCGCGTGTTCGCAGAAGCTCTAGAGCTGACGGCCCAGTGCCGTTGCTTAGCGCCAACAGCCCCTGATTCTTTGGCGTGAGTCCGCGTGTGTCTCCTCTTTGCTTTGCGTTGCTGTTGCTCTGCCGCCTGTCTCTCTCTCTCTTTCTCTCAATGCCCCGGCTTCCCGTGGACATGTTGCCTTTGGCGTTTTCAGGTGCTATCCCTTCGTAGACGAAGACCCTTTCTGCGTCTCGGGGTCGAGCAGCTATCACGTGTTTTTCGCTGGGCTGCAGAAGCACCACGAATGCCGTGTGTTGCACACAGCCCCCGGGGGGGACGGAAGAGCAGTTGTTGTGAGCGTGCCTGACTTTGGTGTCAGGGGGGAAATCGTGCTGCTCTCCCTCCGAACCTTGCAGACCCGAGTCCTTAGGTTCCATGAAGGTTTTGGAAGCGGCGCCGATAATGCATGAGAGTACTCAGCGAACTGACAGAAATCCAATTTTCTGGGGAAGCGGGAGGCCTTGTGCGCGTAGTATGGGCATGCGCCTCGAAACAAGCCTCTTGCTCGCCAGTGGAGCCCATATAGGGCTGCTCTCGGTTTCTCTGTTTCTTTCTTTTTCTAATCCTAAACATTAGAGACACACGCCCTAGAAACAGCGGAGACCCTTCACTGAGTTCCTAAAACAAAAATCCTAGAGTTCGGGGGGGGGGGGGGGAAGAGAATGCGCAAAAGGTGTAGGTATTCGTCCCGTCCGATCCATCGGCACGGCACAAACGCCCTGCTTCGGCCTGCACTTCGCATCCATTGCACCCGCTGCTTTATCGAGCCTTGCTCTCTTCTTCAGCCTCTGGGTGACAGCACCTGTGCAGGTTGTAGCGGTACAGGCAGCCGTAATCCCTGACCAGCGAGACCCCAAAGAAGTACTGCAGCGCATCACGGCCCCAAAAGAAACCCTTGTGCGCGGAAAATTCAAAATCGCTCAAAGGCACCGCAAGAGGCGCTTCAAAGCCTTGATGGGAGACGCTGGATGACAGAGGGGGACGGGCAGCAGCATCAGCACACCCAGAGGTTCTGGGGGACCAGAAAGAGGGTCGCACACTCCGCCACAAGGCCCTAGACCTCTGCACACAAGGGCTAGCAAGCAGTGTCTTGGCCTCCTCTTACAGGGTTTGCCTCAATTAAGAATGTGGACGTGGCATTCGCTATGTCCACCTTGTAGGCTCTCCCGACTTCCCGAGTCAGTACCTCAAGCACCTGCTCCTTTTTAACCGTCCCAAACCCCCGAGAGGAAAAGGCGCAAGCCCACGTTTCCAGGGGCAGTGTCAGGGCCGGATGGGGAGATGAGCCTACACACCGCCACGCAAAGGGTAGGCGCCAACGTATGAAAGACAGTGAGTGGCGCTGCAGAAATGTGGAATGCGGAGCTGCTCATGTCAAGCAACGCAACTCGTAGGACTGACTACACAGGAAGAAAGGAGGGCGCAAACAGCACTGCACTCATAGCAGAAGGCAAGCAGAAAGGAAGGGGCTCGACTAGCCACTGTGCTTGTCGTGCGTCTACGCGGTTCTCTATTGTCGCGTGTCTGTTCCATCCACCAAAGCGAAAAGACAGACACTGAGGGCTGCTCTTGCTGCTGCAGCTCACCGCTACCGCTCGACTGAGCTCCTGAGGTTGCTGTTGCCTGGGCTGCCGCTTCTCGGGGTGTTGCAGCCACCGCTATTCTTGCTTCCTCGGCATCTGTTGCTGCTGCAGGGCCTGTGGGGTCTGCTACTGCTCCTGGCGCTCCTGATGGTGCTGCGTCCTCAGGTGCCGTTTTTGCTGCGGTACCTGAGAGTGGGGTTTCTGCATGCTCTGGCGCAGCTGCGGCGTCTGCAGTTTCAGCTGGAGCGACCTGAAGATCCCCACTCGCAAGTTCTCTGTCTGGATAGCTCTTTGTTGCTGCATTAGAGAGAGGGAGTTTGAGGGCGCAAAGGCTGCGCAGTTCGGCCTCAAGGGCGTCCAACGCAGGCCCAACGCATACATCGACAGGCAACAGTCGCGAGGCGTATCTGAGGGAAAGCAAAGCGCAAAAACACACTCAAGAACAAGCTCTCAAGAAGCCGCATCGCGACTAAACATAAGCAAAAAAACCCATAATATACATAAAATAGGAAAAGCACCAGGGTCACTCGAGGAGAGGTCAGAATTCCTCAAAAAATGCGTATACGGAAAAATGAGCGGGCACCATCACGAACACAAGCAAGCTGGAGATGGGCTTCTCGTAATTCCCATCTTCCCCATTTACTACTAGGGAGAGTCTGCCCATACCGGCACGAGTATTTCCCCGGATGCTTTCTTGCGACGTGCAGCAGGCCGTGACAAATCTCGGAAGGAATATCTGAAGGGTCCGTGAAGCGGATGAAGACTACACCCTACGCACGACGCAGAAAATCAGCATGCAATGAGAGCAAAGCAAATTGTACAAAACAGTCACGAGACGAAGCCACACAGATCTTGAGGAACGCGGGGCTCAATGCGATCAAAAAGAGTACTCGGAAGATGCAACTGATACGGAGGAAGAAAGCCACAAAAGGAAAAGAGCAGCAGGCATGCATAAAGAGACAGACAGGTGCAAGTATTGAGCCAGTTGCTACGGAAGGTGCACATCGCACGCAGCACCCTGAGCAAAAGCACAAGTCTGCAGCACAAGACGAGAGAGGGCGGGCTAGACGAGAGGGACTGTGCTGGTCCCTCCGCATAGATACACAAAACAGTGGAAAAGACTTGCATGCAAGCCCACTGACAGACTGTCTACTGATAGCTGCAAGGCGATGCTCTATATTGCCCGCAGCCCAAAGCCTCAGCAATGCTCCTTAAACCGCAGGCACCACCTACTGGCAGAAGTTGTTGGTGAACTTCGAAGCGTTTGCGCTTATCTGAGAGGCTGCGCAATTCGTCAAAGAGGCCAGCGGCGACTGCATCCGCGTTGCACCTGTTTCCTGCGTCATGTTCACCGTTTCCTTTGTTGAGTGCCTCTCCCTCCCTGAAGTATACCGAAAACAACAGCGAAAGGGCATTCTTTGAGGCTGTTTCGCACCCGTGCGGAGGGAGGGCAGGCAGGCATCTACCATGTGACAAAGTTGCAGGATAACCCTGCGTCTGGTGTTCTTATGCGTTGCTGCTAGCAATCACTTGTAGCCGCATAGCAACAGCTATAACCGCCTTAACGTGCCCTCAGACCAGTGGAAACCCATGCGCAAACACTAGTTAAGCGCGAAAGAAGACTTTACCGTCCCTCGAGCCTTGAACACGTGCTGTATTCCTCTAAATACTGCGCACCAAAGCAAAGCGAAACGAAGCAGAAGCTAGATGCTACGGCACAGAGCGATACAGACCAATGGGCAAGGAAGCAAGCGAGAGACGAGGCAGCGGAGAGCAAAGGAGCAACAAAAAACATGAATAAGGCAGTGAAGGTAAATTAAGGCATCACAAGAAACTGTCCGCTGGGTTTCGACGCTGTGCATGTACAAGCACTGGCCAATTTCGGCAGTTTTTGAGGGCACCCAGACAGCCAATACAACCGAGAGCAGCGCCAAGGAGAAGACGACAGAAACAGCTGCTGATACAAAAGGGGCGCAGAAAACTTGCGACTCGCTTCTGAAGTGCAGCATCAAGAAGGCAGGCAGGCGATCTTTCTTATGGTATACGACTCAGAGATTCAGGGTCTCTCCCTTCAAATATTTCTCCGAATAAAAGCGAGAGACTGTTACAAAGGATTATGATCTTTGCATCAACTATCTTATAAGCCCACTGAAACGAAGAGGCTATGCAGTGCCTTACTCTGTCTAGGATGTTAAGGAACTCCTTGCAGGCGTCGATGGGCTGTTTGTTGCAAGTCAAAAAAACACCCTTGCAGCTTTTCCCAACCTCCAACTTCCGCCTCTGATCAATAAAAGCAGTTAAATGACAAGGCGTATGGTAACGATTGGGCAACGACGAGCAAAGAAATCAAATTGGTAGGCAACCATTACATGCACTAGGGCATTAAAACAAGGACCGGAAAGGGAAGAACGGACAGAAATCGACGGTTGAATGATTTCATAGGATTATATCTTCCCGTCAATTCATCAAATAATGAGGGGAAATGGGCTTTCTGCGCGAAGAATCCCTGTTTCGTTTCCTTCGCCTTCGATTCCCACGAGTGCCATTTTTCGGGGTGTCAATATGCTTCTTAGGCTTCCTCACTTTTGAAATGATTCCAGTCCCTCTGCCGCCACTTTGGCCTCGTTTCCTGCCGCCTCTCTTTCCTTCCTCCATTTTTAAACCCCAAATACAGAACCGATACCCTACAGCGGAGGAAAGATGTTCGAGAAAGCCTAGGCACAGGCAGATTTGGCGGGCAGCTTCCCCCGAATAAAGGAACCCTCATGTGGTTGCGAATCTGTGCCTCTGAACCTTAAACTCTAATTTAGATCTCCAGGTAAGGACCCATCAAGGCGCATGCAAGAACGCCGCTGCCGACTCGAATCTTAGCTGCCGATTGATCACGGCGCTGCTCTCAAGCTCCATGCATATTTATTGGCTGCCTCTAGAACTTCCAAACCCCATAATACTGAGAAGAGCGATGTTTAAGGTGAGGTTTCTTCAGACAAACGGTCAATCTGAGTGCTGAGCACTACTTTGTATTCAAGTACAGGCTTCGGCATAGGCCCTCGTCAGAGTCTAGGGTTTACCAGGGCATAGTGCTGACAGGGTAAGACACATCGTACAGACAAGCACATCTCTCGGTTCTTCAAATTTCTCAGAGTACATGCATTCTTTTTTTGTTCGCTTTCCCGGAGTAGTGTTCTCGACTTACGGCTCATTCGTCCCAGCATGCTGAAGCATAGTAGGTGGCATCTGACGAGTATAGCTAAGTTTGCAAATAGTTGAGTGGCCCTTTGTAATCCGCACCACTAGGGGTGCTATGCCCGCAAATTGGCGCAGCGACAAGGGAACAACTGGAGCGGCAGCGATGGGCATGAGAGCAAAGTATGCGAACGTGCCGAGAGCAGAGGAAAGTCCATGCAACTTGTAACACTCCCTCGTATGGGTTCCCGATAGGAAAACACTAATTGGTTCCATGCCCGGCACAAAGCTTCATAAATCTTTTGGGGTCCGCTCCAAAAATAGCTCCTGCCTACTGTAACGCTACCTCTTTGGTCTCCGTAGGCAGACACTAAACTCCATACTAACTATAGGTTACTGAAAACTTTGAGTATTATCCAAAGGTATTCCCTGCCTATTCTTCCCTCAGCCTTCACCATACTGGCATGAGGAAGAGGAACAGCCAATGTACACGTAGCTGCACCCTTTAAGCATTTCTAGCATTAGCAGCTGGTTGCACCTAACATCTAGCATAGACACTCAGCCCACATCATTGGTTCTCCGTACATCAATCCAAATGCATTAAGAGATAAATAAACTACTGAATTCTCTAATAAGTCTCGATCAAGCATGACTAGAGCTTTGTGGCTAAATGTGACTATTGTAATAGAAGACGCATTGGCGCAGTTTAACTCTCTGCATCTTAGCTCCCCATTACGACCACACAGCACACGTCGTCGAGCTTGCTACTTGCAAGTAACGACCAGCTGCGTAGAGGATGGGATATTCTATCTCCCTGTCGCCCTCCTGAGGCAGACGGGAACGCAAAAACTGTGTAAATGGTCAGATCAAATGTGTGCACTACCCGCCAAAGTGAAATCGAAGGTAAGAAAGAGACGTAGGCTGGCCAATGACGAACGAGGGGCCAAACGAACACAACCGCGGTGCAGCAGGAGTTAGCTCTCATTGGAGCATTGAAATATGCGGGCCTTATGTAACGATAAAGCTGGATGCAAGTGAAATATATTGAGTTGATCAGAACACATACTACTCTACAAATACATTACGCCACACCGAGCAATATCTGTAAGTCAGTTCAGCCATGAATGCAGGGTTCCCGACTGCAAAGGCCCTAAAGAGGCAAGAAGGAGAATGTAGAGGTAACATAGCCGAGAGCGTCTGCGCATACCTCCAAGTCAAGACTGACCCGAACAAAAATTACTCGAAACTTTTCAAGCAACACCCTAAAGTGCAGGCAGGTGTTTCAGGCAGAAAAAACGCACAAGAAGGGTGACTTTATCAGGAAGCGCGAGGAGTGCTATCCGTGGTGACTGGCGGTCTAAAGTAAACCGAGATAATGCACTTGCACGCAACGAGGCGTCCAGCTGTTGCTCAGTCCACCAATGACGTTGACGTCCTCCGGAAAATGTCTCTGGAAATCTCCGTCTAATGGGTTACTGGCATTGGTTGGTCTTATAATCTAGCACTTCGGCGCCTCCCTGTGGATGCTTCGCCTCGCTGCGGATCACTTTGCCTAAGCGGCAGTGTTCGTGGTTGATTCGGAATGCTTGGACGCTCTTCAGGAAGCCAATACTGAAAGTTCAGTGATGACTCCAGGTTTTTGACGCAAGTAAGGAGCTAAGGAAGAGCACTAAATCAAGAGCCAGAGGTAATTGATATCTTGCTGACCATGGCATATAGCTCAAGCTTGGTAGGAGCTCCTCGAGGAATGATTTGAAGGGTTAGGAGCCTACGAGGAAATGCTACACTTGAGCGTGTGGGATTGAGTGCAGCGAAATCCCGCATATAGACAGCTCCCATAAAAGCCGTCGTGGCAATTACTCCACACACGTGAGTCTCGCGGAAGGCCGACCCGTAGCAAACGCCCTGAGCCTTTGCAGAAATCAATAGATATCCGTACAACCCCACCCTCAGCCCCTTCCAATCTCGAAGCCAGCCACACAACCTTAGCAAGACTGGGCATTTCTTATGAGCTAGGGTTTCAAAGTTTAAGAGGCGAACGGTTTAAAGCGAAAGTTTGGTTTCTGGGGTTCCCTGCGAAGAAGCGCCACATAAAAGACCGCTGTCGATCCTTGTTGCACATAGGGAGCACACTGGTCGGGGGCTGTTCGCCGAAGGGGAACCTTCGGCTGTGCCGTGCAGTTTTCTTTTTCTGCGCTGACGATCCTTACGGAAGCGCCGCTGGCGAGCTGAAACTCGCGTCCTCCAGAAGCAGCAGCAGTGGAGGAAGGCACAGTCCCCCCTCCTCCATCCAGTCCAAGCCCATGCTCCTCCTCTAGCAGCCACGAATAGGGCGTTGCTAGACCTTGCAGCCACGCGTCATCTTCCCGCAACTGCACACCAGGTGACTTCGTAGAAGAGAAGGATGCCTGAGAACTCCCCAAATCGATGAAATCGAAGAGCACCTCGGAATGCCCTGGCATCCCTTTAGGCCCCTTGATGCTCTCGCGCAGCAGCTCAACGGCCTTGCGTAGCTGCTGGCGAGCTTTCGAGTGCTGCTGCTGAGAGTGCTGCTGCTGCTGCTGCTGCTGTATTTCGAAGAAGCAGTAGACGCGGGCTCCAGTCGCACATTGCGAGTGGAGCTGCCTGAGGAACTCGAAAGAGAGCAGCGTATGGCCCTCCCCCCGCGTTTTGCTGCTGTTGCCGCTGGAGAGAGAAACGTAGATTGAGGCTTCAGACAAGAGGCCCTCTGTTGCGAAGAGAGACGGCACGAGAGACGGGTGTGCTAGGAGGAGGCGCAGAGCTGGGAAAGAAGACGTACAACCCTCCACGAATCCGAAGCACCTGCAGCGGCGTTCGCAGCAGCAGGCACAGTGCCCCCCCCGCGAATGTAGGTAGTACAGCGTAAAAAAACCACGCCGAGTAGCCGGAAGCCCTCATGAACGAGAAGACGCAGTGCCTTACCTTGCTGCTCGCGCGAAGACCGCATGCAGAGTATGGGGATCTTGGAAGCTTGCGATCGTGTTGACGTTGCTGTGCAGCTGCAGCACGCGCAGCAGGAAAGCAGGACCCCCACAGGTCCCCGATCCGAGCATCCAGAGCGTGAGAGGAGCTTCATGATCAAAGTTCAGCCACTGGTGTGCTTCAGGCGGGAAGATTTTTCGCTTAAGATTCCTGAAGATATCACGGAGGCAGCGCAGAGCAGCGGCGCACATCCTCAGGCAATGCTGCGTGAGCTGCTTGCGCTGCGAATTCGGCTCTCGCGGCTCCGCGAGAAGGCCCTCCTCACCTTCGTGAGGCGAAAAGTATGCCTGGTGGGTTCCAATTATACCAGGAGGCCCCTGTTGCGAGTTGGTGCCCAGCCTCCTGCTGCTGCTGCTGGAGAAGCCTCAGCAACGCAGCCTCGTGGCTTTTCCAGTAGCTCAAAGCCCTATGAGATCGCCGTAGACTCGCGGTCCCACAAACAACGCTCCAGAGGCCTCCAATTTGTCTCTTTGGGGGAAAATAGCGGCTCCGCCGTTGCGCGTCAGGAAGTTGAAAAGGCCTCCACTGAGCAATCAAAGGCGGAGCAGTGCCATGCTGGGGGAGCAACCGAAGGCAGGGAGACCCTATCCTGGGAACGCTGCTCCCATGCAAGTGTTTGAGGCTGTGCATCGGCGGACGAGTAGGGGGAAAGGGGGGCAGAGTATGCCGCAGGAGTTTTTTCTGCCTCCCCCAGGTGCCCTTCAATTCAACACACGCATCGTTGCGGGGACCCCCTTCCGGCAATTGTTCAATCGTGCAGTCCGCGGAGAGAAGCTCTCTCTTGCGCTCTGAGCTCAACACGCAGTTCCAGAATGTGCTGCTTTGGAGCTTCTCGCGGCGTCTGCAGACTGGAGGGGCCCCCAGGAAAATCTGCCCTGAGGCCCCCCAGTGGCGGGGCACTTCAAACCGAGGGAAGAATGTCGCGGAGGTCCCCCTTGCCGAAAGAATTGAGCTTCTCTATATTTTGTGAATAGAAATTAAAAAGCATTCCGGTTTGGGTGCTTCATTCTCCAGGGATGCCTCAGAGGGAAGGGCTGAGATCTCCCAACCGGCCCAGGCGAGAGACTGCTGTAACCAAGGGCCCCCAGAGGCAGCGCCTCTGTCATCCGAATTCGTCTAGGGGCCCCTATGAGAAGTTGTTTCACAACACAGACGAGCCTTTTAGGGGTCTGACGAGTTGCAACCGGAGGGGGCCCTCTGGCCACGCACTTGGGGCCCCACACCACTGTACCCTCGACTCCCATGAAGAGCTTCTTCTCCTGTGTCTGCTTTCCCTTTGCAGCGTGTATTCTTTAATACGCGCGCCGCGCGCAAAGACACCAAGGGCCCTAAGAGAATTCATGCCCATCTTCGATGAGGCAGGGGGATGGAGCCGAGGTCTCATTTAGTGACCCCTGTAGGGGCCATAGAAATCCCCAATAGATGACCTAGCGTTCTCTTGGATGTCACCGATGAAATCTGCTCCCTAAAATCTGTTTGATCAGTTTTTAGTATTTTATTGAATTCTTGGTAGTGTTTGTCGGCATTTGAGTCAACTTGGGCAGCAGCTACTGTGCAGTCTCAAGTCCAGTGTCTCGATCCGAAGTGCACTGAAAAACTCCAGCTGCACACGTGTGAACTCTCTTTGAGATTAGAGGCCCCCCAATAGTGTAACCCCCATTAGTCATATGAGGCCTTGCCTCCTAAGGGTCTCCCCTGTGCGCTGAGGACCGCATATCCAAGCAACCCAAGATCCTTCGTCTATCTGACAACATCAAAAGGCCCCCACCCCACTAGACAAAATGCGCTACTGAGGATGACGCATCTAAACCCCCTAGAGGCTAGTCGCTGCGGTGCATCTAGGGCGTCATCAGACGGCCTCAAATTGTATGGGCTCCCTGCCTTATGGATCCCGCACCAATTATCTACGAGGCCACAGTCTCTGAAGCCTCTGGTGGCTCTTGAACTGACGGCGTGGATTGAGCACCCTCGATCGCAGCGGGCTGGGGAAGAGGGCCTCCGACCTCTGCTGCTAGGAGCCTCTTGCCCATGAATACGACTTCCCGGCGCATAAGCTCGTCTCCCATCATCTGCAGCAACAATCGCAACCTCCGCAGCTGTGCACCCTTGAGCCCCTCATGGTCTGACGCGACGCATTGGACGCTCACTTTTTCCCTGAGCGAACGGCTGCCTACACGGCAACTTGGGGGCAGGGGAAAGCTCTGCCCTCGGCAGACTCCAAGCGTTCCTCACAAGCGCCAAGGCAATGCAGTCTGCTTGTGCGCCGTCTGCTTCACGCTTGAGATGCTGCAGGCTTTCTTCGAGGTCATCGATGCGGCGCATATCCTGTGCACGAGCATGCCACAAACACGCGCGCAAAGAGCACCCTGCAGGAGGCGGGCACTTCAGAGGGGCCCTTCGATGAGTAATTCTCTGTCTGTCTGCTGAGCTTCCCCGAATACGGGAAGGGCGTGAGGACTGCGAGGAGCAGCAAACTAGGAGGCGAGCACTGGGAAGAGGTCTTGGGGTAGGCCTTAAGACGCGTCGCGAAGCCTCACCTCCTCCATGAGAAGTGTCACCAGCTCCTCAAAGCGGCGGTCCTCAGTTGCCTTGTCGACAACCATGCCCTCTGGAGTCTGCTGCTGCTGTTGCAGCAGCAAATCCTGTATCTTCTGCTGCTCCAACAGCCTGCAAAAACGCAAAGGGTAGGCGCAACACCCGACTGGCGAGCTAGCTGGCCAGCTAGCAGTTCCTGAGCGCTCTGTAAGAGACTTCCTCGGCAAGCCCCTACTCGAAGGCCTTACCAGACTGATAAGAGGCCAAACCATCGAAATCTCTCCTGCACCAAATCCAAGAGATCTTCTAGCTTCTGCTGAAGGTCTTTGGGCAAGGAGAAATCCTGCAGCAGAAGGAGCAGACAATGCGTCAAAAAAAGCAGCAGCTCCATCCTCCCGCACACCCCCATTTTCAACGGTCCCAGCGGCATCTGGCAAGGGCTTGCACGCACTTGCTTCAGCTTTGCCACGAAGTCTTTCGGCCGAAATTCATTCCAGCGATCGAACCCATCTCTGCGCAGAACAAATCGTAGGCAGGCGAAGAAGTGGGAAGGCGACTTGGAAGGGCCCGTCATTCACACGCACCGCTTCTTCGGCACTCATTCTCATTCCTGCACCGGCTGTTGCTGCTGCTGCTTACTGGTCAGGAGCATACAAGACAAAGGTAGGAGTTGCACGCGTCACTGGACACTGAGGCGGGAAGTCATTCGTGTTGAGATTCAGACGCTTCAGAACCAAGGGCACCTAAGCGGCACAGACGCCAGCAACAGCACAACAATAACCCTTGGGATCGATCACCCGCTGCACCCTGCACTGGCGAGAGGAAAGGCCTGCAAAGGTCCTCTAAGAGAACAAGGAGCAAGTTTCACCACGCCAAAAAATCGCAAACAGACGGTAGAGGAGGGAGGCAGGAACCTGCATCCTCGCCACCTCCCCTCCTTCCTATCCCCAACGCAGTCTAACCAACATTGCCGCTGTCAAAGCGCCAGCTCGCTTAGAGGCCTCCTTTCCCCTGGAGCGTGTTCCCTGCTGTTTGCTGTCTCTTGCTATCGCCTCCCAGCCTCTTCCCTCTTAGCCCGCTGCCACCCCTGCATGCTGCCTCAAAAGTCGAGATTGTGACTAGAGCTTGCACTCCCGCTTGAGGCCAGTGCGCAGCGTTGCAGAAAAGAGGGGGAAGTGGTGAGTCGCTCTTCCACACGCATTGGCAGTGCTCTACGATAGACGCCGTTTCCTCCAGAAAGGCGGCAGGGAGAAGCCCTCGGATGCCACTAGACCCCCTTACCATATTACAAGGATCCCCTTCTTGCCGTATTGCAAGAATGGGAGAGAAAGAAGAAGGATCTGGGAAGTCAGCCTCCCGAGCCGAGAATGCACATGCAGACCAGAGATGCGCAGAGAGTAGCATGGCAGAAGGCAGCATACCTCATATGCTTTTAGCAGTTTAGACACCGAGTTAATGAAGGGCCGCATAAGGAAGCAGAGGAAGCAGCCATCTTCATAGAGCTGCAGCAAGACGCGATCCCCTCCTTTCGCCGCATCTAGCACCTGAAAAAACGCAGCAAATGCAGCATGTCTTCACAGGCCATCAGGCTCCTGCAGTAAAGCATCACCTGTGGCTGGTGTTAAGGTGGAGGGAAGCGGCACTCGCCAATTAGAAGGGAGCTTAGCCTGGCTCTGAGTCTAAGCAGAGAAGGCTCCCTGTCTGCGAGAGAGAGCAGCAAAAATAACCAGAAGAAGAGCAGCAGCCAGAGCAGCAATAAAGGTAGCAGCAAGAGTAGCCTCAAGAGCAGGAGCAATAAGAGTAGCATCAAGAGCAGCAGCAATAAGAGTAGCATCAAGAGCAGCATCAAGAGCAGCAGCAATAAGAGTAGCATCAAGAGCAGCAGCAAAAGTAGCAGCAATAAGAGTAGCATCAATAAAAGTAGCATCAGGAGTAGCAGCAATAAGAGTAGCATCAAGAGCAGCAGCAAAAGTAGCAGCAATAAGAGTAGCATCAATAAAAGTAGCATCAAGAGCAGCATCAATAAAAGTAGCATCAAGAGCAGCAGCAATAACGGCAGCAGCAAGAGCAGCAGCAAAAGTAGCAGCAATAAGAGTAGCATCAATAAAAGTAGCATCAAGAGCAGCAGCAATAAGAGTAGCATCAAGAGCAGCAGCATCAAGAGTAGCCTCACGAGCAGCACGAGGAGCAGCAGCGAAATCTACGGTAAGAACAGGTGGGAGGCGTGTGTTCACATCATGTACTTCTGTTTGGAAGGTGTTGTATGTCACACGAGTGGGAAGTGCCTTTTGCGTGAGCAGCTCATTCTCTGCGGCTTGTGAGGCCTCGCTCTGAGGCGAGAAGAACGCATGCAGCTGGGGCAAAACGTAAGCCTCCAGAAACGCATCTACAGATTCGGTGCTGGTATTGTTTGCAGGAAGGTTGCCTCTAGCATTCAAGGCTTCACTGCTGACTTCGCTGTTGATTGCACTGCTGACTTCGCTGTTGATTTTACTGCTGACTTCGCTGTTGATTGCACTGCTGACTTCGCTGTCGATTGCACTGCTGACTTCGCTGTCGATTGCACTGCTGACTTCGCTGTCGATTGCACTGCTGACTTCGCTGCTGACTTCGCTGCTATTGGCAGAGCCGCTGCTGGATTTGCTGCTCGAAAGGCCTTCCAGCAGCCTCGCCTCTTCCGAGTCTAAGGAGAGACGTTTCTTCCTTTGGCCCTTGTAAAGCATCAGTGCGGGTGCCTTGGAGTCTTTAGAGGCCCCTTCACTTTCGCCATTTCTGCAGGAGAACGGAGCAGCAGCTGCGATGACATTTTGAGCGAAGTGGCAACACAGCTCCTTCGCAGGGAGAGGTGGCATTAGCGCAGGAGAAGGCCTCACCTGAAGGCGTAAAACAAGGAGATTGTTCTGGGTAGAAGCTTCTGCTCGACGGCATCCCCAATGTGGGCCCTCAGCTTGGCAATGAGAAGTTTGCGAGTCTCCGCGTCGGAGGGGCCCCCCAAGAAGAGCACCACGAGGTCGTCTGTCTTGTCGAAAAGCTCATCGCGCATCTGACTCCAGCCCGTAAGGGGGCAGCTGTCTTTCTCGCTGCTGCTGCTGCTCTTGCGAGGGGCGAAAAAAAGGGCCTCAAAGGGGGGGGGTGGAGCAGCGGAGCCTTTATTCAGAAAGCTCCACGAGAAAGCGGCCATGCCCAGTGCGCCAGCCGCCAGCGTTAGGGGCGTCCAGAAGCCGTGATCACCCTCCTTGCTGCCAGTGTGTTTCTGGCTGCTGTCATCGCTAGGGGATTCTCCTGCATGCGGAGAAGTAGCGGCCTTCGTGGAGGTACACGAAGCCGTCGAGAAGTGAGCCGCAGCGCCCATGCCAAGCCACAGCCTCCCTACATGCCGCGGAAGTTTGACGTGCGGTAAGGGGGCTGCTGTTGCTGCTGCTGCTGCCGCTGCTGCTGCTGCTGCGGATCCGCCTGCTGTACTTGGCGCATGCGCTGCGGCAGCAGCCACCAAGTACCTCGGGACCAGCATTGAATCCCTCCTCTTGAGGCTCTACACACAGGGGGCTTCCACGCGGCATGCACAAGCAGCTGCTCACCAACGTTAGCTGCGTTTCGCTTTGAGTCACTGGCTCAAACCCACGAGTTCAAAAGGCGTGGCGTGGCCAAAGAGGCGCGCAGAATCCGCCAGAAAGAAGAAGGAGCAGAGAGAGAGAAGGTAGTCTTTCTCGGGAACCCCCTCCTGCTGCGTCACCCGCTCAGGGGCCCCCACGCCTCTTGGCTGCGCAGGGGGCCCCCCCTCCGACTCGGGGACCCCTCACCATGCACAACTTTAGAACAGATCCTTTTCAGCGGACTCATGACCATACGAGAAAATCCCTCAGCAATATTCCTCCTGCTTATACAAGGCCCTTCGATGGCTTGGCTCCTGGGGATCCAGAGTCTGTCGAGAAGGCCTTAATGGCCTTATGCTGCATCTAGAAGACTCAACAAGGTCTAGGGTGCCCCCTAATTTCTTTCTGGTGCCGTGAAGCTGCTCTTCACATTGCCTCCGATTGTCAAGCCCCTCTGCGGCAGGGGGGCGCCCATCGATCCAGCTGGTTGTACACCTGGGTTTTACACGGGTTCCTTCATCTCTGTAATTTCCCCTAGAAAAAGCTCTTTTCTGAGGTTTGCCAAGGCCTTTTTGATAGAATTTTTTTCGATAGAAATGTCCTGATCCAGCGCAACCTGCCACTTCCTTGGAAGCTTTCGAGTAGTTCCAAGTGCCCTCCTCTAGACTCTCGTTAGGCCGGCATAATACTAGCCACACACACACACACACACACATACACTCGCATGCACACACACACACACACACACACACACACATACACTCGCATGCACACACACACACACACACTCGCATGCACACACACACACACATACACATACACTCGCATGCACACACACACACATACACTCGCATGCACGCACAAAATTTCGTAGAAAGTTATTACATGGTCGTAGAAAAAGCCCTCTCTCCTTGTCCGCCTGCCCATATTCAGCCCTTAAGAGTCCTTTGACAGACGGGCGAGGTTGCTCTTTCAAATTGTCTGCTACATTAATGATGCCCAATTAGAAAGGACCAGTAAAAAATGACTAATTGGGCCGACTGTTCGCGTATCTGCTCTAGTGCAGAGTGCTGTCGGCTCGAAGGCAGAAAATGCAGCTTTATGGGTGTTCGTACGGTACATGCAATATGTAGGTAGCTATATATGGCTGGAGTGCCTAAAGGGTGCAGCTACTACGCGCATGCTGACAGACATTCTTTCCTCATGTCAGAAATGTGAGGCGTTTCGAAAGGCTACGACGCAAGCTCTTTTGGAAGCACTTAATAATATTGTGGACTAGACGTATTGAGTTTGGAATTAGTTGTCTTCTACCGGGGTCCTTAGAGGAGCATCGCATCTTCAGCGCAAGAGGGGCGGGGACCGCCGAAGTGCATCGGTGTTGCTGCCTTTAAATGCTCACTCCGAGCATTCAGAGCTGGTTGGAAATGAAAGAATATAGCGCAGAGGCACGCAGCACGGATTCTAGTCGCAGCGTTCGAAGTACCTGTCCTTCGGAACCAAGAACAATAAAACAGCCAGACCTGCTAGCAGTCAATTCTTGATATCGTTTCTGTATTAGGTACAGCAAGTGTGGTAGGACCTCGGCCAAGTGTTGCTTAGCCAGCAATACGGGGTAATCATCCTGCCCTATTTGAAAGGGGCCTCAGGACGCCTTTAGAGCTCATGAGGGAAGGGAAAGGGACCGTTAGGCTAGCCTGATGCTTCTACCTTCAGTCTGTTAGGCTAGCCTGATGCTTCTAACTTCAGCCCGTTAGGCTGTTTCCTAGCACACCACTGCCTACGCAGAAAAGGCTGTTGTGTTGATGCATGTGTGGCCGGGCAAACCGTAGACCCTTGCTTTATTATAACACAATGAAGTGTCCCAACCTTCGCATCAGCCGCTCCTATGAGAAAACGGCTTCAGTTGGGCTCTTGGTTTTCTAGGCGTTCGAGTTTGACACTTCCCAAGGAAATTTCAAGGGCCCAGCATCGCGGGCTACCCGGGACCCCACAGCACGGCAGAAAGCGGAAAAGAAGAGAGGCAGCGATACTCGGTCGTCTTTTTCTGCTTCTTCCTGCTGTGGATTCTGCTGCTGCTGTAGTGCTGCATCGAAGGCAATCGTGAAGTCCTCTTCGGATAGCAATGGTGTTGGGTCAGACACAAACGCCCACAATTGCTTTCTTGTCAATAAAATCCCCTGAGAATTCCCTTGGGACCCTCCCTGAAGCCCCCGCTGCAAGAGAACTTCCCACTTACTAGGTGGGCGTAAGAGTTCCCAGACATGGTCGTCTTTTTGATTGGCAGTATGCTGTTCTATTTGCTGCTGTTGACAATTCTTCCGCTGCAACGGGTGCTGCGGCAACTGAGGGTGCTTGTGCAGGTGGTCCTGCGACTGTTGCTCCGGGTCTTGCATGCAGTCGGCCACAGACACGGCATCCTTCTTGGTAGATACTCCGAAGGCGAAACTCTCCGTTAAACCGTCTAGTGGGCACCGCGCTCCTTTCCTCAGGATGGTGTCGCTCTCTTCAGAGGGGCTCTCCCAGCTGTGCTCCCACCAGTCAGGGGGCCCCTCTGCGAGAGCGCTCTTGCCTGGGACCCTCTGAATCCTTGAAGCAAAGACGGAAGCAACTGCAGCTTTTTCGATCTTTCGCTTTTGTTGCATGTTCTCCAGTGTCTGCCCCGGGTGATTATCAGAGGGTGGGCCTTCTTGCTCGGTGTCCTTTGCCTGGTACGAACCACCAGTCTGGGGGCCGTGTGTGTCACCCCAAATACACTTCTTTGCCTGGTCTGATTCATCAGGGGTTTGCTTGACACCGCAACATACGTCGTTGGAGTGATGTGGATTCAAACCTGTCGCAGATCTCCCAAGAGGCATTCGTTTTCTACTTCTGTAAATGGCTTCTTCTTGCTCTCTAAGAAATTTCTGGACGAAGCTTTCTGGGGTCCCCCCTAGGAGGTCCCCTTTAAGGGCGTCTGAACGCATCTAGGGTTGAGGGTGTCCCCGAAAAGCCTTTGGGCGGCCCCAGGAAGTAGCAGGAGGCCCGTATAGCTTAAGAAAACCTTCAAAGAGGCTATTGCCTGAGTATCAACAGGATTATTCACTCTCTCTTCACCGGTTTTCTCCGAGGGTTTGCGTCTGTCCGCTGTGCCAGAGTCCTGCACCTTACCTCTAGGGATTAGGGGCCTACAGCCTACCACAGGGAAGGAGGGTGGATCCTTGGAGACCCTTAAGAGGATTTTCCAACAGGAAGTCATACAGGCTATGGCGGGGCTAACCATGGAAGCCACAGTGCGTGTTTTCACAAAGTCATATCCACGCAATTCTAGAGGTTGCGCTGCCAACAGATAAATGGCAAGCCACGGTTAGGGCCTAAGACTACAAAAATAAGGCATCACGTCCCGAGAATGGGGTCTGCAATCGAAACAAAATGGAAACAACGGATGCTTGAGACGGGGTGCTCTAGAGTCCCTGGTTGTTGAGTACGCAGCTTACGCTATTTATATTAAGATTTAAAATTTATGACATCACTTTCATCAGCAAGGCGTAAGACCATTTTACTTAGACTGATTAAACTGGCTTCGGCTCGCGCAGTTTGGGTCTTTGCTTCAGTGTTGTCGCCCTCCGACCCCTAGGGTCACTTGGAATCCCCCAGCGGGGCCCAGAGGTCCACATGAATTTCTCCCCTTTTATGTGATAGCGAGAGAGCATCTGGTTTGCAAACAGAATGTGAGTGCCTTGCACTGACACCACGAACACTGCTATAGGGCCTTTCTGTTCCACGCTATCGAGCCCCTAGACGAGCAAATGCCTCGGGAAATGCCAAGGTGCTGGAATGCTTGAATGCTATAGGGGATAAGCACCGCCAAACAGAGTTGTTTTATGCTGAAGTGTACGCCCAATCCTTTTGGCGGCGTAGTAGTATGCTGAAGTGAACTGTTCTAAAAGTTGCAGTGTTTCGACGACCATTACGAACGGCTGGTGCAACCCTCCCTACACTCGCTTAAGTGAAATAAACTTACGCACTAAAAGGAGAGACAAATCTTTGGAGGTGATCGAGCGTACGAGCGGAGGCTGGCTATATCGGCAGGGACGACGCCGATCTATTTATTGTCTGCTTGCGGTGTGTCCTTCTCGAAGCCGAGGAAGCAGACCAGATGGTCGTGTTACACTCTAATATTACAGTTCCAGCTGTACAGCTTTACCTAGAGAATATACGTGGATCCATCACCACTAGTATGAACGCTGCTTGATGCCCTCACCGTTACCTGCGAAATTCTTACAGCCTGTCTCATTTACTTGGAAGGCTCCTTCTCACATTAAAGTCTGAGCTTATACACTGTGAGTGTGTGGGTCGTTTGGTCCTAAAACGAAAACTGTTTCCTCTAGGTGCTGTAGGGCTCCGGTTGCATGAAGTCCGTCTTGGTTTTCTTTGCTAGCTGTCCTCTTTAAACACCAGGCCAGCACATGAGCTAGGAAGCACGAATCTGCCGCTGCACTAATTCCATCCTTCAGCCGTCCGTCGTACAGCTCTCGGCTCGAGCCTCTGCACGGGGACAGTCTTTTTTAGTGAGCCTGCTTCGCGCCTGTACAGTTCTCAACTGTTATAATCGCTTCTGCTGCTTCTGCATCGCCCTTTTTGTCAGAGGCACAGGTATTCATGGCTTTAAATGCAAAGAGAGGCAAGCTTTATGAGAGCAGACACAGAAACAGACCGGCGAGCAATTAAGCAAGCAGTGGCAGAGGCCAGGGAGCGACAATACAACAAAGGAAAGAGTCAAGCGAGCTGAACCGTGTACTCCACTCTCATGAGCTGCTCACATTAGTCTCGTGTGAGCGCAGCTCTACTGGTGATTGCATCCAATCAATATTAAGAGTGTCTTGAATGTACGAATCAGAGATTGTCCAACAATGGAGAGATCATATCCTCTTCCTTTGCCCTTTTGCATTAACCCCCGCTGCCCTTCTTTGTTGCTATGCTGCAATCAAAATTTGTTGCCAAAAGACTCGACACTAAGTACTGTTTAAGCTCATGCCAATGATTTTCTGTCTCTTCTTCTATGTTAGGAGGTCTCTGCGCTCTTTTTTCCTTGTGCATGTTACTGTCGGCGCACATATGGTTAAACACGTGGGTCTTTGCTCATGCCTGCGTATCGACTAAAGAGCGCCCCTCCTTTAAAATGAAGAGCAAACTATTCCGGGGCATCGAGCGTAGCGTGTGTAAATTTATGCACACACTTAAGGCCGTATACATACATGGATTATCATTACCTCCTCCTCTATTACTGCCAGAGGCAGCAACTGGACACAACTTTCTTGCGGGTTGCCTATTAACCTTCACACACATATTTATCAGTCCTTGTATGGCTGCAGGTAGCTCTCGCCAGCCGTGTAAAACGGCGGCTAGCTGCAGGTAGTGGCAAGCCTTATATGAACGTGCATGCGAGCTTCAAAGCTAATGTGATAAATTGATGCACACCGTCCCACCAGCGTTGGGGGACCTGCGTAGAGGAAAGAGGCCAGCCATGTGCGCATGAATATATCGGCTTACAGTGCAATAAGGCATAGGCCACTAGGATTCAAAACAAAATGCGCTGAGTTGGTTCGATACAGGGTCTAACGTGAGAAAGTGAATAGCTAGATCAACATGTTGAGGCTGAAGCACTTGAGGTTTCACAGTGCGTGGCGAAAATGGCATCCCACGGTGCAAAGCAATCGCTCTGGGGCCCCCAAGTCAAGGAGTCCGTTGTATCCCTGTAATGGTCACTCGAAAGGACCTCCTGGGCAGAAACAGTTAAAAATATTGACTGTCACAAGTACTGGAAAGCCCAAGGTTGAGCTAAATGCGATTTGGTGGTTGCTCTAGTGAGCTTCGAGGGATTTTAAAGGCATTGAGCCACGGTTCTTCTCCCTTTTGGGAGGCGAGCGCTACGAAGGCAAGAGCAAGCAAGGGAACGAACCATGGAAGACCTCCAAAGATGTTTATTTGCAGCAAGGAGAAGCACGCGAAAGCTTCCGACCAAGCAGCGTTTGATTTCTTTAAGTGTCCCTTGATTCTTCGGTGAAATCAATGCGAAACCTTTCGCTGTGCGTGTACAGAGTCAGTATCTGTATGGGCTTCGCTCCCCACTGCACGGGGCAAGCGGGCGAGTATCCCTCTCCCTCGCCCTCGGCGGTTAATATCATTTAATGCTTTCTCAGTAAGAGCTGACAGCCTCGGTGGATTAATCGGGAGATCCTAAACTGTATTCACTGATCGTTCACTGCAACGCCTTGCTGATACACGCGCACTTCTACTACTGGCTGTAGAAGGCAAGCCGGGGCATCGCACTCCCGGTGTGTGTATTTTGTCTAGTGTTGATTCAACCCATTATTTCAGACGCCATATCGATTTCTCCCGTGTTTTCCTAGAAGTGCATGAGTGTTCTTGCTCGGCTGGCTGGGCTGTAGCGACAGTAGTGGGGCGCTGCCTCAGAGGTGTCCTCTAGTAGCAAGGCCCGCACATCAAAACTTGACTTCCTAGATGGAAATACGGTGACGAGTCCATTTCCCAGTGCTTCTACGCCTTAATTTCGGAAGACCAGTCAAGTCCTTCTTCCGTCCCCGAAGCACAACTCAGCTCGTCAACCAGCCAGCGCGAAGCAGATCGTCCTTTACCCAAGAATTTCTGAAGTACACATTGTAAATAAAGCCTGGAGGGAACAAAACCAAGGCCGGAGAATAAACAGAGTCTTGGAGGACTTATCTAAGTTCCCACTGTGAAGAAAACACGAAGCCAACCCCAGACTTATGGCCACCCCTGACGGCGAATTGATTGGGATCAAGCCATAGGGTATTCCCTCATCATTCGGCCTAAGAAAGGGCTTCTGATGCCGCTGGTTTGTTTTTTAGTGCAGCGTCCGGCAGGTTCTCGGGTTTAGCGCCACTCTTCTCTGGATTTTGCTAGCCTCAGGTGAGAATCCACAAGAAAGATTGCAAAGACGATGACGTTGGCCTACGAGCTGATTGCGAGCTCACCTCCTGCTCCTCATGCAGTCTCTCCTCTTGCGCCCCTGACTCTGGTGGTCGTACATGGCATGCTGGTTGACAGAGCATCCTTGAGGCCCTTTTGCCAGCTTCTATCAAAGGCACTCGCCGGGTCCTCCATTCCAGCATCCGTGTATCTCGTTGACTTGCCAGCTCACGGAGACTCCCCCTCCTGCACGCCCCTGTCGGTAGTGTCCATGGGAGAGCAGCTGTTGTCATTCTTGGCGTCTCTGAACCTTTCCCGCTGTTTCCTCCTTGGCCACAGCCTGGGAGGGCAGGTCTGCATGGCTGCAGCCCTTGCAGACATGGGAAACATTATCGGAGGACTCTGTGTGATAGACATCTCCCCAGTAAATTACTTTCTGGATTCGCTGCCTCTGCCCAACGTCGCGGGAGAGCGAAACATCGTCGAGCTCTTCGCCTTGTTGGCCACGCTGGACGTGGACGCCTTGAAGACCAAACAGCAAGCAGTGGAGGCACTCCAGCAAAAGGACGCTCAAATTACGCAAAGCGAGGCAGATTACTGCCTCAACCTCTTGCAGGAGCAACATTCTGGGAAAGGGGGACCCTTGGCTTGGCGCATGGACTTGAGGGGCCTCGCCGACGCACTCCAGAGCAAAGTCCTATGCTGGAACATCCCCAGGGGATCTTCGGGCAAGGGGGGAGTTTTTGTAGGCCCCATGCTGCTGGTGCGAGGGGAGCGATCCCCATGGGTGAGTGTTGAGCGGCACGAAAAAAGGATCTTAGAGCTGTTCCCGAAGGGCAGAATCCACACGCTGGCAGGGGTGGGCCATGTGCCTCAGATAGACGACCCTGAGGGCCTTCTCAAGGTCGTACTGCAAGCAGTGAGCCAGTGGGCAAAGCTTTCCTAGCGAAAGGCCTGAAGAGAGTAGAGGGGCTAGGGGAGTAGAAGAAAGAAGGCAGGGAAAAGAGGCGCAGCGCGGGAACGGAAGCGATATGCCGCCAAGGGTGAAGAAGGGGGACGCCAAAGTGTCAGAAAGAAACCACGTTCAGAGGGTTCGGTCAAATGTACATACTCCGTCTACCAAGCAAAAGGAGCTCTCAGGAAATACAAGAGGGTGGGAAAAGGAGAGGAGTAAAGGGGCTTCTAGAAAAAAGAGCGACTGCGCTTTCATTTTGTTGCTTGCCAATCTATTGGCGTCACATGTATTGGCCTAGGGCCTTGATTTCCAAGGCGGCGCCTACAGACGGAACCTCTAGTTGGTCTACGTAGGTGTATGGGCATTTAGGTTGACCCTCTCGGAAACACCAGATTATGGTGTCTTCAAATTGCAGTTTGACGTGCGTTTCGCCGGTGCCTTGTCCCTTTTCCATGGAAAGAGGATTGCGGCCTCCAGGCTAGCTACCGACTGCTCTGTGTGCTCATATGCATACATGTCGGGTGTGCCTCCTTCAGCCTCCCCACCGCACGTCTTTAAGCAGGAAGTTCCTGCGCAAGGACGTCAAAAGTCTCGCTTTTAATGCTTGAAGGGCGAAGGCATCCCGCCCTCGCCCTTTACAGACTGACTTTCTTCGAGCTTGGCTCCAACTGCCTGCCTCCACACTGCATGCGGCAGGACCTCCGTTGGAAAGTTCTGGACGCACTTCCACGGATCGGCTTTCACCGGCGCACCAACTTCCACGCGTGCTAACAAGGCGGAGCATTCACGCGAAAAGAGGGGCGAGAAAGGCCTTGCCTCAGCTGTTCGATTCTTCTTTCTATTTCGCAAGGGAGAGGTCTAGATGCACCAAGATGGTCCCTCTAACTCCTGGTGGTCAAACCGCGCATTGTACTTCTGCACTTATGGGGGTTCTACCAGTCTTCACACGCCTAGATGTTCAGGGTGTCTGCCTATTTCGATTGATCCCCGCATCCCTATGCACAAGTTTAGGTATATTGGTCTGCTAAACCTCGATACACGCGTCCATATTTACTGCCTTCGTAGGCAGCTATCTCGTTTCAGAGAGAGTACGCGGGAAATGAACATATGCAATAGCCTTCTGCTTCGAAAAGCGGCGGGCTGCAACAAGCCACCCGCACGCACCTAGCGTTTATCAACAACGAGGAGACAGTACGAGCAGGAAGAGAGCTGGAGGGCGCACGGCGTCCAGGTCCTCAGCAAACCCTAGCACTTCCATTTAGACTAGTTTTACCAGCACACGACTCAACTTCTGGGATAGAGCAGGAGTGTTGTCGCTATGCAGCTAGCCAGAGGGGATTAAATTGCACGCTAGCTCGCCAAACGAGTTGTGTCCCCGTTGCGACGAATGGGTGCCCGCAATTGGTGATCCCGCACTGCGGCTATGACTAGCTAAAGAGCCAGCGAGCACCTTCTCACGCTGCCAGCAAGAGCTTTAATCTGCAGACTCCGAGCGAGGCCGCATACCCCGAGATGGGGGCGTACCGGGGTGCTGCGCGCCTTGTTGGAGTTACAGCTCTAAGCCCGGCTTGTGGGGTCTTGTGGGGGAGATATACGGCTGCTGCTGCTGCGGTTGCTGCTGCACGGGGGGCTGCTGCTGCTGTTGCTGTTTGAGCGACAGCAGAGGCTGTCCCCGGTGCGCCTTGTCTTCGAGTTCCTGCTGAAGTGGCTCGTGCAGCAGCAGCTGCTGGTCCCGGTGCTGTTGCAAGTGCTGCTGCAACTGCGATAGCTGCGGTCCCAAGCCACCTGCAGCAGGCTCCTTTGGGATGTCTACTGGCCCTACGCTTTTGTGGCTGCTCTGGCTGCTGCTGTCTTGGTTGTACGCTAGCTGCCGCTGGTGCAGAAGCCTCCGATGCAGTTGCTGCAGTGAGGCGCTCTTTTCAGCCTCCAAGCTGCCCACCTCGGTGGGGTCTGCGGCGACGCTTTCTGCGAAGTAGTGGCTGCTGCTGCCACTGCTGCTGTTGCCACTATTGCTGCAATGCGGGGAGCTGCATCTGGTACTGCTGGCAGTGTCTCTGCTGCTATCCGGGGACTGTGTTGCGCTGGATCTCTGTTGAAGCTGCGGCTGCGGTGGTCCTGCCGCGTCTGCTGTGGGCTGCATCGAAAGAGGCTGCGTGTCTGATTTGCATCCAGTCAGAGGATGAGGCCTTGGGCCTCTTTTCTCTGCGGTGTGCGAAGGCCGCCTCCGTCCTTCACCGTCGTCCGGAGGTGCCTCCTGAGGGGGTGGCACCTCATCAGGAGGCACCTTCGAGTGGCTCGCCCTTTGCATTGCGCGCTTGATGCGATGCCAGAGGGTTCGAATCCACGCCCTGGGGGCCGCCCACAGGGGGCCCCACGAAGCCCGAGTGCGTTCCTCCGCCTTGATAAGCGTCAGTTGCCGCTGCGTATCGACCTCATGCTTCCACGTGCCCTTAGGATCCAGAAGAGCAGCTATTTCCTCCCCAGAAAGCGTCTCCCGCTCCAAGAGCGCTTCCGTCAATGCGCACAGCGAGCCCCAATGCCGGCGGAGCAAGGCCTCAGCATCGGCTTCCGCCTGCGTTACAAGAGCTTTTACCTGCAGAACAAACAGCACACCGTTGAGAAAACACACACATTTACACATGCAGGTACACACATGCATACACACATATACACATACACACACATACATATACATATACACACATGTGTAAATACAAATACACAGACATATACATATATACACATACACATATATATATATATATATATATACAGATACATATATACACACATACATGTGCACACATATATACACATACACACACATCTAGACACATATGCAAACACCCAGAAATACACGCATACATATACACACACATTTATATATATACATATACACACATATACATGTACACACATATACACACATACACACATATATACACATACACACATCTAGACACATATGCAAACACCCATAAATACACGCATACATCTACACACATATACATATATACACCCATATACAAATACACAGACATATACATACATACACATGCACACACATGCAAGCCCTCCGGATTCAAACCGCTCCCCAGCCTAACAAAGGCACCCCATTTTCCAACTCTAAGGGTACCTCAGTTTCGATTTGCCGTGCAGTCTCGGAGCTCAGAAAGTTGTTTCTCGCTGCCGCCGTGTACGCAAGCGGTCCCATTTGCTTGCTCATTCCCCAGCTGGTGACCATCTTCATGGCGAGCTGAGTGGCAGTGTGAATGTCGCTTGAGGCTCCGGTAGTAACGGCGTCGTGCCCGAAGGCCAGGCGCTCCGCTGCCCGCCCCCCCATGCAAACGCACAGGCGAGCATACAGCTCCCCAAATGAGGCCCCGTATCTGTCTTCAAGAGGGAGCTGCAACAACACGCATTGGCACGAAAAGGAGAGTCGAGGCACATGTCACGCATGTCCAGTCAGCGCCTCAGGCCTCCTGCTGCCTATTCCCTGCTGCAAAAAAGACTAACGTGCCAGCTGACAACGCCTGCTTCCACGCGCCTCAAAGGAGCTCCGCTCCCTCCACCGTACCTGTTCCACGAGCCCAAGGGCGCTGCCCCTGCTGACGATAGTTGCCTTGTGAATCGGATCTGCACTAGGCTGCAGGAAGAAAGCTACCACAGCGTGGCCTGCCTCGTGAGTTGCTGTCTGCCGCCTGTGCAGAGAGGACTGCAGCCGCGATCCTCGTGCGGGGCCCAGGGTCACCTTATCGCGAGCCTCAAGGAACTCGGGGAGCGAAATGTATGTCTTATCTGAAGAAACAAACACAGCCAGCCCTTCACCGCTGCCCAATGCCATCACGCGCCCAGCCACAATATCCCAGCGGGGTCCTTCAAGGAAACCGCGAGACGCTGTCCCCTTCGGACTGCTTGGCGCGTCCGCTAAAAGCACCGCCAGCGGAAGTCACGCAAGGGCACTCATCGGGAAACTCCTGAGGCTCTCCGCCTTGCATGATGCAAGGCGACACTGGCGCTTCGCCGAATCGCACATGGCTCGAAGCCTCGAGGAGAGCACCCCACCTGCTCTTGCGGCGAGAATGGCGGCCTCGTTCACAAGGTTCTCCAACTCGGCCCCCGAGAAGCCCGGAGTGAGTTTGGCTAGCTGGCTAGCCAGGGCCCGATGGATCGCGCCCTCCCCTTCGCCTTCTATTTCGCCGGTGCCGCTACTGCTCTTGGGGCCGGCCTTACTGCTGCTTTCCCCGTCTGCAGCAGTAGGCGCGAGAACACGCGCCTCTGCAGCGTCTCCCTGCTTCCGTCTTTGAGAGACACCCCGCGGCTTCTCCTTCCCTGGCTTCCCGCTCAAGTCTTCTTCGCGAGCCGTTGTGCCAGCGTCCAAGACCGCCGCGTCCTCCTCTGCTTGCACTGGGACCTTGCTCAAGTATTTTAGAAGAATGAGCTCTCGTGCCCTTCGATCCGGCAGAGGCACGTGCACTATTCGGTCGAAGCGACCTGCAGCACAAGCCACACAGCGCAGGTAGGGCCCCAGTCCTCGCAATCGTCGCGCGAGCCGCCCGCTCAGAGGCACCTGCATACAGCTCTGGCGATGCCTCAAGGCGGCAAGTCTTGGCAAGCAGCAGGGGCCTCCCAGAAGCACGACGTCTCTTCAGGCCTCGCGAGAAACGCCTGGCTAGGCACTTCGAGGGGAAACAAGAGGGGAAAGAAGGGAGGGGAGGAGGGGGAGAACCCCTGGCTAGCCACAGGGGGCAGGACAGGGGCCCCTGCGACCAATCTTCCATTGCGTCGTTTACCGGGTCTTAGGAGCGCAGGGTCCAGTGCATCAACCCTGTTGGTCGCGGCAAGAACAACAACCCCCCCCCCACCTCCCTGAAAGCCGTCCATCTCGACGAGCAGCTGATTGAGCGTCTGCTCGTGCTCGCGGCCTCCCCCCGCAGAACCACCAGGGCCCCGCTTCCCTCCCACGGCATCCAACTCGTCGATGAAGAGGATGACGGGGGCCCCCTTCCGCGCGGCAGCAAACAGCTGCCGCACCCTGCGAGCTCCCTGACCCACAAACACCTCCACGAACTCCGAGCCGGAGGCATACAGCAGCGGCACGCCAGCCTCTGCGCAGAAAGCAGAAGAAGGCGAGAGCAATCGAGCCAACAGGCCAGCAACGCTCGAGATCCGAGGCTGACAAGAGGCCTGCATGCAGGCTGCTGCCGAAGGAAAAGATCCCCAAAGGCTTACCCGTTGCCACGGCTCTCGCGAGTGCAGTCTTGCCAGTTCCGGGGGGCCCCACAAGCAAGAGGCCTCGAGGAAGGCGTGCTCCGAGACGCTTGAACTTTTGGGGGGCCTTCAGACAGTCGACTACCTCCTGAAGCTCCTGCTTCGCCTCAGGCATCCCTGCGACATATGCATGCATGCATGCAGCCAGAGATCGGGGAGAACGCGCAGCAGCGCGCAACGAGCAATAGGTGCCAGGGGCCTCGTGGCACCCTTCTCCCGATCTGGCAGCAGACAGCAGCCCATCCTTCGCCCCCCCTCCCCGCCTGCACGCTCTCACGAGCAGGCACTAAAAGGGCAGCGGCAGCAACGGCAAACCAGCAAGATCTTTGAAGCGCAAAGCCTTGAACTTCTGAGTCTTCACGGGAGGCGGTTCTGGCTGTTGTCTTGGTGCTGCAGGGCAGAGGAGCAGCCGCACACGCGGGGGGTGGGGGTGGTGGGATGGGGATGAGATGGGCAGAGTGAGGCATGGACGGAAACAGGAGCAAAAGAGGCCCCGCGAAATGCTGAAACTGCTGCTCCAACGCGCATGGGGAGGCGTGCCCCCTGTCTCTACCTTTCAGGGAAGCTGCGGCTCCTGTGGAAGGCGCTCGGAGCCTTCCTTCCCGCGGAGAAGCATGCTCACCTTCATCTGGAGTCTCGTTCGGAGGCTGCAGGCCTGTCGAGGGAGGGGGGCCCCCTGGAGGCCCCATGGGGGGCCCTTCCCCCCACTGACGCAGGAGATTGAGCGTCACCAGAGACACCAGAAAAGGCCACACGGCCAAGCCCACACAGGCCCCCAGGAGGAAGGCAACAAGCCACTGCGCCTTCTTGCTGGGAGCCGTCCTGCGGCTTCCGCGGGGGGGCCCCTCCTGAATTTCTTCTCCCCGGAGGCCCGGGGGGGGGCCCCCTCCCACGGCGCGAGCCATCGCGTATACGACGGCGTCAAGCAGCACACACGCGTCGGCTGCGGAGGCAGTGAAGAGGCCCCTGAACCAGGATACGCTTGCTTTCTGGTGCCGCTGCTGCCCCTGCAGCAGCTCCTGCTGCTTTCGCTGGAGAGGAGGAGCAGGGCCCCCGGGAAGCCGTCAAGGCACAGACGGGGGGCCCCTGCGGGGGGAGATCGTAGTCGGGAGGCACAGGCAGAAAGACGACATAGGGGGGCGAGGGCAGCTGTCTTCAGCCGCCGCTGCTAAAGAAATAAACACCCTTTCCGTTGCTACCAATGGGGGGGGGGGCAGCTGCCGCTGGAGCCTCGTCCGCGGGTGTACCCAGGGGGCCCCCGCTCCCCACACGGGGGTCGGGGGGTCGGGGGATCGGGGGCCCCTGGGTAAACCAGGCTACTGGGGCCCTCTCTGCTATCTTAGCGAGTAGTAACGGAAAATATTGCTGAAAGGGGCCAGTGGCGGCACAGCCCAAGGTATAAATGTTGGCGAAGAGTCCCTTTAAAACCTTTGACTGCAGACCCCCTCGTGGTGTCTGCGCTGCCTCGCCTTGAACGTCCTCATTGCAAACGCAGCGCTCGAGGGTTTAGGCATCCCTACGCAGGGGGAAGGGGGAAGGGGGAGGGTAGGCGGATTTTCATTCGGCTGGAGGGCGCGACTTGCAGCATCTATATGATGGCGTAGGGCCTAGATTACAGTTAGGTGGGGCAGCAGCTCATTGCTGCCTCACCTAACAGCAACACAGCCTCGAAACCCCCTTCTCCCCAAGCAGAAACAAGAGAAGAGCCACTGAGCCGTAACTCGAGCGAAAGACGCAGGAAATCGTGCTGTTTGCGGTCCCGGCGAGTGCAAAATCTGCGAGAAAACAATGCAGCAACTGCAAGAACAACAGCAACAACAGCAGCAAGAACAACAACAGCAGATGCAGCGGCAACAGCAGCGACAACGACAACAGCAGCAAGAGCAACAACAGCAGATGCAGCGACAACAGCAGCGACAACGACAACAGCAGCAAGAACAACAGCAACAGCAGCAAGAACAACAGCAGCAAGAACAACAGCAGCTGCAACAACAGCAGCAACAACAACGGCTGCAACAACAACAACAGCCAGAACAACAACAACAGCAGCAAGAACAACAACAGCAGCAAGAGCAAAAACAGCAGCAAGAACAACAACAACAGCAGCAAGGACGACAACAACAGCAGCAAGAACAGCAAATAGGAGAGCAGAGCAAACAGTCGGGCAGATCAGTTCCTCGCCTGCTACCACGTTTTTGCAAGCGTTCCAGCTGCTCCCTTTGGGTATGTGAGGGGGCCCTTAGCGGTTGGGTACCCCAGGGGGGCCCCTGTTGCGCTGCAGCTGCGGCAGCGGGGTCGTGGAATGCAGCTCGTGGATATGCGGCAGGGGCAGCTGGTGCTGCTGCTACTGCAGATGTGCTGAAGTTGCTGCTGCAGCAGCAGCAGCGGCGTCGGATGCTGGCAGGTGATCGTCTCTTGCTAGCCTTGGCGCTGAAGCCTACCGCTGCACACAGGCGACAGCTCGAACTTCTGGATGTGCTGCTGCAAGAGGAACTGCACCAGCTGCTCCTAGAACACGGACTGGAGTCGAAGCAGGAGCAGCAGAAGGCAGAGGAGCAGCAGAAGGCAGAGGAGCAGCAGGAGCAGCAGGAGGCAGAGGAGCAGCAGGAGGCAGAGGAGCAGCAGAAGGCAGAGGAGCAGCAGGAGCAGCAGAAGAAAGAGGAGCAGCAGAAGGCAGAGGAGCAGCAGGAGCAGCAGAAGGCAGAGGAGCAGCAGGAGGCAGAGGAGCAGCAGAAACATCAGGAGCAAAAACAGAAACATCAGAAACATCAGGAGCAAAAACAGAAACATCAGAAACATCAGGAGCAAAAATGGAAACAGCAGGAGGCAGAAGAGGTGTGGAAGATACAGGAAAGGACGAAGATTTTGCCTGCTTTCGTAGGAAGAAATCCAGAAGGAAAGAGCTCAGCAGGCTTTCGCGCCGTTCATCGGGAGGAGAAAAGAGGGGAGCCTTTGGCCTATTTTACGTCCTCCAGCGACACTTCAGCAGTGGCTTTTTCCAATGAAACACCTGAAGAATCTTGCGCATGTCGTGCTGAAACAGCCACGCTTCCACTGGAGGCCTTCGCGAAGCCTCTAGAGCTCTCTTCCCTGTTGTGTAAGAGTCTTCCAGTTCTCATGGCGAACCCCCAGAAACCGACTGCTGCCAGGCAGGAGCTCACGCCATCCGCACGAGAATCTCCCCGTTGTCTCTCTGCCTTTGTCGAGGGTGCCACAACACTTGCTGGCTCCAGGATGCGTAGGAGAAAGGCTGAGCTTCTACTCTCCAAGGCGGCTCTCATCAGGGCATTGCTTCCTGCAGGCGGGATGGTGTCTGACGCGCACTGCCTCCTGGAAGCGAGGGCCCCTTCTTCCCAGGACCTTCTCCAGAGTAGTGCACTGGCAGAGGCAGTCTCAGGGGTGGTGCTGCATGCAGCAGCAGCAGCAGCAGCCGGAGCCTCAGCAGATGCAGGCGGCTCCCCACAGCCAGGGGGGGCCCCTTTAGACTCTGTGCAGCAGCGGCTGGCGCGGCAGCTGCTTCCAAGTGCCTCTCCAGATCCTTGGATACTTTTTTCGCTGTTCGAAAAGTGTTCTTGTCCGCATGAGAGCGCCTCTCACGCTTCCCGCAGGAGGAAAGCTGCTGTCGCTGGTAAGCACAAACAGGGGCAGCAGCAGGAGCAACAGCAGGAGCAACAGGAGGAGCAACAACAGGAGCAGCAGCAGGAGCAACAGGAGGAGCAACAGGAGGAGCAACAGCAACAGGGGCAGCAGCAACAGCAACGGGAAGCTGTGCTCCAAGGCGGCGAGACTCAAGGCAGCATGCGGGATACAATGCGGGGAGCCATGGAGAGCTCTTGCTCCATTGCCCCCCTCTCGCAACTGCAGCAAGCACCACTCGCGGAGGCGCTGCAGCAACGTTCAGAGCAGAATGACGATCAGCAGGAGGAGCAGGCTACGAAGGACGAGGACGAGGCTTCACGGCGGCTTTTCCAATCGCGTGCTGTAGATGCAGCTGTAGCGGAGTGGCTCCGGCTCTTAGGGTGCTGCCGTCTCTTGCAGCAGCAGAGGCCTTCAACAGCAGCCCACGGAAATGCCTCGGTTCTTCGCGCGGTGCAAGACTTGGACAGGTGCTGGTTGCAGCGTCAAATGGAGGAAACTCGGAGGCAGCGGCGGCACGAGCAGCAAGAAAGGCAGGAGGCAGCAGACGAGGATCTGCCTTCGCAGGAAGCACAGAATCAGCGACAGCCTCTGATTGAGCAAAGCCAACAAGGTATGGAGGAGATTTTAGGCTTGAATGCGATTCGTGAAGCTCGCCTTTGCACATGCGGCAGCAACAGGGGAGGTAGCGACAGCGAGCGAGAAGACGCAGCGGTGCCAGTACCCCTGGAGGTTGGCTGCCTCTTTAAGGCTACTCTGGAAGTCTCTAAGGAGTTCCTAGACGCGAAGAGGAAACAAACGGGTGCAGTAGCCTTGGCAACAACAGCACGGGGGTGTCTTGAAGCCGATTGGACTACAGCGGTTGACACTGCGGAAACAACGGCAAAGGACGGCTTTTCTGCTGCCACAGACGCCCCCGTGTACAGTTCTGCGCCAACGGAGGCAGAGGCACATACTGTGTTAGGAATCGCCGAAAGCGGTCCTCAAGGCTCAGCAAGTTGCGCTGCTTTCGAGACAACAGGCACCTTGTTCGACTCCGCAGCAACAACGGCAGCAGGCCCAGAGGCAGCAACAAGTGTCAAAGGAGCACCCACTGGCGAAGAAGGGCATTGGCAGCTGGTTGTGGAGGCTCTGCGAACTCCCGGATGCTGCCTCATCTACCATGGGCCTAATCACTATGCCCTTGTCTTTGCTGCGAGAGAGTACACCGCAGCGCAGTGTTGCAGGGGGTGCTGCAGCAGCCCCGACGTCTGTCAGCAGCGCGAACCGCAAGAAGAACCAGGGTGTGCCCCTTCTGCACAGCGAGGCAAAACACCTAGACTTCCCGAAACAGAGGGCCGCAGCAGCAGCAATTGCTGCTGCAGCAAGAGCGTTTCCATACACCGCGAGTTGCTTACAGCACGGCGGAAGCAAACCCCTGCGGTTTGGGTCGCCTTTTCAGTTATTTGCCGAGAAATGAAGAAATGGGGAGGCTACAGACTTCTCTATGTCCTAAATCCTAAACCGTAAACCCCTGAAATGCTGCAGAGGAGGAACGGTAGCCGGAAGCGAGTAGCGGAATTTCGCAGTTTTAGAATTCAGGTAGTTGCGTATTGCGCCCCTCAACCCAGAGGTCCTCAAGGGCAAGACCCAAGGGCTTTTCGGAGTCGAGAGGATGCAATGCTCCAGCAGCGGCCCTCAGGGGATCGAACGGCCGAGTCGCAGAGCCTCTTAAGAGTGTACAAGAGCCGCAGAATATTTGACACTACGTCAAGCTTCAAAGCCTAGTGCCGCTGCATCTCAGGAGGCGGAAGCCGCCATGTCACCACATGCAGCATCAGTACGGACAGAAGCATTCGCCTCCGCAGCAGCGGGCACAGCAGAAGCAGCAACGGTGGAAGCCACAGCTATTTGCGGCTAGTTGTTGCTGTAGTGGCAAGTTGCCCTAGGGGGCCCTGCGCCCTCCGCTCGCCTGTGAGGCACAGCCAGCGCTAAACCTTAATTTCCGTCCCTAAAATGGCCCTTACCTCGCGAGATCACGAGATCTCTGGCTGTATTTCTCCATGGCAGAATCAGATAAATAAAAGTTTGGGTTCAGGGCTTGGGTTGTAGCCTTCGGAGCTCACGGTTTACCTGTCAGGATGTCGTAGCTTCGACGCCGCGAAATGTGCTGACTGGCGCGGAGGCGCTGAAGGGCAACGAAAGGGCAACAACACTCTGTGTCGGAGCTTGCCGTTCAGGAGGTGCAGTGATCAGGGCCTTCGGTGTGCGCAGTCGAGGGCTTGGCGATTTGTGTGGCTACCTCTTTCGCCTCTTCAGCGGCGGCAAACCGCTCGGCCCATTCAAAGTCGCGGGGAAGTCCAGATATAACGTCCCAAGGAAAGCTGCAGGAGAGCGCGCAGGAATTTCACAGTCAGGCTGCATCTGCAGGACCCGCAGGAATCAGTTTCGTGACTTCCAAGTCCAGCGTTTTGAGAAGTGCATTTGCTGACCGTTCGGCCTTGCCCTTAGACTGAAGGCAGTGGTCGTTGAGCCTCCGCCGTTCTCTCTACAGGCAGACCCCAACACGCAAGCTCCAAACTTGAACGCAAGAGAGCGCATGCTTTCTTCGATGTACGTACGGCAGACTGTGCGGATTCGCGGCAAGGCAAGACAGAGAAGAGAAACGGCCGAGCCGTATTAGAATAAAAACATTTTGAAATTTCCTTGATTATACGAGCACACCAATTATCAATCCACGGAGTGACGGAAGAGGAGGAATAATGCGAGGAGGGCGTGAAAATCCGACACCGAATGCACAGCTACCAGCACGCAAGCTGATCTGCGGGTGCACCTCTGCACTGAGAGGCGCTGTTTCTACAAGGGTGCAACGATTCACCTCCACCCGGACAACCCGCACGACTTTCTTCCAACAGCACACCCGTGTAACCGGGAAAATCCAGCAATCTGTGCGCTTACAAGGGAGTGCCTGTGTGATATGATGTGCTGTTCAGCATACACGCCATGGCTGCAGCACTCTCCTCAGATCCACCTTATTCCTTTGAAGGCAAATAAGGGTAGTGCAGGGATGGTTTCCGAATGTCATTAGCATTCCATAGAGGGCCGTGTTGTGCTAGCCTCACCTCCACCTCTTTTTGTCGTTGCTGCTCACTCTGCGCTTCTCTAGCCAGCATCTTGTTGCTGAGACGCCCCGCAAACCCTAATATACCCCTTCTTCTTGTTTTAGATGTACATACTCCATGCACTATAGGTAGCGCTACTCTTCCATGCATCATATGTACCACTGCCCTTCATACATACCCAGAGAGCTAGTCACAGGTTAAAGAGGCAGTTCGACTGGGACACCTGGCTACTCCTGTCGCTACCTAGGCCCCCGTGTAGCTTTCTTGTTGCCGGCATACCCACATAGCTGACCGACTGGCAACTCAATCAGGTACATGGGTGTGTGTGTGTGTGTTTGTGTATGTATGACTGAACGTATGCGGAAATGTGTGTGTGCCCTCGCACACGTTTTGGTCACCGCTGAGCGTTATTCCGAATAGCCCTTAGCTCCTGTTCGTGGATTTCACCTTTTCTTGTGAGCTGGTCATCAGTATCTCTATCTGCGTATATCTACGCACGTAGCTAGCTGTATGCGTGGTCGCCCATCTACATATTGCGCCCCTGCACGGTGTGTACCTGCGTGCATTTTGAAATATCTTTCTAGCGTCTGCCCTCCGCTGTCGGTCCTCCTCGGAGAGGTTCTTGGTCCAATCCCTGGGAGGGAAGCAGATGCCATCTGCGGGAGGGAGGATTCGGACTGAAACCAAGTAAATCGTGCAAGGGGGGGGGCAAACGAGAGAGGCACGCAAGGGAAGAAGGGCATAGAAGGTGTCATACTAGAGACGCACGGAGTATGAGTGTCAGTGGCATTCAAAGTGAGGTCATATGTTATTGTTGTTGGAATTCAGGGAGTAACCTCTGCACTGCTTGGAGGTCAAAGGCTTCGGACGACTAGGCATCCCTGTTTGCTGCCTCAGTGGTAGAGCCTCAGCAGTATGCCCGTTATCAAGTCAGGAAGAGTTCAGTAATTTTGGCAGATGGTGTGTGCCCTTTCGGGTGTAGAGGGGGCCTACGGCCGTCCGGTGCGAGTTCCATCGTTTCCATCTTCACGAATTTTTCGCGCCTTTCTCGCAGCCGCTTCTTTTCCAGAGTCTCCCGGTCGGGAAGGACTCTCCACTTGTGATCATAAATCATCGCTCCGGTGTTATTGGCCCTAGGGTTAATGTGTACTCACAGCGTGAACGCAGCGATGCGTTGCGCCAATGCCACTGCTACGCTAGGGCGGTTTCCAACGACGCGCAAGACACCTCGAACTCCCTCCTCCAAATCGTGATTCCCAGCCAATAAAAGTTCCTTTACTACATTTTCAATGTAATTCTAGGTATTGAGGAGTGGCGACACCGTATCAGTGCTTGTTAGGGGCCGCAGCATGGAGGGGCTCTCCCTGCTCGCGGGCATGCAAGTGACCCCACCACCTGGGAGTTTCCCGCGTCTTAGGGCCTTGTTGCACAGTATCCAGACATGTGTCATTCTAAGGCCAGTCTCAACGATAAAGTCTGCGGCTCTGGTTCAGTGTAGTTAGGCTCAAGTTTGTACGGGCACTGGCCGCCACTGACGATTCGCCGCTGGGTAGCAATCTCCCCAAGGGCAGAGTCCTGAGCCATACAACCGGCCTACGCCACTTTTGCACCTATTTAGGATTAAGGAAGACACCTGCCCACACTGCTGACTGTCTGGGTCGCGATGACAATGCCGCGCTTTCCCAAGTGAGCAGCATTCTCTGAGCGTCAAGTGTGTGCATGTGCGCTCAAAACTGGACACCTAGAATGCAAATGCAACCTCTAGTGTAAGCTGTGAAGTTTTAACCGCAAAGCGTAGCTTTAGGACAGCAACTGCTGTTCTCATATGGTTTCCCCTCACGGAGGAAAACAGCCAAGAGCTGTGAGGCAGATAGAAAGACTCCCTCAGGGCCCTTCTAGTGACTGCTGTCAGCGTGTATTTCGCTGTCTTCACTTCTTACTGCCAACGGCTGCGGCTGCTGCAGCTGCTGTTGCACGCGAGATAGCCGCGCCAAGACTCCGTGGGAACGCTGGAGCGCTGCAGTAACGGCTTCCCCCGTAACACCTTCAACAGACGTGTCAGCGGGGATGCCCTGCTCACCGTTTTTCTCCTGCCGTTCTTCATGCGCAGTCGGTTGGTGCGGAGAAGAAAGGGGGGCCGAGGAGGCCTCTTTTGGGGCGAAGCCTCCTTGTTCAGGAACCTCCTCCCCAGAAAACGTATCTCGAACAGTTCTAACGTGTGCAAGCTGAGGGCCTAACCCACCGGTAGGAGGTTCCTCCGGAAGGGAAGCCAGGCTTCCACCCGTGCTCTTGCCAACACCATCACCACCACTGTCGTAGCTGCTCTTGTTCCGAGGCTGCTGCTCCTCCTCCTGCTGCTTCTGTGGCTTCTGCTCCTCCTGCTTCAGCTCCTCCTCCTGCTGCTTCTGCGGCTTCTGCTCCTCCTGCTTCAGCTCCTCCTCCTGCTGCTTCTGCTTCTGCTCCTCCTCCTGCTTCTGCTCCTGCTCCCGCTCGCGAGGGCGTATAGGAGGAGCTGAGTGGGTGGAGGAGAGCGGCTGCTGAGGTTGCTGGTTCTCCTCCAGAGACTCTTCTCCCCGGCGCGCCTTCCTTTGTGGCGGCTGCTGCTGCAACTGTAGCGTCTGTCGTGTTGCAGCAACTGTCTCATCCGGTGCATCTGCCTGCCGCAGCTGAGGCTGCCCCTGCTGCTGCAGCTCTACAGGTGACCCTTCATCCCCCGTGGGCTTATCCTGTACCACGAGCCACCGCCAGAGCAGCAGGATCCAAACAAGGAGCAGCAGACTCAACAGGCAAACAACAACGCGGCCCTGCACCGTCACCAGCAGCACCGCCGCACGCACACATGCACCCATCGCGTCAAAAAGGCACCGGCAGAATCAGCGCTACTACCACCACTACCAGCAGCAGCATCACCATAGCAAAAGCAGCGAAAAAAACGGCACAAAGATCCCTCAGAGGCAGCAGCACTATGCGCATAGTGCTGCTGCCTCTGAGGGATCTTTGTGCCGTTTTTTTCGCTGCTTTTGCTATGATGCTCCCCCCACAGCCAGCGCCTCCTCGCAGTGGCCGACGAGCGCCTCTGGGAAGGCCTGGAGGCTCTCCAACAAAAATCTCGTCGAGGCCCTTAGGGAAAGGCGACGACCACGGCGCAACGGGGTGCGTGTCACTTCGAGGTTGCAAAAAAATCACGCCTCCAAGGTCGAGCTCCCACAGTAAGCCCCTCTCTGTACGACCTAATGAGGCATTTGTCTATGTCTTACCACTTTGCTTAGCCTGCGGCGGCCTCGCCCTCTTTTTCGGGGAAGCCCAATAAGACCAGCCTTGCTGGATAGTCTTCCGCCGTTGCTGCCGCTGCTGCTGCTGCTGCTATGAAGACGGCGGCTGTCTGCAGGCCACCCGTGGTGGCCTGCCTGGTGCCACACTCCGCCAGTTACCATTGCTGCTGCTGACGCTGTTACGCCGCTGTATCGGTCCTGCAAGGCTGCCAACCGCGCCGCTGGTCCCCTGAGTCTCCCGAAGAAGGCCTTCCCCTTCACGCAGAGGCGGCAAGGGCGGCCCCCGGCAGAGGCGCCGCTACGCTGGGTGTGCGCCGCTTTAAGGCCCACCGAGGAGCCGTCACTTCCTCGTGCTCATAGCCGTCCCGTGGAAGCCTCCGGAGGCACTGGGGCAGCAAGCGAGCGGCGAGAAGAGGGGCCTCTGCCACGCGAGAACTCCACAACTTCGAGGCTACTTCTCCCGGCTGAAGGCGAAAGAGCAAGCACGACTCGCCGAAGACACCCTCGGCAGATTCGAGTGATCTTCGAGAGACCCCCGTGAGCGCGCCCAAGGTTGGCGACTAGGAGGAACGGTGTGGCTTCCGGTGAACGCATGCGCCTCCACTGTGCAATGCCGTTTTATCCTCTTTCGCAACGCTATTAAGATTTAGGGTCGAGGCTCAGGGTTCGTGTCGATTGGGCTCGCTGAGCACCCACTGCCGAGGCGCGGAGGCTCTCAAGCGAGACAGCCCCAACGAAGAAAATGAGGTTAGCCCGGCTGCCTCCGCCATTAACGGCTTGCATATCTGCTAACAGAGTCGGAAATACAGCATTCTTACGGCCTTACAGACATCTATGATCCAAAGACGCCAAGCCCTCGCCCAGAAACTACCGGACCACTGCTCTGTTACGCCCAGACGGCGCTCATCGAGGGCTGAGCGCCGGGGAAGGAAAAACCCTGGCCATAAACCACCCTCAGCACTGCACTCCACCTTTCTCGCACACATGCTGCCACAAATTTCATGTTGCATGAGCCTCCAGGGGGTGCCACACGGAGAGCCTGTGGCTCCCACGCCCTGGTGGAGGCCCCTCTTGACTTCCCTTGCAGCCTCTCAGACCTTGTCATCAGGTCAGGCGGCAGAACATTGCTGCTGTAGGGTATCTGTGTACACGCGAGCTGCCCACAGGCAGCCACAACGCCGAGACACAGCTAACCTCACCACCGAGTCGCAGCTAGCCAAAGGGAGAGCAGGTCGCTCAGTAGAGTGAACCCGGAAGTACCCCAAGGTCGCTGTCGTCTTAAGGGACCTCTGTGAGGCTCGTTACCCCTGTGTACACCAAGAGGCCTTTTTGTGGCCATCAGGTTCCGTATATTGCCTCCTGCTTCCTCGTACAGAGGGCCGGCCTCAAACCAAAAGGGTCTCTGCTGTTGCATGCCTTAGCGGCCAGGTGGGGCCCCCATTGATGCAAGGCTTCGTCGGTTGCTATGGTGCTAGGGCAGAGATAAACTGGTTATAGCAGAATGCAGGTTTTTCTTTGCTGGAAAAGAGACGGAGGAGGTGCGGGAGGCTCTCGCGAGGTGCGTAAAAGCCGAAGCAGCTCAGGAATGACGATAATGCCTCCCCGCTTACCAATCCCTCATTGTCTCTGAAGACAGTCAAAACGCGTAGCAGCACGCAGACACTGAAGAAGGCCTGGACAGCCAACGGAATCCATGGTCTGCGAAGAGCCCAGCGGCTCGCGCCGCGTGCCCAGACGAGACAGAAAGAAGAGTTGGGGTCAGTGATGTATATGTAGAGGCCCTAGGGATGGGAAAATGCACTAGAAGCGTCAGAGATGAGGGAAGCAGTTAGAAGTCACAATAAGATAGAAGCAGGGGGCAGAAGGGAGTGATGGAGAGATGGTCAGTCGAAAGAAAACTGGAAAATGCTGGGGTGAAGGAAGCGGATGCACAGGAGCTGACAAATAAAAGTTCTCATTTTTCCAGCGCCAATACAGGCAACGTCTTGTCGAAGTGTTCGAGCTGGTTATGTACCCATGAAGGTGCAAACGACGCTCGAAAGGCATTTTTCTAGTAGCTGTAGCAGCTCTCTTGCTCGAATTAAGTACAGAGTAGGCAGTGAGGATCGAGGCAAATTCGCAACTCTTGCGGCACCAAGAAACAAGCTAGCACACCTATAGCATTAGTGGTATGGGTAAAAAGTAAGCGTACAACTTTATTTTTTGGAAGGCGGCGGAAATATCCATCTCGCTGAAGAGCTCCTGCAGGCCTTCTAGCTTCAGCTCGGTCTGCAGCAAAAAGCAAGGGTTGGCTGTTAGAGTCACCACGGCTGTGGCTAGCAGGAGTGGCAATGCGGCTCCATCACCTACGCAAGAAGGAGGCTCCTTGCTCGAAGGCGACCTTTTGCTGGTGTTCGGTGAGAGGGTTCAGTATGTGCAGCCTACTTCGATGAGGAGACTGAATACCTCAGCCATAAGGTGAAGGGCCCTAAGACTCAGGGCCTGCGAAGCCTCCGCCGCCTGCAATTTCAGTCTGCTCGAGACTGGCAGACCGGCGGGCAGCATAATGTCGCAGAATGATGCGAAAGAGAGCCTAGCATAAAACAAAAGCACTAGCAACCCCACAACCGCATGTGTGGGCAAACCTAACGCAGTGTGTGTATGTGTGTTGTGTGTGCATGCGCGTGCATGTTTATGCGTGTGTGTATGTGTATGCGCGTGTGTGTCTATATTAGTGTGTATGTATGTATGTATGCATGTGTGTATATATGTGCATATGTCGTGTTGCTACTCTTGGTCTTCGTCCTTCACTTGTTGGCTTGTAATCAATGAGCTTCCTTTTTCGGTTGCGCCCCTAGTTACTCGAATGTATTTCGCCCCTATGCGCACTGTCCCCTGCAATATTACTTGTGGTCTATGCTCCTGTGCCTCCTTTTCTATTCGTCATTGCCTATGAGTTGAAATTTGGGCGGGCTGTTTGAATAGCATCCATAAGCGCTACCCTTTGTGCCACTTCAAGGCTCAGCGTTCAGGCATCAGGAGTTCTGGCCGCCTTTCCAGGGTTCCGCCAGTCTTTCCCAGCTGTCACCTCCTACAGTTTATACTGTCTAGTATAGTTTAGCCGTGCGTACTTGGCATCTCTCTGGTATCTCTGTATGACTTTTCGTACGATGCGCGTCGTTGCCGTTAAGCCATAATCCTCGAGGAAGCCTTTGACCTCTGACACCGATGCATAGCCGAGACTCTTTGGGTCCAGCACTCGCCACACTGCCCGCACATTTACGCCCTTCCTGAAACGGACAGATAAGAGGAATTTAAGGATGAAGAGGACGTAGCGGGGTGTAAGCAATTAAAGCTTGTCATGGACTGCCGTACTGAGGGTGCGTGCGTTCAGGCAGTGTAGCATCGGTTGCTGCGGATCTAAAAGAGATGATCCCGAATGTGTATGAATGCTTGTATGCGGACGTGTAAGCAAAGTCTCTCCTGGCTGCCTCAGTTTCTCTCAGGACAGCGAGAAGCAGCTCGAAGGCAGCAGCAAGGGCTTGGGGGGATAGCTGCCTTCTGCCAACCCTCAAAGAAGGAGGTATCGAGGCGCGGGGAGTCACGAGGGGATCGCCCTCCGGCCGCAAGGGTACCCTGTCGACACTTTCTTGTGCCTGCGCAGTAATTGCAAGGACATAAAACCGCGGGCTCGAGCGTTTAGCTTAGGGGTCTGCTGTAGCAGCAGCGAGACGGTAAGGGTCAGACAGCAGGACGACTCAAATTCTAGAACGGAACAACAAGCAGCGGCAAGGACAGCACCAATGCAGACATCCGCTCAAGCAACGAGGAAAAGCGGTACATACAGGCGCCTGGGGTAATTTAGACAAAATTCACAGTGATGGAGAGACTGCACAGCTGTACATCCGAGGCACAGCTAGAAAGAAACTAAGACATTCAATGCGGCTGAAAAACTTGAGAGGGGGCACGCCACATTGAAAGCCGATTCAGGGGTGGAAGGCGCGGGCTGTGTGCACTAATTCTGACAAGATAATGAGACCCATAGCGATTCGACTGTTTGCAAGGGAAATTTCTACTTGTCTTCCCCAGACGCATCGGCAAATAAGTTGCCAAGTTGTATCCGCAGAAAACAGCGTTTCAGTGTCGGCTTACACAACAGCACCTCTGGCCTCCTACAGTCATCCCAGCATGCATTTCCCTCTGCCTTTGCTCCCTCTCCCACTTAAGCTGAAAGGTTGCCTCCTCAGCCGAAGGCAACGGTACCGGGATTCTACAGGAGATTTGGTCCAGAGGGCCAACAGGCCTTGCAAGCTGCCCCCTGCCTTCCATCTTTGCACTAGTTTTCTCTGCAGAGCCTTTTGGTAGCTGGGGGCCTTCAAGAGGCTGGCTAACTGGAGTCTCAGCTTCTCTCCTTGAGGGCTGCTGGGGGTCCTCTGAAGGCTTTGTTTGCTGCTGCTGCCGGTGAGGGTGCTGCAGAACTCTGTTACAGCCAATATGTCTGGCCCAAATCCGGCTGACGCACGGTCGGGGGTACAACAGATGAAGGAAGTCCGTAAGCGATAAATAGCCATCCCGGTCTCTGCATCAGGCAACCAGACCATACCCGCAGAAAAACATGAAACCGCTGTCAGGGGCCCCTAGCATCTAAGCCCGGCTCTGGGAGAGTGGATCGTGAATATCAGTAAGTGTCCGCTTAGTCGTGCTCTTGAGGCCCTAGGATGCCCATGCAATCTCCGCAGGGGCCCTAGTGGAAGCTGCAAGCCTTGCTCTATCAGCGTCACCGGTCAAAGCGCCAGAAGAATGCTTCCACAAGCTGAAGGGTGGCTCGCTGACGATGTTGCCTCAAAAGCTGCAGCAGCCGTCCTGCAGCAGCAGCATACCAAACTCGCTTTCCGTACCAACAGTAAGAACTGAAGAAGCAATCGTGTGACCACAAGAACCAATGTCACCAGGGCCAATGCCACTACCAGTAGCCGTGATCCAGCCACGGCTCGCACGTACAGCGGCAGCCAAGAAAGAAGCCGCATTCACATTAAGGGAGTCTGGCTTTGCAAATGCACCCTTCGAGACTATTCCAATGCCATCCTTATCCAGGTAACGAAACGCAGCTTCAGGCGTAATATCTCTGTGGCGCAGCAACAGCTGCTGTCGCCGCTGGTGGCTCCACGCTGCGTCCAGCTCTCCCTCCAAAACAAAGGCGAGGGCCTCCGTTGCCTCGCTTGTCAGCCGCCCTTCCTGTTTCAGATAGCCCTGTTTGAGAGGGGGCCCCACAGAACTCCATTCCGTGGGATAATCTCGAGCAAGAAGTAGTGACCGTGCAACGCGGTGGTGAGGTGTCAGGGCCGTATGCAAACTGCAGAGACATCGCAGTTCTCTGTAGCTGTCTCCATTTTGCAGGCCATTCAACATCACATAACATGGAAGCTTAGGGGTAGGGCGAACAAATTTACTCGGCAGCCGTAACAACTCCATCTCCGTCAAAGTCAAGCCGTTGGAAGAGCCAAGCAGCGTCTGCTATGGATGTGCAGCAACGCTGACTCCTTAGGAACTCACGCAACTCGTCACCTAAAGAAGACAGACTGCAGCCAGAAAGGAGTTGCATATAGGATTCTATTTGTGTTCTGGTTTCAAATGTGTTTCTAAAGTCCGTATACAACTGCATGTGCCATCGTATCTCATTATTAATCTCTTCCCCTCCTTGCCCATCTATACCTATTTTATGCACCCCGCCTTTGCTGGTGCATTTATTATTTGTTCGCTTCGCTATTCCGCCACATCTTGGAACTGCTTAGTCCTTAAGGGAGTAACCATGCATTACAGCAGTGCCTTATTCGTCTGTTTCCCACCCGGGTACTTTGCTGCGTTTGCCTGCTTAGGATTGGGTGCTGAGATTGTTGAAACGGAGACATATGGTTAGTGCTTACACTTACTCGTGAGAGCCCCAGAGCCCGACTTGTTTATGAGACTGAAGGCGTCAACTGGATGGAGCGTTGGGCACATGGCTGCCATTCTTCTTCTTTTTTCTTGCTGCAAGGCAGACATCCATCAGTACCAACCGCTCAAATATAGACCACCTGTCTGAAACATCCAGGCTTGTTATGTTGGAGAAAAGAATCCAGAAACATTTGTTTTATGACTCCTTAGAGTTAGGAGGTGCAGCTATTTTGATGTTTTAATTCACTTCAACTTTTCCCGGTTGCCACGTATCACTACCTGGTGGTAGCAACGGCAAAAATTGAAACCCCGAAACGGACTCAAGATGAGGGATTAATTTTGCTCCCCTTGTTCAGGCCCAAATGCCAAAAAAATTAACGCGGCACACCCTACGGTATCTGACGGCAGTTATCGGGAAGTAGAGCTTCGCAGTGCGAATTCCGCTCAGCTTGTTTGAATTTAATTTAGCATCTCTAAGCATGTGCGATGAAGATACTGAGGTGTTTCTCACCGCTAGCTCAGTTTCTGCAGTGCTCCTCAGGAAGCGCACGAGATCACAGGCAGTATGGAAGGTCAGGCCCATCTTTTCGGATTGAAAAGTATATATGGGGTGAAAACCTATATCGCGAAGGCGGAACCATTAAACAATATAAAGAGGTGTTTATAAATTGTTATGATGTTTTTTGAGTATCAAAACAAATCATGCCTCATAACTGCTCTCGATACACTCGAAACGCATTACAAGAGAAAGCAGACAGACTCCAGAACACAGGGGGGCGAGGGAGACAGAAGCCCTCAGACAAGCTGACACCCCGACAAAATACACCGCCTTCATGGCATGAAAGCTATTTTTTGCCGAGAGTATTAGTTACTAAACGCCTCGCCAGCAAAAGCAAACAATTCCTCATCATCGTCCTCACGAGGTCACCTGTACCAGACTATCAGCATTTCTTTGCCAGCGTGTAGGAAATTTGGGGAATAAAAAACTTAATATGACCCATAATTCTGGAGAATCTCATTAAGTAGCGGGATTTAGCGGGAATTTGCCCCGAAACCTTCAGCCCCAAAAGCTTTAGACACTAGCACGCAGAGGCAGGAACAGTAAGGGGCTTGAAAACGAGCTGGATGGCTTTGTAGTCTTCGACACCCAAACAGTCTGATCGAACGTATAAACATGTTTACAGAAAGCAGACGGAATGAGTTTATACCTAAGCCTGAGGCCTAAAAAATAGTGGATAATCGAAATGGGTCATTTAGGAGGGCTGTGTTGATAATTAGCGCCACGTGCTAGTCCCTTCGCCGGAGTTGGAAATGCAAATACCTAGCATATAAATGGCTAAAGCTTCGCCTATGAGTTGAAATGGACTGCTTACGCAGTGCTAAGGCAGTGAGAAAAATCGCATAAACAAAAAGTGCAGGGAATGCCTTTTTGCCATCCTCACCTTCTATGTCGAACGCTATTTGAGGCCAAACAACAACTGAGATCCCAAGGAAGCAAAGTCTTTGTGTTGGTGCCTCCACTAGGCGCTCGTCAGCCTATTTACTGTGCCCTATTCTTAGTAGCCCGGGGAGAGCCGAGGAGACATTCCAAACTGCGAATTATATATCTAATGATCATTAGAGTTTTGCCGTTCTACGCCTTTAGCCAAAACATCACGAAGGGACCTGGAGCCTTTGGGTCGTTCTCCTGCCTAGAGAACTATGGTAGAGCGGGCTCTCTAGGAGACTATAAGCGTCATATTAAAGAAAAGCCTAGAAGCAATGAAAAAAGGGGGATGTCAGGGCCCCTGCACAGGGAACCGGCATGGCTGTATCCTTTCAACAGACGTGCAGAAGGTCCCGCAGTGGGCTCCACACACGCACACTAGCCCCATAGAAGAACCTCGGGGCACTCATCCACCCCTGGCGGATCCCCATGGTCCTTTCGCGACCTCTCCCCATCTGAGCGATTTCAGCTTCAGCAGATCGACACCCTGATAGGCGAAGGCGAGCCGCAGTCTCTCATGCTTCAGCTGCAGCCGACGCTGCCGCCCCCAATGTCCTCGATGGGCAAATGCTCGTTTCCTTTGTCGCTTGTCACTCCGTACTTTATTGCACAAATAGCCTGAAACCCTTTCATTCGGTGAGGGCATGGAGGTTACATCGAAGTCCTCCGTAGGGGCCCCCACGCCCGATGAAGGCGTTTGGCGTGACACCCAGCCTAAAGAAACGTTCCCACTTCCCCTGGGGGCCTCCAGTGGCAGGGGATTTTCGCCGGAAGGCGCCACTGGTGGCCCAAAGAATGGCTCGCCGAGAGGCAGAGAGAGCCCTTGTAGCGGAGCCCATGACTCAGGAGAGGCCTTCGGAAGGGGGAGAGACATGGAAGCCATTGGAAGGGGCAGCCGATGCTCTGGTTCAATAAGGGGTGAGAGGTTTAGCCAACACATGAAGTGTGAGCTGCTGTTGCTGCTGTTACCGCTGCTGCCAGCGCGAAGTTGCCGTTGCAATCTCGGGGCCAAATCACCCCAAGGGCGCCCTGCACCCTGCGGTGTGTCGGATACACGGAAGTTCATGTGCGCATATCCGACATGCAGCATCGCCCCCGGTAGGGCGTGGCCGTGATGATGAGGAAAGCCACGGTTAAGGCATTCCGGGGCTGCCAAAATGGCTCTAGTACTTGCTTTCTGTGTTGCTGTAACTGCAGCAGCAGCGAGGATTTCGGTAAAAGGGCCTCCTGCCTTGGCTGCCCGCAGCAGGGGAATCATTGCAAGCGTGGTGACCGGCGATTTCGCAGCCCTTTTTCGCCGCACAAGGCGAACTGCAAGTTCTTGTTGAATGGATCCTTTGGCTGTCTTCGACACTGACCCCCAGTCAACGCGCTCGCCTTCCAAGGGAGCAGGGATCCGTCCGTGCCCTTGAGGCCCTCTGAAGGGCTGAAAATGCCCTAGTTAGAGGCCAAGAGAGCTATAAACAAAACCATGCAGCATATAACGCCAGCATTTATTTTTTGAGTCTACTAAAAATGAAGGATGTGCAGCTTTCAGCACACAGCTACCGTCAGCCTGGTCCTGTGCCCCTCGGCTTTCCCCCTCCCGCCTCCCATGAGGGCCCCCCATGTTCAGACAGGAAGAACCAAAGATCCCCTCAGTGTTTGGCGCCCTCTCGCTACCGCCTGTTTATGTGCTGAATCCACGGACATCGGGATGCTATGCGCCGTTTAGGGGTCTTTTGTCGTGGATTCCACAGACTTGAATCTCTGAAAACAGAGGACGGGCCCGAAGATCGCGCGAGCCACTGCTGAAGCCTGGTCGCTAAACGAATCCATGCCTCCAACCGCAGCTTGTAGAAGAAGGCGGGAAGCATCTGGTGTAATTCCAAAGACTCTTTGCGAGGGGGCTCAGGATCGGTAGCTTACGTGTTGAGCGGTGATCAGACATCCACGCGTTCCTCCTCTCTTCGCAGGGATTTTTCAGTGTCCACGGTGCCTTTTGCGCGTGAAATTAAAGGCGGTACGGCTGCAATGGGGTGCCACCTCGACTGCAGCAGCCATGGGCTTTAGGGCCCTCACATCCCGGGTGTTGGCAGGCCGTCCACGATGTTTGCTGCTGCTGTTATTGTTGTTGGCGCCGCTGATACTGCTGCATGCAGCACCATATGTGCCGCGCGCTCTTGCTGGCAGCACTAGGACACTCCACTCGCGGTATTCCTTCCTTGTCTCTCACCAGCACCGTGCAGTCGGTCCGACAGAAGCAACAACAACAGCGGCCTCGTATGGCCGCACTGCAACGAGTTCTCAAGAGTTGCTGCACCTGAAAACACCGCCAAACCTCGCAGGCACTCGTCAACGCACTCTCTTCCACTCGCCTGTCCTGCGCGCAAGCAGCAACAGCAGCAGCAGCAGCACCAACAGCAGCACCAACAACGGCATTATAAACGGCATCATAAACGGCGAATCAGGCGTCCAGGTCAGCAGCAATAGCTTCAAGGCCAGCTGGAGTGATCAGGAGAGCACTTTAAAGCCGCAGGAAGCCAGCAGAGAATCCGAAGCGGGAGAAGGAGCAGGCGCAAGGGGGGGGGATGAGGAGACAGCCTCGCAGCCCTCAAGACCTGCAGCAGCAGCTGTTGCAGCTGCTGTGGGTGGGGATGGTGTCACTGCAGGTGCGTCCGGTGCAGAAAGACGCATTATCGGTCATAGGCTTCAGGCTGTAGGTCTCAAAATAAAGGCTGACGATACTGAAGGCGCCTTAGAGCAGTTGCAGGAGCTGATTGAGGCCTACTCTGCAGCCTTCAGGGGTTCTGGCACCGGAGAAGCAGCACTGGCCTCAGGATCTGCAGCTCTTCCTGGAAAGCCTTCAGTTGCTGCTGCAGTCGTTGGCGCGGCAAGTGGTGTCTTGAACCTTGCTGCGCGGCAGAAGGATGGGAAGGCAGCACAGCGGGTACTGCTGGTGCTGCAGCAGCACGGGCTGCTGCTGCCTGTACACCCGGACTTGGCTACGGCCTTTATTGCAGCAGCAGCTGCAACGAACAACGTGACGGCAGTGGGAGCCATGCTGGCCTTGGTGCAGCAGCAGCAGCAGGAGGTGCAGCAGCGCGCCGTTGCTGCTGCCACAGAGCTGCTGCTGCTGAAGCGGAACCTTGGATGGAGGGCTTTCAGAGACTCAGGGTTGCTGCTTCTGCTGCAGCGGCGCAAGAGCCTTCCTCCCCAAGGCCTACTCCTCACGCTGCTTGTCAACGAGGTGCTGCTGACATTGGCAGAGGCGCAGCAGCAGCAGCGGCAGCTGCAACAGCAGGAGGCGGCGGGAGTTGCGCAGATGGCCGCTGCAGCTGCGGCAGAGCTGCAGCTGCTGCAACAGCTGCAGCAGTCCCTCCACGAGGGCATGCTGCTGCTGCAGCAAGCCGGAGAGACACAGTCTCCCGTGTCGGTGGCTGCTGCAGCAGGTGCAACAGCAACTCTGCAGCAAACTTCCTTACCGCTGCTGCACCTTGCCCAGTGCAGCGGCGCCGTTCCGCGGTCTCTTCTGCGCAGCTCAGAAGACACCGCGTCAGCGACTGCAGCAGCAGCAGCAAGAAGTTGCACCCACTGCAGCAGCAAGCTTGGCTGTGTAGGCCTTGGCTTGCGGGAAAGGCGACTCCTGCGACTGGGAGTGCTCCGCCTCGCTGCCTTCAGCGGGCAGCGGCAGCTTCGCCGTTTGCTGCACTTTGAGATGCTGTTGCAGCAGCAACAGCAGCAACAGCAAGCGCCAACGGCGAAGCAGCTTGGGCACCAGCACGCTTCTGGCTTCACAGTGGTGCTGGACGCCGCGAACATTGCCTACAATCGACAAAACAAAACTAGCGGCAAGTTCAGCTACTACCAGGTGAGCTAAGGGCCTTCTCGCAGCACTTGCGTTGTTGCGACGCGAAGCCGCAGCTCCTTAGATCACCCCACTCTTTTGCGAGTCCTTTCGCCTCTCAAACAACGCACCCTCTGTATTACTGCTGCTGCTGCTGTTTGCAGGTTGAGAGGCTGCGCCAGGCTTTGGTGGCGCGAGGAGAGCGCCCTCTTATCATCATTCCCGGCGTGTATTTTTGGGGAATGAGGACGAGCACAGGGGGTGCTGCCTCCTCTGCCGCTTCGCGCAAACTTGAGAGGCAACAACAGAAGCAGCAGCAGGCAACGGGCAAGGATGGGGGCACCAACAGCAGCGTCTTGTGCGAATTGGGGCTTTGCGTCAAGTGCAGCGATGAAGTGCATGTACCCAATCAGAGCAAGCGCTGCAGCAGTAGTAGTAGCAAGATGGGTGCCGAGCAAGCTTCCAGCAGAAGGATTGGCAGCAGGAAGACACAGAAACTAACTTGCCAAGACAAGGCGCTGCTGCAGCTGTGGCAGCAGCAGCGGTGTCTTTTTGTGTGCGGCACGGGGGCTCACGACGATCATTACCACCTCCTTGCGACGCTGGTCGGTCCTCTATGCAGCAGCAGCGGCAGCAACAGCAGTAGTAGTAGCAAAAGTAGCGAGCCGAGCTCCTCTCAGCAGCAACAGCTGCTGCTCTCGCCGCCGTTCCCGCTGGACGTAGTTCTCACGCCGCTGCAGCAGCACTTGCGGCACCTCTCGGAGGCGCAGCCTCAGAAGCAGCAGCAGCCAGCGATGCCGTCAACAGTTGTTGCTCTGCGAAGATTCATCACGGGACCTCCTCTGCCGGAGCACGAGCTGCTGCAGCGAATCTTGGCGCTCCCCGAAGCGCAGTCCGAGCAGCAGCCTTACGCGGAGGAGGCGACACAGACGCTCCCCGAGGGGTTGCCGCTCGCACCAGAATCCTCGCAGCAACAACCCCTCGTGCCGCAGGAGAGCTATGCAGGTGCCTACTTGCCTCTGCCCCTTTTGACCAACGATCGCTTCCGGGACCATCGACTAGCCTCGCAGCTCCGGCTGCCGTTTTTGCATTGGAGGCAGTTGTCTCTGCTCCCGTTCGCCTTCCATCACCAGCAGCAGCATCAGCATCAGCACGGGCTGGCGCTTTCAGGGATGGAAAAAAGCAGGAGTCGCTGGAGAGGGGATCAAGCCTTCTTCGGCAGCGAAGCGCAGCAGAAGCCGGAGCATCAGCAGCAGAGGCACGGTGCTGTGCAGCAGCGGAATCAACCGACATGCAGAGGCGCCAACGCGCAGCTGGCTCTGCGGGAAGGTGGGCAGCAACAGCACCAAAAGCAGCAGCACCAACAAGAACAGCCGCTGCGGCAACAACCCGCGCATGAACAGGAGAGTACAACCAGCAAGCGGGAGAACGAGCTGCAGCAGCACCGCGAAAGGGGTTTCTTCGCTGGTGCTGCTCCTGCTGAGGAGGCCCAGCAGCAGGAGCAGCAGCAGGAGCAGCAGGAGGAGGAGCTTCTCCAGTGGCGACATGGAAGCAAAGCCCTAGAAAACATCTTTGTCCCCCCGGATGCACCGCTGCTCTTCGTAGGGGAGCGGAGGCTCGTTACTGCCCGCATCCAACAACACCAGCCGCAGCAGCGGGAAGCACGAGAGATTTGGCATATCCCTGTGGAAAATCCAAGCGAGGCTGCAGCAGCGTCACCCGCAGGCGCGAGCGACGCGGTAAATAGCAGTTCTTTTTTGCACCAGCAGCAAGGGGCAACAGCAGCATGGGAACTGCCATCTCTGCAGCTTCTGAGCACCGTGGATAATCCAAGGGCATGGCAGCAGCAGGAGGCCCTTGAGGGGGAGAGGCTATGGCTAGGTTTCGACACACTTCCCCTAGTTACCCGCATTGCTGCGGTGAGCAGCAAATTGCAGCAGTTGCAGCAGCAGCAACGTCGCAAACAGCAACACGAACTTGGCGAGTAGGCGTTAAAGCCTCAAAGTGTGTATGCTCAATTGTTTTAAAAGGGAGTTTGCGGGGGACTGCGCAGCTTCAAGAAGCTGTTTTTGGTGCGAGGGCTGTCTCGCTGAGGAATACCAGCCATCGCACTAGCAAGCACTGCTGCTGCTGCTGCTGCCACACTCACGCACACTGACAGCTTTTGGTGTCCATTAAAGTCCGTGCAAGGCCTGCTCAACGAGCAGTCAGCAGGAAGCGACCTGGAAGCAGCAGGAAGGGGGCAGCACGGGGTGCTGCGCGTCGGTTGCTGGTGGTGTTTGCTTTGTTGCGGGTGTAAGACACTGCGTCATTCGTTAGATCCTTGAAACAGCTCCGCGTCTGCAAGGGGCCTTTGGTCGAAACTTGTGTCCTAGATAAACCAAAAGGGGCAGCAGAAAGTAGGGGCCGCTGCTCCTGTCGGTATTGTGCTAGCGGGCTGGAAAGGTCTGGAAAGATAACGAGTATTATCATGTGCAGATTAAAAGAACGGCCTACGGGCAGACAGATGCACAAGCGTTCCCGTAGAGAAACAGAGGCAGAGAGAGAGAGAGGAGACAGGGACAGACAGAGAGATATGCAGACAGACAGAGATATATACAGACAGACACAGACAGAAGGACAGCAGCAGTAGTTGTGCTAGAGGCAATGGCTGGTCCTGCTGCTGGTGCATGAATCTTGTATAAAAAGCAGTGTTGCAGCAAGGTGATTTGCGTGCCCAGCACTTCTTTAGGGACTGTTGACGCCCCCAGAGTCTTGGTGGCCTTGACCTCGAGCTGCTGCTGCAAGGTGCCTCGAAAAAAACCCGTACATGCTACAAGGCAGCTGTAAGCAGCGAGTGCTTGTAGCTCTAGGAAGAGGCAAGGGGATACGGGTATTGTAGTAGCAATAAGCGCTGCCAGGCAGAGACGCTCTGCACAGTGGCTGGCCCCAAAAGGGCAGAGAGGCTCCTGTGGGACTGTTGGTTTTGGCGTCCAGTTTCCTCGGGCGATTAGCAGGTGCTCCCGGATCTGCTGCCGTGGGTGGTGTTGCTGCAGCGGAAGCGGCACTTCAGATGCCCCCCGCTGTTTCTCCATGCGTAGTATCTGCTAAGCGTGAAGAGCGACACCGGGTGAGCGGCGACAAGGCGTGACAAAGTACAGAAGAGGCGTTCTTCCTCCTCGTGCACGGCTGCGGGGCCTACGGAGGGAGGCGCAGCGGCACTGTCGGCTATGCCGAGCAGCTCGAGTGGGTGGGGTGGAGTGAAGAAGTCGATGGCTAGCGGCAGAAACTGCGTTCTTAGGCTCAGGCGGTGCAGGCACAGGCCCACAAAGACGTCTTCGTTGTACACCTCGGGAGCCTCTGTGGACACTGCGACGACGGCGGCAGCAGCGGCAGCAGACAGGATGTAGAAACCCCCCGCTGCGTACAAGGGGTACAGGGCATACGGGTAAATGTCTCCAGGCTGGTAGTTCTTGTTGTCGAGGCTCCTGAGCACGGGGCCCCCGTGAGTCCCTTTTCGCGGGGCCCCGTAGACGTGGTCGGGGAACTCCTGCTGTTGCTGCTGCGCCAGCGTCAGAATGAGCTTGCGCCGCTGCTGCAGCATGACGTCTCCGTCCGTTTTCAGGAGGAAAGACGCCTCTGGGCAGTCTTTGGCGAACCAGTGCAGCAAGGATATGCTCTTCGTAACGAGGGTGTCGTAGCTGTCTGCGGGAGAGAGGAGCAGGAGGTCACCTGCGGCAGCGGCTTCCGCGTCCAACGCAGCGGCGATCACGGGGGATCCGGGAGCGTTTACCACAAACACCCGCTTCAAACTGTGCGGCCCCACACGACCCTCGCGGCCCCACGTCCGCCTAACGGCATCCCGCACCGCAAACTCCTCGGCACGCGTGTACACAGCCATCAGCAGAAAAGGACCTTCTCCGCCGCTGCCGTCCAGGCCCTCGCTGCTGCTGCGGCAGCTCTTGATGCGTGGATACGCGAGCATGCGCCAAGACTGAACGGGAGAAACGCCACGGGGGGCCCCGCAGGCCCCTGTGCACGGTGCCTCCGCGGGTGGGGGTTCAGGGAGGGATAATGCAGCTACGGCCATGGCTGCCTGGTGATAGGCTTTTGCCGCAGCATCGGCCACTGCATCATCCTCGTAGCTGTCGAGGGTGTCATCGTGGGTGGCAGCGGCTGCCTCGGCAGCTGCCAGTGCCTCGGCAATGCGTCGCGCAGTGCCACGCAGCATGGGGGCTTCCGAGTGGGACGGCAGCCAGCCGCTGCCGGCTGCCGTCGCTGTCGCCTCTTCTGCAGAGGCCGCCGCTGGCAGTGCTGGGGGGAAGTGGCTGAAGGGGCACATGAAGCCCGTTTTTTGGCATTGGTGCGCGAGCACCAGCACCACCAGAAGCAGTGAAAGCAGCAGAACATGGGCAATGAGAAGGAAGGGGGGGGGCGAGGAGGAGGCCAAAGAAGGAGGCAGCATTGCCTAGCAGAGAGGAGGGCCTGAGGCTGGGCTCCCAAGTCAACGCTGACAAATCCTCAGTGTTCAACTCCGACGGGTCGGCTGGTCGTCCCCTGCCGGAGCCTAAGACCTTACCTCTCTCTCTGCTCTTTCCTTTGCTTGTGGAGGCTTCATTCTCGTCAGAACCAGCGAAATTTCAGAAGGCAAAGTAAGGGCTTCCGCGGGCACCGTTCTGCTTTGTCTTGGAGCACGATGAGGCGCCTCCCGGGTGGAGGTGTTGCGAGCCTCGGCGCAGCTGTGGGAACAGTTGCTGCGGGGCAGCTGCTACGCAGCACGCGAAGGTTGCTGCTGCTCATAGGATGCACAGGGCTGATGAGGCCCTCGTTGCACGGCTCAAGCCCTTTCCCCCTGTCGTTGGGAACGATGTCTTGCTCAAGGTCACCGAGGATGCCGCCGGAAAGGTAGCTGCGTAGAAAGCCAGCGCAAATAAAGGGTAAAAGCCATTCGTAAAGGTTGCAGGGGCAAGAGAGTCAAACTTGCTCGCGCCTAGCAGTAGACAACACATTGAGTGATTCAGGCTCGCGTTCCTCCGGTGATCCACTGACTGACCACCGGTGAGCAGGGCAGATAAGGCTTAGATGCAGTCCATAATCTGATTCAAAGCCCTTCGGCTCAGGTTTCAGTGGTTCAGATCATTCGTTCCTCATGACTTGCGGTTGGACGAACGCCGCTGCCCTTCACGGCTAGAGGGTTGTAATAGATCTCTTGAGCAAGCGTGGAATTACTGTTTCTAAGGCCAGAAGTTGCTTATTCAGAGTAAAATTTTACCCTTTGCGTCAGTTTTTAAAGGTGGAGCGTTTTCTGTTTATAATTTTGTGAGCGTAAGTAGCCACGTTATTTAACCTCCTCATGAGAGGGAGATCCGCGATCACGCAGACCCGAAGGTGCATTTGATACTGGGGTGTCCGACATCATGGAAGACTAATAGCAGATAAAGACTGCAATTTAGTTCACAGCATGAAGTTTCTATGCAACTGTGTCGGAGTTTTATAGAAGCGATGCTGAGTCCGAAGTTCGCAAAATGCGGTTCCCTTCAGAGCGCGCCGAAAAAAGGCACACAGTGCTGGCGGCAAACAGAAAAGGCCTCTATCATCGGGAATCTTATAGAAAGCGAGGTATAGGGGCCCTAAGCAAGGCGCCTTCGGTATGCTGGGTGGAAGACAGTTGAACCCTCCACCCAAAGCCACGAATCTAGTGTACAAAGCAGTGTCTCTCCCTTCAAAGCCTGGACGTCCTGTATCCTCTTCCTCGCTGCTACACCAGGTGCAGCAACACCCCCACCATACCTCGGCTCCTACGCCTGCACCCTTAGGCAACTGCCGTAAATAGGCCCTGCTCTTTGCTGCAGCAAGTCTGCTGCGTGTGCTGACGCAGCCACTGCCCAACTAAGCCCTCCAAAGCGCCCCCCCAGCCGCAGCCGCAACAGCCACACGCGAACACTGCAGCACATTTCTCCCGAAGCAGCAGCAACACCAACACCACCAGCAGCAGCAATAGCAGCAGCAGCTGAAGGACAGCGCTTTCCCTGCAGAGTAGCAGAGGCAACGGCGGTGCGTTACACGCCACACATATTTGGCGCTTGGTGTTTACTTTTTGCCTCTTTTAAGCTTCTTCTGATCAAAGGGGAAAAGGGAGTCATCGCCCACTGCCGCCTCGTTTATCTCCGATGCCCAAAGGCTCTTGTGCCCGCACGAGGCCCCTCCACCTCGTAAGACGCAAGGGAAGGCAAAGCCTTGCTCGTCTACTGCAGTTGGTTCCGCCTTTGTGTGCTTTATGCAGTCCCCGCCGACCAGAAAGAAACCCTGCAGATAGGCACAGTCACAGCCACAGAGAGAGCCAAGAACAAGCGACACACACACAAGACAGGACATAAGAGGAGCTGCATGAAAAGCCTTCTTGAGAATCGCATTAGCCTTATCGTACATTGATCTTGAAAGAATGCTCAAAAGGGATATATAGTGGCTATCAACAGTGCGCGCCTTTAGATCCGCGTCGTGCCTTCATTGCTGTGCGTTTTCCCTGCCGAGAAACGCCCTACTCCCCCGCACTCTCTGAAAGCCCTTTTCTCTTTGTGACCACCGTTCTTCGTAATTCCTTCCTTCCCCCCTCTCCCTGCAGGCCTTGCCCTCTCCCCCTCCCCCTCTCCCCTAAATAGAGACCCTTCCTTCCCCCCTCCTCCTCCAGTCGCGCGCTCGTCCTTCCCCTCTTGGCCTTACTGGCTCGCAGGTGAAGGTTCCTTGTATTTGCTTGTCAGCCACACAGGCCTCCGTCTTCCCCATTTTACTCTTCCCTTGCAGATAGCCAACAGGGCACACGATCTGCACGGCAGCCAGCTCTAGCTGCTCGCACTGCGCCTCTCCCCAAACAGTTGTCGCGGGCTTCTTGATCTTCTTCTTGCTCTTCTGAGCTCCTAAATGCGAGCCGTCACGGTCGCCTAGCAGCTCCTTTGGGTCTTGCGCTATGGCGTGCTGCAGCATGAAGCCATCTGGACAGCTCCACTCAGGCGGAAGCGTCTCTAGCCCTGTGCAAACCTGCCGAAGAGGCTCAAAAACCAGCCCTTCCTTGCAGTGAGGCTGCGCAGGGGAATACTCCAGCAGTAAACAAGAGGAGGTCAAAGCGTCGTACGAGCCCCCTGGCCCCCCGCACTCAGGAAGCGCTGGTACCACCTCGCGCTGCAGATGCATATCAGATGCGCACATATGCACACATCCGTGCAACCAACCGACCACCCAAACACACAGGCACACCCACGTCTTGGCTATGGAGAGAGGATGTAACGCCCGCGCAAGGAGAACACGCATCTCACAACACATCTAGCCAGGTATCCACTTGTATGCACTGTACGGACACCCGGGGGAAGAGGCAGATGCACGCGTGCGTGCAAATACTAAACGTTTTCCCCCGAGTAGATGGCCTTTTTCAAGAAGCAAGTAACGGAAAACAAAAGTGGGGCATCCAGCAGCAGCGAGACACATGACCCCATGCGGCGCAAGAACAGGGGCCAGCAACAACAGCAGCAAAAGCGAGGGGGTGCCTGACAAACGAATTTCGCCAGCCCTAAAGCCCCTCTTTGGCGACGCCTGCCCCGCTTATCGCGTGAATTGCTGTTCAAGGTCTGCGCCTGGCTAGCCAGCTAGCTAGGTGCACTTGATGGCTCGCTGTTACTTAGGGAGGTGGGTGTACCGAGAGGCAGTATCCGTCTGCCTGGGTTTCGGACGCTGCTGCGGCTACGCAGAGCGCTTCAGGGGGTTGCTTTATGATCTCGAGACAAACCACGCTATTTGTCTCCTTAGACGTGGTGGCGTGGCTGCCGGTAGGACAGTCCAACCGCAATGCATCCACAGATATCGCAAGGGCCTCGCACTGCACCTCCGGCGCATTCATTCTCCAGCCGTGAACACCCTCCGAGGAACCTGCCAGGCTGCCATCCACCGCAATGAGGCTTCCAGTCGCCTTGAGGATATCTTCCTTGCTACCTTCGCCTTTCTGGGGGTCCTCAGACAGCCAGATACTGCGAGCATCCTGCAATCGCCTACTAACACCCTCCATTAGAGGGCTGCCGGGTGCTCCCCAGACGCGCCGCTGCCACTGAGTCGTGGGCATCACGCCACCCCTTTCCTCTACTGTGTTGTTGGAAGGCTCTGGAGCGAGGGAGAGGCCTCCTCCGTCCTTGTCGACCTCGCCTTTCAGTGCCTCCTCCTTTCCCTCCTCCTGTAGCAGCAGCTCGTGGGACCGCCGGAGGCTTTGCAGAGGGCCCCCTGCCCACTTGGAAAGCCTGTACAAGGGCTCCTCAGTGCCCTTCTCATGGCCTTCCAATCGCTCTTTTAAGTTTCCAAAGTTCCCCACAAAAACCAAGGACGCTCCATTCGAGGTTGTGTCTGAACCAAGAATCTCCTCCGTTGCGGCTTTCTTCTGGGGAAGAAAGGTCGCAGCCGTTTCCTCTTTGAGCCCAAGCCGCTCTGGAATTTCTCCCTTCATTTCTCCCTTCATTTCTCCCTTCATTTCTCCCTTCATTTCTGCCTCCATGAATTTTTCTCTGCTTTCCACCTTTCCCTTGTGCGACATCTGCATCTGCCCTCCTACGCTGGTCCCGCTGGTATCAAGGCCTTCACTGGCGGGTGCAGGGGGGAGGCTCTCTTGCGCCTCAGTAACAACTGCCGTATCGCCGATGTGGCACGAAAAATTCGGAGACTCCCTCTCCACGCGAGCGCAGCCGTCCTCCGCAAGGGTCTGCTGTCCTGCCTTGGACAGGAAGTGGTTGCTGTCTTGCGGGCAGACGAAAATAGGTTCTTCCTCCTTTACGCACTTCTGCCTCTCTGCCACGTATTCCCATCCCTCTTTGCACTGAGGGATGGCCCTCCCTAAAACGACCCGTCTGCAATCTCCGGTCTCCTTGTCGAACGCAAACCCAGCGGCGCAAGAAGGCAAAGCTCGATACCTCTCTCTCTGCACGCAAACTCCACCCTCCATCTTGAAGGGAGGCCTGCAGGAGGGCACCCCCGGTACCTCCCGTTCCAAAAGACAAAGGGGGGGCCCTCCTAGGCCTTCTGTCATCGAGAAGCCGGAGGCGCAGCGATATGAAGCTAATGTGCGTGTCCAGCGCACACATGTGTCCTGAGAAAGAAGAAACACCACCGGCAGAACCGTGGAAGCCTTCATTCCGATAAGGCCCTCCCTACTCTCGTGAGAGCTGTGCGTTCTGCTCCTTCCCCGTGAGTGCCTGTTGCCTGTTGGCTGCTGTCACTGCTTCGGCTGCTGCTGCTGCAGCCGATAGGAAATACAAGGGGGCATGTGCGCTGCAGAGCGCATGCATCTGCGTTAGATTTCAAGTGCAGGGCAGGGTGTTTTTGAAGCTGGCAGCAGCAGCACCCGCCAGCCCCCCTCCCTCTCCTCCGTGCAGCCGCCTTTTGGCTGCTGTTGCTGCTTCCGGCGGCACCTAAATTCCCCTGCATTCACCTTACCTGTTGTAGAACAAAGCCAACGGGACAAATAGGGGTGGGGTTGCTGATGTGCCGCTGCACACAGACCCCGCCCTCCTCTGCAGTGCCTCGATCGCACGTCCACAAAGGAGACTCCCCAACAGGCTTCACGCAGAGTATGCTGCCCAGTTCTCCGGAAGGATGGAAGGTCGGGGGACAGAGTGGTATGGGTTGCACCACCGTGCGGCGCAGGCAGCCCTTCTCGTAAGGCACAAAGCCTGTAGACTCGCATGCGACACAAGCGAGTAAGCCGCGCGTTTACGTCTGGGGAGGCATGTTGCTACTACGGCCTTACAGGTATCTGGAAAATCGCAGCTCCGAAGGTTATTATAGTAATGGGATGGGGGCCCTACCGGACGGGCAAATCCTCTCGGGCAGTACCGAGTCGGTAACGAGGCAGGCGCCTTGCTGGTTTTGAAATGAACCATAGGGACATATCAGCTGTACGCACGCACGCTCCTGATGCTTGCAATCTGGGACACAATATGTATGAGTCGTGCTTTCTGCGACTGTAGCAGAGGGCAAGAGGTAGATACCTGTATTTTTTACAGCTTTGCCGTGCGGGGTTTCAAATCTGTATTCAAGGAAGGTTTGTAGGGATCCGGCCCATGGGCTGACCTGTGGCTTCATGAGTTCTACTTTGACACATTCCCCTTCCACACTATCGAAGCCTACTGGACAGGATAGGAATACCTCTCCTGCCAGGGGCTGGGGGGAATGTATGGTGTTTTTCCGAAGTGTTAGGCTCATGGCTTTCTTGTCGCCTTCTGCAGCAGCTCCCATTGCGTAACACAAAAGGAGAGCAATCTTTCTAATTAGAGCACTGGGGGATGAGAAGCGAAGCCTGGAACGCCTCCAAAGTGCGGGAGGCATGCAGTCTAGGGAGGCCTCAAGACTTTGAACTCTTTCGACTGTGCGCCGCTGGGGGCGCTGGAAGCAGCCGGTCCTCTTCGGGGATGCCTCGACAGCTCTGACAGTGCAGCCACGATGGGCCGGCTGGTGGCTGGCTAGCGGGATGGGAGAGGGGCAAGAGTGTGCAACTAGCGGCAGAGAAGGGGGGATGGGACCCGGGGTACGGGCTTCATGTCCCCGCGGTGGTCGCCGCCGCATGGAGGACGCCATCACCATTGAAATGGAAAACTCTAAACCCTACACCCTAAAGAAGAGCATCATTAGCGGCGCGGCTGGGCTGTAGGATATGATACGCCCAAAGACCAGCGGATAGACCAGCTCAGGAAGCATAGAGGCAGTGAAAAGTTATTAGAGAACGGACGAGAAACGCAAAGAGAAGAGTGAGTCACAGAGGAGCATAGAAACCTGTTGTTCATTTCCCTCCTTTGTTTCTCTTTAACATGCTGCTGCTTCCGTAAAGCAGACTAGTAAAAGGGCTTAGCTGTAGCACAGGGGCAGAGCCCCACGGCTTCTTCTGCTGCTTTTTCTCCCTTGAAACCAATATTTCCTTCATTTACTCTCATTATGACTTTTTCTTTGGGCTGTATTTCGCTGGGTGTACGTAGCTAAAGATCCTCCGCTTCGGGGCGTTGCCTCTCGGAAAGTATTACCTGCCTCGTTGTGGGGTCACTTGAGGGGCCATGAAGAAAATTCGCTCCCAACAAGTGCGTGGCGTTCGCTGACCAATGTACGCTTTTGATGTATAGGACTGCTAAGGATATTTTACGGCTTATTTCTGACCGCTGATTTGGCGGTTCTCTGCACTCTTCTCTCCTGGACTCAAAACTGTAACAGGCAGCTAAGTGAGTTAGCAAACGTATGTATTTGACGGTCTGAGCGTTCGACTCGCGTACTACGCACAACACCAAGAAAGTCTAAAGCTGCAGCTGGCTGCTTTTAAACCCAGCTAGCAACGCTACTCGTAACGGGGAGGATGCCACGATCCTGGACTCCCCACTAGCCCAATTAAAGAAGGAGTGCCTGAAGCCACGATGTATGCAGATGGCTCTGTAAAGTCAAAAAAGTATTCATATGGCCTGAAACTCAACGCGAGAACAGATCCGAGAAGAAGAAATCGCCATGTGGGTAGGACACATGTCGCTTCTTTCCGACCCTCTGCAGGCCACCGCGACGCAATTTGAATTTATGATCCAAGGCTAAGGGAACAGCTTTTCTTGCCCAATCCACGCAAACGCAATAACTGATCCTCTATACAAACACATCAATGCCGCATATTTACGTGAAAATATTCCATTGTTCAAGTCTTCGCTTCCCCCCCAATCCTTCACGCGAACCGCACAGACTTAGTCCGTGGCGATTCTCTATTCTCTGGTTCTCTTAATTTTTGACTATTTTAAACACCGCCTGCATGCTACCATGGAACTCATTATATGCATGCTTGATCGTAATGTGTCCTGCATACAACGGCGCTTGCATGATCCTAGTTCTGCAATTATACGCCGAGATGCATGTTTCCTTACGAGTACCAGCGCCAAAGAATTGTGAAAAAAACGGCCCTCTTATTGCTTTTCTCTCTATATTGCGGTGGTTTTACATGATAGACGAAAGAATTGAGTGCAGGCAGTATATTAACCCACTACATTATCATTTACAGCCTTGAAATAACACTAACGCAGCAACTACGACGAGAAACGGCGGACATACTGTCCTAGAAACTACAACCAAAAGACATAAGGATAATGAAGAGCTTCACTCTTCAGATCCTACGAGTTTCCATTGTTCCAAAATATCTTGCGGAAGAACATGCGCGTTGAATGCGTTTTCTGGGCGCATTCAAGTTTGGAGCTCAGAATGTAGCCTTAAAACTTCATAAAATTCCTACCGGATTCGTATATCTCCCGCAGGAAAGCGAAAAGATAAGTACCAACAAACCACACTGTGGATGAGAAAAACCAAAATACTTCATGTGATAATCGGGAATTATGATGAAATATGGGCGTACCGAGAATGGCGACGTATGGTTCCCACTTAGACCATTGCAGTTGGCATGGAATGAAGAAAGTCGAAAGTGGATCTGAACAGAAATACGAGCATCACGCTATTAAAAAGTTCTGCCAGCATGATGCTATATAAATCAAGCACTGTTCGGGTATGTTACGAGCAACAGTAGAGGATACATCCACGGAATGTGATCACAAAGGCTTTTGACATTTGTACCAATAATTAGGTACAAATGTATAAACACCCACGGCACCGCCCCTTTTCTGCCTTCGTGTTGACTTTAAAAACTGGTCATACCGAGTGGACTGGAAGAGGCTCCAAAAAGAAAGATCATCTAGTAAGTAAGACAGAACAGCTGGTCAATACGCGATACTTCACAAATTTGTAAATCAATGAAACGTACTTGGCAAATCGCTCCAGCGACCACCCAGGCGCAACCAAAGGCCATTAAATAGCGAGCCCACACCCTGAAGAATGACATATGCTATGCACAAAGTCTAGAGCTGATATCCTAATATCCGAACCTTGCACGTTCTCTTTCGTCCGATGTCACGGGCTCCATGTCCCTCGCATATGGAGGCAACGAGAAGTACACCAAACCACCGACGACGAAAAGAAAGGTATAGTATATAGGCCTCAAAACATAGTAATAGTGATCCGCAAAACCTAAGATCGATGTGTTTTGGGCGAATACGTTTTTGAAGACGTAGTTACCCATTATGGCTGATTCTGAAAGAAAACCATGAGCGTACCCGTATCAAATATTAGACCGGCAATTCCTAAGGAATAAGAAGAGCGCCTACACAAAAGTCCAGGAATATTTAATGCGAACAAGGCCTACCGCAAGCAGCAGGACTAATGTCGTCGAAAGGAAGACCAGACCAAAGGGCCAGCAACAAGTTTCCCGCCAGCTGAACTCCAACCATTTTATTACTTTGTCCACGAATGCAGCTCAAATATTTATTGTACTCATCTGCCGAAGCAGCTTTTTATGCATTTAGATGGGATGGCGCGCTCCCTGTGTGCTAGCCGTCAACCCAGTTCCTTTTGTGTTTACCAGGCAAGAAATAAACGTCGTGAGAGTCGCCTGCAACTTGCTGGAGGCCATGGAGGCCAAGTACCCGACTACCCCTGGAAGAGAGCAATTCATGGTGCTAACTGTGTCTTGTCAACTTCTGCACTCTCTTGCGCCTCTCTCACCTGCAACGATGCTGCAGATTATCGCCACAGCGAGCTCAGGTAGCACCCCATAAAAAACAGAAAGTGAGAATGACATGGCTGCATAGCCTGTTGTTGACAAAGTAGATAATACAAAAGGAACTTCTACCATCACTTTCATGAAATGGCCCTACCCGTCATTGAAGCCCATGAGTAAATCTGGTAATCCCGCAAACCGCCTAGAATGAACACGAATGGAATATATTCATGAAACATATTCATGAGATGAGGGAGAGAAATTGACTCACCATAGGCTCCAAAAAAGCAAAAGGGCACAACAGCCGCCACACACACCAGGGACACAAATGTTGTCAGGAACATGGAACCTTGCTGCGGTTTGTCTGTGTGGCCCATCCTTCTAGACTTGTTTTGAGTACAAGACTGACTTGTGGAGAGGCTTTCGGATAGCCTTCAAGCGGAGTCAAAACTGCAGTTGCATGAATGCTCTCGCTTGAGTGAGGCCTGATTTGCATAGCAGATTGAGAATTTGAATACCAGGACGAGCAGTGCCATGCATGGCGTCGGATTTGGGCCCGGTCGTTTGCGGATTGTTCGCCTCTCCAGGATACACCGAAAGATCATATACAACGTCTCTTAGGAGGCGACCCGCTGGTGTGTGCTCTGGGACAGGCAAGTGTGTGTTCCCATGAACGAAATCGCTCTAAACCCATTTATTATTCAAGTAGACATAGAGAAATAATTACCAAAAAATTTTGTGAACTTCATCAAATTAGAGTCGTATTTTTCAAGCGCGTCCTCCAGGACACTGCGGTTACCCCGTGCGAACGATGCAAAAGTGGGAGGACGCACGAAAAGAGCGGTGGGTGAGTCATTTCCATCTGCGGAGCCGTTGAGGAAACCACAGAGAAATATGAGGAAACAGGCCGATGGGAATTGCATCATTAGGCCGCACAGTGACAAAAAATATCGTAGAATCACTGCGTTTTGGTAGTGAGCACAAATCCACTGCAAACTCTGCAGTGTACGTACAGCAGGGTAATTACAATTTACGCCGCACCGACAGGCTGCAGTCGAATTGATTGTTAGAACAGACCCCTCAAAAAAGTATCGTCATATTCAGCCATCTGGTGGCAGGCTGCATTTTATCAGGTTTGCATTCTGCCCATTTCGGAATAGACACTGTACCACGCATGCCCAAAACCGCAAGGAACAATACGAAGCCAACACCACCTGGAACAAAATGTAAAGCGCAAAAGACCCAGCTGCAAATTAACAAGCAGCGGGGTTTGTTGAGCAATTCAATTGCCGTCTGGTTAATGCGCAGTATATTGTTTCACGTGATTCGCTTCATGATCGATTTTACGGAATCAGTGCTGCCACGTTCCTCTACTTCCAAAGAGCTCGCAACCTAGTCTGTTTGAGCGGATAGGCAATTTTTATGCCTTATAAGCCTCTGCTGACAGAAGCGGGGCTGTAGAATCCAGATATATCTGGGCGTCCCGGCTCTACGTCGCTTGATGTTGTTACCCAGCATGCCAGCACCGTTATATCGTCCATTTTTCCACCTGTAAAAAAGGAACCTTCCTGGCGTGCGTGTTTCATGAATGGAGTCCTCGCAGTTGGCGAACGACTGCAGCAGGAGTAGCAGCGCAATGACAATACAGACGAAATGCTTCAAGCATAATCGTGAACGGAGACAAGAAAGCGGGAGATTCAGAGGGAAAAGAAAAGCAAGAGAATTACACAGGGCGGCACGCGAGAGCAGTCATCACACCTCCTGTGTGCGGCAGCCTCTCCGATAGCTGTAGCGATAGCCGTGGCCGAAGTAGCCAGGGCCTCGTTGCCAAGGAGGTGGGCCTCGAAGGGGCTCAATGTAAGATTTGTGATTGCGCAGATTTCATAGTCGAAGAGATTATCGAAAACGCCGTCTGTTCCAAGGATCAGGAGGTCGCCTTCCATGACTGTCACGCAGCAGAGACTGGCGGTTTCAGGTGTATCTTGGGGGATAATGGCTGCGTTTTGCAAAAGATGCAAGAGCGCGTCTTTCCCATTTTCTCTAAGCTGATCGTACTCCGAAGGCTGTGGCAAGCGGCTGAGCTGGAAGGGACAATTGAACTGATGTTGCTGTTCCCTTGATCTGAAAACGCAGGTCATCTGGTACCAGAGCTGCCGCCTTAGGACTATCACAGCACTGTCTCCCAAGTTTGCAATGCCGATCTTGTCACCCCCCTCATGTCGGACCACTAGCGCCGTTGCGCTTCCAAAACTCCTGGTATTGCTGTAGCCCCTTCGCAGCACATCGAGAGCGCGCACATCAAGAGTTTCGCCTTCGACATCTTTGGCAACAGCAGCGTCACAGCAACCCTTCATCAGCTCCTCCGCAAACAGCCGTGGATCCAAATCAAAGGAATCCCATTCGCCGACCCCGTCAGCCACTCCCACCGTCACTGCGCCACCAGCACCCTGTGCCGCGATGAAATACGCATCTGCTCCTCCGGTCTGCATTTTGTCAGGATGTGGGAGCAAGAAGAACCCACACTGGAGGCAGAGATCCTTTCGTGCTCTCTCCGGGTGGGGTTTTGAACCTGGCCCAAGCCCTAGCAACACCTCAGGAGCATGAAGGAGAGACAGAACAGAACGCGGGTACGTGGACAGAGACAGAGACATGGAACGGACTCGACGCAAGTTGTCGACAGCCGCCTGGGTTGAAGGAGACGGTGGCTCTAGTTGGAACCGAAGGCCCGTGGTGAACTCCGTTGAGGAAAAGTTGCGCTGCAGAGAAACGCAAATAAGTAGTGCCCATGAAAAAAATGCCCAGTCTTCGGTAGTTGAACGGGGGAATCATAGACACATAATGATGCACAAAGGTGATACGCAAACGATGCGGCCCATGGCTACGTATGAACATAAAAGCTTCGTTGAGCTCCTCACGCTTCAGCCCCCTAGGGGTTAAGAATACAAAGGCACGCATGAACACGGAATGACTTAGCAAGGGGAATGTGAGAATCAGTGAAGCTCTAGACAAACAAAAATGTGAAACCAAGAGGCCGAAGCTGAGCCCCAACGGTACCGTGTGGCTCCGAGAACTACTTTGTAAAACTTCGAGGACCAGAAATCTGAATGCAGAGATGAAACGGAGGGGCAATACGAGATGTGCGGCAAAAAGGTGATGCAGCATACAGATGGTGGCCTTCGTTCCTCCAGGTCTTCATCGTCCTCAGCGTATCGTGGCCACCATAGAACTTCGTTATCTCGATCGTCGGCTCGCTTCAGCTGACTTTGGCTGTCTGCAGCTTCTTCTCCCCGGGAAACTGCGGTGTCGGCACTCGTTGTTGCATGCGCCGCTGCTGCCGCTGCTGAGTCGCTGGCAGCCCGAGAGGCCGCTGCAAACAGACTGCTGGTCAGCGCACTGTCGTTCGCAGCAGGAGACAGGTCCTCCTGGAGACGACACATGTTGTTCCAGTTGCCTGTGGAGTCCTGGAAACGCAGCATCAGTAACGTGGAGACACAACGTAGGACCATGAGCAGCGGCAACCCGAGCAACCTAGGACTGCACCTCAAAATTGCAGCCCAAGTTGCTGAAACAGAGGTAATAATAGAGTTACCAGGTGGAACAGAGGAAACGGGTGAAATACATCGACTCAAAGAGCATACCCAACGTTTTCCTTTCAAGCCGATTCGTCAGACCATGCACTCCCTTGAATCCCTTGCAAAGTCCTACACTCCCAACCCTACTGCCTGAACCCACTTTTGCCTCACTTGGCAGACTGGAAGTGTGGACTCGAGTCGCCACTGCCCATCTACGATGAACTTGAACTGCAGCTCCCGTGAATTGCATGCAGAAACGGCTGGGCTGAGTTCTGCCACATACGCCCCCGCCTCCGGCTCGAAGTGCAAATCAATGCAGCATGACCAAGGGGGCTCGGAGAAGGTGCCGGCTACCTAAGCACACATGCCACCGTAAAGGCACAGAATATATAGGCGCTGTTCGCGGTAGATGTGCTACACTACGCATGCACAGGAATGCATTGTAGGCATGCGGCTGAGACGCCTAATTCGCTGTGACAGGCAGTGCGGCGGTCTGCTCTTAGAGCCTGTACTACAGAAACAGCCCATACGAGGCATGTTGCAGACTCTCCCTGCGTCACAACTGTCTCTCTGCCGCACTCTCCCCATAGCAAACAACCCTTGACCCGAACTCAGTATCCGACATGGGTTGTGTGGAGTGCTGCCTGCAACAAGGGGGTAGGCAGCACTGAGGGAGGGGCTGCTCACCTGCACTCTGTCGCGAGCGGCACCAGTCCATTTAATTCTTAAGAGTCTGCCACTAGAGAGGGGTCCCTTGGGCTTGCGCGGCGTATCTTCTTCCACGGTGCCTGCGGTAGCGAAGGGGGAATGCCTAGTGATGCTCCTTCTGAGGATCTCTTCCTCCCGCAATGCGGCCTTAGCATCCGCAGTTTGTTGCATAGCCAAGTTCTGCCGCCTGCGCTCTCGGAGTTCAAGCCGCGAAAGAAATGCTATGAGGCACATCGCGTGCGCTTGCGCAGTAGATAGTTCATCCTCGGTCCTTGTTGCTGCTCCTGTTGATGGCGCTGCACCCGGCGTTCCTGCTTCAGTCTCTGCCTCCTCAGGAACGGTGGGCAGGTAGCAGTCCATGGAAAGCTCGCTTTGCTTATGGATGGGCTTAGATACGAGGAGCCTAGGGGTGGCGGGTGCCTCACGCAGAGCACTGGGGGAGAGGAGATCATAGAATGCCTTCCACATCCTCCGAGCGTCCAGCTTGAAACGCCCAGCCCCAGAGGTCCCGGAAGCACCTCGTAGGACCTGATCCTGGAAGCCCATTTGCGTGTGTTACTGTGCCTTGCCACTACACTATGCGCCTCATGTACCGGCCTCTTGATGGTGTGTGAAGGCTCACCTGGGCACCCTGCCCATTAGTGGCCACACCACGAAAAAGGGATTGCATGCATGCATGCATACGACCAGATGTAGGGAAAGCTCAAAAGGGACAGCGCCTACGGTGTATCTCACTTTTGCGGCATGGGATTGTATGCGCAGGCAAGGGTGGCACTGTGGAGGGGCATACCGCGGTTTGGGCCGCTCCCTAGGAGAGGCCCAGAAGAACCGGCTGCTGAAAGCGGGTGGCAGAGACACAGCAGAGAAAAGTGAGAAGTCGCTGGGCTCCCAAGATAGAAAAGACAAAGCTATGAGGGAGAAAGCTGGGGGGTTCCGATGGTTATCAACAGAAGGATGCAACGCAGCCTTTATGTTGAAATTTAAAGAACATTATCCAGCAAATAAAAATAGGCGTAGAGGCGTTGGAGGAGTACAGTGTGCGTGTGCTGCAGTAGCTACATCACGGCCTGGGAAAGCAGCAACGGAGTTCTACTGGCTCTGCCCTCCCTTAAATAAGCAAAAACCGCACAACGCAGCACATCGGAAACAGTAAGAAGCTTCTTCTCCGTATACAGAGCTAGGGAACTCTTGATTGGAGGCATTTGTCGCGCTTAAACCCTATGTCAGCATGTGCGTTCAGGAGGTCACCCTGGGGCTGCTGCGAAATTCTTGCTGCACGAAGTCGCAGACACTCTTAATGCCAGACACTAAAATATTAGAAACATTGAAGGCAAAAAACCATAGTGATTGAAAATGTAATTTCGGCTACAAGAAAACAAGAGGGAAGCAGACCACGGTCATTGATATGAATGCGCATTCAATAGCAACGGAGTGCGAAAGTGCAGTGTTGAAATTACCAAGTCCGAAATTTGGTGTAATTTCAGCTGAATACCTGCTGAAAAAAGCAAATATCGGATAATCCGTCATTTGTACTCTGTAAGGTTCGATTCTCCGGAGTGTTCCGCCCCCCCTGTCTACATACATGAGTTTTGGTCCCCCATAGGCCCCTGGAAGGCATTTCCTTGAATCGCATAGAAATATGATGAGCATAAGAGGAACGAAAGTACGAAAATGCGCCACAGCACCTTGTGTTGTGTCATGTTGTACCGTTCCCCCTGAGGTCTCTAGCAAGACACATAATTCCAGACAGAAGCAAAACTTTATGGAAAGTTAGTCAGTGCCTGTCTAAAAATGTGCTCATTTTCCTTTCCTTGCCTCTCAAAGAAGCTTTATTTATTAGGGCAGAGAGAAAAGCAAGCGTGCGCGTGGCTGCACGCTTAAACCCCTTCAATCCTCATAGCTAGATGCATAGCACCTAGCGCAGACCAACACAATATGCGTCTTCTTGTATCGAGGCATCGTTATTCTGCAGTAAAGAAGATCTGAGAACAGGCCAGCAAAATGATCAAACATTTACTGACTTTTAGGTATGACTACAAGCAAGAATGTAGTATGTATATAGCATAAGCTGCTACACGCATGTTTTAAACCCGAGTTCGCCCAAAGGTTTTGAATGTATTACTTGCAAGCTGATTGCTGCAGCAGAGGATCCTGAGCCATAGAAAATCGAAAGCTTATAAACTTTAAACATATATCATGCCTCTGAGTGGCGAATTTTGTGGAGCCGCTACACTACACCGAGCTCCTGTGTCCTGTTTGGAAGCCTGCTTAATCGAGTAAGGTGCAAATGAAGGGCCTCTGTGGAAGCACGACTTTAAATGTTTGTCGATGGGGCGGACTGGAGTGCGTGCCATGCAAGGAAGGACGGGTTCGTGAAAGCATATTCTTCAACACCCTGTTGAGCAATGGCGGGCCTAGGTGTAGTGGCGTAAATCGCATAATATCGGAACTTTCCACAACAGATATTTTAAATCAAAAACTAGTAGAGAAAAGACCAATTGATTCGCCTGTGCAAATATCTTGTTTTTTATGTCGCTTGTTTGATTTATCTTGGTTGTAACAGGGCCAAGTCAGATTTAATCAATACGATAAGACGTAGAGCTCAATGCCGGCCTGCGAGCTGAACGCCGCTGTGTGCAGCTAGCTGTATGTGTTTATAGTGATAAGAGGATGTAGCAACGCCTAAGCGCCCTAGGAATGCCTCTTTTTCCTGAACTTGGGACCGAGGAGGGTGGTGAGGGCAAAGGGGGGGAACCCAGCTCTTATGGCAGGATGTTCAACAATTGTCTAAAATGGTTTTACTGGCAGCGTCGCCGCATGTAGAGCCTAGAAGCCGAAGCTGATTAGTAGGACTACTCTCCACGGTCTGGGGGAGCAAAGACTTCGAAGCTAGGTGCCTCTAGCTTCCCCCTATCTGTATTTCATAGCAGGGGCCCTACGTCCTCTACACGACTGCTTTAAGAGGTACACCCGAGCGCAGGAGATCCCGCACCTTTCTTTCTGCGAGTCCGCGCCTCTTACTGCACGAATCAAACAGGAGCAGAACGGCCCCTCAGCCCACGGATCTCTTTTTAGGCATATGCACCAGACTCCCTATTGCGCCTGCAGCAAGACTCCCCCTCCACCAGACCACCGTAAACCTCCTTCCTCATTGCGCTGTGCATACCTTAGCTGGCAGCGAAACCAATGAGCATGTGCTCTTGGGGTTTCTGCCCAGAGAAAAAGGTGGTTGAGGCCTTCCGGTGCCTAGTCTTGCCCCTCTTCACTAGCAGTTATTTATAGGCATTCCAGATGCTGCTCTTCTACACAGCCGCTGTATTCGTGTGATGCGCCTGCGATTCTTGCCCGCGTTGCCTCTGTGCAGCCGTCTCCTTCTCCCATCTTCCTTGTTCCTTTGGCTGCTGCCTGCCCTGCCCCTCCCACACCCTCCATTCAGTGTGAGACGCTCTGCAGTCATATGCGCGCACACTATGGAGGATGATGTGCGAGAGCTGTGGTCGGGTGAATGCCAACCACCGGCACCCATTACCCTCAGCTTTCTCAAGGCCGCTAAGGCAGCAGAGATAGGGAGCTACAGCGAGCCACAGTGCGGCCAGAGGGACCAAGCCAGCCCGACAGAGGGGCCCCCTCGCAGGCACCCTGCATGCGCGCCTCCAGACGAGATGCCGTAGCCGCGAAATGCCTCTGGCTGGCCACAGTTAGAAATAAGGGGCCCAAGGGCCTCGTCGAGCGCTGGTCGGGGAAGACGAGGTACTTTTCAGAGGTAGCGCCCTAGTGTGCCAAGTGCTCGCAAGGTCATACACAGACGCACAGCATCTGCTGCCTCTGTACTACACAGAGACAAGCATTGTTTACCTCTTCCAGATGGAAGACCCTCACGCAAAAGCTCTCGAGCGCCATGCGGCCGGGCATTCACTAAGTAGATCCATTTACGTTTGCTTCGGTGCCGCCGCGAATAGCTACACCGCGGCATACTCAGTACCCGCTGTGTCTCTACATGCAGCCAAGGAGCCGCATACTTTCCCTTCTAAGTACTTTGTGCCCTCGTTCGCTGTGTGCTGCGCTGCTCACAACGCACTTGCAGCTAGCTGAAGCAGCTGGCATCTAGAAGCCTCGTGCAAGGAATACGTGTGTGGGCATATACATCGGAGCGTAGGCAACGGCGCATTGAGCGGGACGGCTGCTGCCGTCAAAGCGCGCAAAGTAAACAACCTTGCACCCGACGTAAAGGACAGCATGAAAAAATCGTGCAGCACACCCAGCTAGGTTTCTGCATGTGCTGTCGCTATTGATGCTGAAGGGGGTCCTGGTGCATATGATTGCGCAGAGGCAGTCTTTTCCACGGTTAGCCCTCAGCAAACTATCTAAAAGAGCCGTAGGGAAAGCCGGCGGGTGCGAATGGACGGGTAGGCCCTTCAGGCTGAGAGGTAAGCGCGGATTGGGGGTGATGATACTGGCGGTCCTGAGGCAGCAGCAGCAGTGGCCACTGCTGCTGCTGTTGTTGCTGCTGCTGCTGTTGCTGCTGCTGTTGCTGCTGCTGTTGCTGCTGCTGCAAGGGTGAGTGCTGCAAGGGCTGGAGGTGGTGTTGGCGCTGCTGTTGCCCTGGGGGTTGAAGCCCCACTGACCACTGCGGCTCGAGTGGGGAAGAAGGCAAAGCAAACGCGAGGCTGTTGCTCTGCTGCGGCAGCGGGTGTGTCTGCACCAGCGATTGACTGTGCTGCTGCTGCTGCTGCTGTTGTTGTGTTTGCATCTGCATTCTCTGCTGCATCTGATGCTGCTGCGGCAGCGAGGGCGCCGTTCCCATGGGTGCAGGGACGCTCTCGCCAGTCAGCAGGAAGAAACGTAGCAGAGTCATGAGAATCGCACCAACAGTTGGATCAGTTGAGCGCACCTGCACCGCTATTTGTCTGTACGCAGCAGCAGCAGCGGCGAAGCTTCCGGCAGGATTGAAGCGCGTGTAGCACAGTGCAGCAGCGGAGGCACCCGCTATATGCTGCTGCTTTGGGCGGAACGCCTCGCGGTGTTGCTTTCTTCTGCTAGCTCTAAGCCACAGACCCTTGTGTTGCGTCGTGCAGCCCTAGGCAAGCCCATAGCGTGGGGGTGGGTAAATTCCGCTGGTGTTTGCAAGCACAGAAATCTCGAGGATAAGTTAGGCTCTTTAACGGCTTACCTTTGAGCGACGAATCTTACTCGGCAAGCGCAAGGAACGCTGCTGCGCTTTCCAGAGTCTCGTAAGTGCGAACTCGCGAACTGCAGATTCCCCATTCCTCCAACGTCTCTTCCTGACTGCGACACCCCCACACTTGTGAGCCAACAGTATGCTCAGAGAGACACGGGAGCTTTGGTAACTCCGCAGACACACGCCTGCCTTCCTACTAGGCCCCCCACAGCCGCGGAGGCTGGCTAGCTGGTTCTGCTTCTGCAGACGAGGGGGGTGTGCTGCTTGCTCTACAGGTTGCTGCTGCGATGCCGCTGCTGCCGCTACTACTACTCGGCTCACAGCTGGAGCACGTCAGCAGCCAAGAGGGGGGCAGAGGCACGAAATTTCAGCTCACCAGACCAACGCGCATGGAAAAGGCATGGCGCAGAATCAGGGCGACACTCTCGTGAGACGCAAGCCATGAAGGGCCTGTGAAAGAAAGCTGCTGCTGCGGCTGCTGTGCCTTCCAAAAAGCTTCGGTTGGTGCAGCCGCAGCAGCCTTCATGAAGTGCGCCATCATCACGGGAAGGTCTACGACGTGGCTTGCCACCTGTTGCCATACAGACCAGCACGCACCATCGGCAGCACTAGACGCCACGAGGAAACTAAAGTGCTGCTTATTGTGAAGACAGAGCGCCACGTCTACAAACAGGATCGTCCCCCACACAGACACTAACTAACGGCAACTACGCAAAAGACACACGACAAAAACTCCACACTTACACATACCTACGGCAAAGCCGCAAGAAGCGCAGACTATCGCGCCTCCGGCTCCCACCACAACCAGCACAAACACACAAGAAAGCAGCAACCACCAACTCACCATCATGTCTCCTCCATTTTGCTTCCGCAGCACCCTAACCTCGAGCTGCGGCTGCACCAAAAAAGGCTTCACAAGCCGCAGCAACAGCTGCTGCTGCTGCTGGGCCCCTGGAAGCAAAGCGACCAGCTGCTCCCCTCCGTGGCAGAGCAGTGCTTCATCAGGAGGCAACCTATACGCACTTCATCAGTCACACCCGAAGCAGCAAAGAAGCAGGAGCATATGCAGCAAAAACGCAGCGAATACAGCACGCGCAAGTGCAACACATGCAGCAAACGGAACAAATGCAACAAGTACAGAAAATAATACAGCAAAGACGCGGCATGAGAGGAAATTTCTTCGGTCCGTCCCCTCCCTCTCCTCCCCTCCCCCCTCCTTCCTCTTCCGCCTCGCTAAAGCCGACACTGCCTGGAGACAGGCGTGAAGGACTCATAGAAAGGCTTGAAACTTTAGAATCATCAAGCACCATTGTAAACGTAGGGCTTCAGAGCCACAGTTTCTCCAACGCAGAAACAGAATGCAAGTGCTGCCCTGATGCCGCCTTCTCGTTGAGAGATGTAGCAGTGGCGTCTGCAGCAGCCATGCGCCCCTCAAGGCACACATGCGCCTTCGAGCTGCTGCTGCCGTTACAGCTGCTGCTGCTCCTCCTGCTGATGCCGCATCTGCTCCTCCTCCTCCTGCAGGCAGCAAAGCTGCAGAAAGTAGTGTGGCAAGCCGAGTCTCATCTGCTGCTGATTCGCTCCCGCTGCTAGTGCTTGTACTGCTACTTCTACTGGTACTCCTGCTGCTCCTGCTGCTGCTACGGCTGCTGCTGCTGCTGCCACGGCTCCTGCTGCTGCTGCTACGGCTCCTGCTGCTGCTGCTGCTCTGGCTGCTGCTGCTCTGGCTGCTGCTGCTCGTGGAAGAGATGGCGGCTTTGGTGTGGACGCTTCTCCTCTCGGTTATTGCCTCTTGCGCTGCTTCAGACGGCTTAGATCGCGCTAAAGATCTCCTGTGAGGCGCCCCCATTGCTGCTGCTGCTCCTGCTGCTGTTTCTGTAAACGGTTTCGAAGGTGGTGGCAGTGGCGGAGGCGGCAATGCCTTGCGTTGCAGCACAGCTGCTACTGCAGCCACTCCTTCGGGTGTAATTTTTGCGGGATCAGCAAGAGTCTCAGCCTTCCTAGGAGCAGCAGCACCAGGCCGCACAGAGCCGTGTTGCTTAGAGGGCTTCTCTCGGGGAGGCGGTGTTTGTAGGCAAGCCAAGCCAAAGTTTGGATCAGACATTTGCATCAGCCTGCGCATACACACAGACTCCCCGAGAGAGGCCCCGCCCCCTACACCGTGCGGACTAAAAACGACGTCTGCGAGGAGCAGCTTCCGTCTGACTGGCTGCTTGGTGAGTGTGGAGTGCTACTGGGTAAAACAAACGCGCATGAGGCGCAGGGTGCCGCTTTTACGCCTGCAGTTCATGAGCTCTTGTCTGCGTCTCAAAATCCCAGTGATTGAGGAGAAGGGCGATAGCTGAAGACGCGAGAGGCCTTTCCTTTGGATGCGCTGCCGCTACTTTGCAGATGCAGAGCAGCAGCATGCTGCACACGTTTCCGCCTTCCTCAGCCTCAGCAGCCACGACCTCTCCAGCTGCGGCAGTCACGCTGCTGCTGCTGCTGATGATAGACCACGGCTGACCAGACACTGCAAACGGCTCGATGCCTCTTCGGCTGCGGCGGCGCAAGTGCGCAAATACGACCTGGAGGGCCCCCGAGGGGCCCCCGGGGGCCCCCCGTAGCCACTCGTGAAACTCCCCAATGAGGTAGCAGCACAGCCTGCAACAAGCAACAGAAGTGGCATCAACAGTATGTAGAGCCTCAAAGAGGGCACGCAGCGCAGAGGAGGCAGCAGCGCAGAGAAGGCAGCAGCGCAGACAACGCAGCAGCGCAGAGAAGGCAGCAGCGCAGAGAAGGCAGCAGCGCAGAGAAGGCAGCAGCGCAGAGAAGGCAGCAGCGCAGAGAAGGCACTTCGAAGCCTCAGATGCACCTGATGAGAGGAGTCTGGGCGTGGGGACTGCGCAGGGCATCCACGGCAGCGATCACGGCGAGTTGCTGCAATGCAGATGCACACGCAGAGAGGCACTACTCCACCTTTCCCGCTTCCTCCCCCCTTCCTCGCGATCCCCTCGCTGTGACTAAGGGCCCTCAGAGCGCAGAAAAAAAAGTTGCCAGTCTTTCCTCTGCGCGCATCCCGCTAGACAACTCACAGCGGAGTTCTCCCTGCCCTGCAGAGCGTTGTTCGGAGAGAGAGGCCCCTCCTTAGCTCCCTGAGTCGGAAGCCTCACGCACCTGCAATTCCGGCTTAGGATTCATTTGGGTAAGCAGCAGAGCTATGCGACGCCAGAAGAAGGGGGGCATGTCCAGCGGCACGGTGGAAAGAAATTCGAAGGCTTTCTCGAGATACCTGGTGACAAACGCGAGCGCTCTCTCTCTGTCTCTCTCTCTACATATAAGTATAAAGAGATACATGTATGGAGAGAGAGAAACATGCAGATACACATGTAGAGATATACATACACATCCATATACATACATAGACAGATACAGATACACTGTACTGGTGGTCAGCGATGCGGGAAGGAGGTGTGTGTGCCTGCGTTTCTCTCGTGAAGAAGAGAAGAGACATAGCGGGCTGCCCTCAGAGCTGAGCTGACGAACTGATGGCTGAGGTAGGAGTTGGCTTACTGCGAGGTGCTGGCGTAATCGACAGTAATTTTCGCAGCTGTAGCCAGGGGAGGGCCCCTGCACTCGGGGGGCCCCTCTATGGCAGCCTGCAGCAGACAGGTGACAGCCTCCTCCCACGTGGTCGCGTCAACTAGCTGCTCCACTGTCTCCAGGCCCTGTAGATACAGCGCACAAACGCACGCACGCCCCTCATCTCGAGCCAGCCAAGAAGTCAAAGGATACTTGTCTGAGGCGCCACATAAATACCATATATATACATATTCATTTATGCAACGCAGACACATACACGCATACATACATATGTACAAGACACATAGAACACACATGTAACATGCACACATACATACATATGTACAAGACACATAGAACACACTTGTAACATACACACATTCATACATATGTACAAGACACATAGAACACACATGTAACATGCACACATACATACACATGTACAAGACACATAGAACACATACAACACACATGTAACAGACACATAAAAAACACACACACAACAAACATAAAAAACACACATATACATATGTACAACACACATGTAACAGACACACACACAAACAACAAACACATAAAACACACACACATAAAACATATATATATATACATATATAACACAAACACACAAAAAAAACACACACACACACACGTTACACTCAACTCTTGAGAACCCCACTCCGAATGCCCTCAACCCCAAGCCTCAGCGTACAGCCTGCTGCAGAACTAAGTCCGTTGGCTCTGCAGCCAGTTCGAGAGCAGCTGGCAACAGAAAGGCGAAACGAGAGATTTTGCTGCGGTCGTGAAGAAGCGACAAAATGCCTTCCGCCGCTGTCAGTCGGACATCTGCACGCTGCAGAGAGACAAGCCGACATCGCATGCGGGAGACATGCAGCGGCACACGTTAAGCCTGCCTGTGCATCGTTAGCACAAGCTCTCAAACAGCTTCAACAGCAATCAAGAGAAGCTGGAGCAGCAAGAGCAGTGAAAGCAGCAAGAGCAGTGAAAGCATACGCACAGCACCAGGAGCAGAGCAGCAAAAGCATACGCACAGCACCAGAAGCGGAGCAGCAAAAGCATACGCACAGCACCAGAAGCAAGAGCAGTAAGAGCAGTAAGAAAACATACGTATAGCACCACCAGAAGCAAGAGCAGCAAAAGCGTACGCACAGCACCAGAAGCAGAGCAGTAAGAGCAGTAAGAAAACATACGTATAGCACCACCAGAAGCAAGAGCAGCAAAAGCGTACGCACAGCACCAGAAGCAGAGCAGTAAGAGCAGTAAGAAAACATACGTATAGCACCACCAGAAGCACGCGCAGCAAGAGCTTTTTGAGCAAAGTAACTGACGGCCCCTTCCCTTCGCATCCCCGTTGAGTGCGCTGTCGAATTCTCGGAGTTAAACAAACCGGAAGCCTACAGGATCTGCGACGAGAATCGAGATTATGTCTATAGCGCGTTCAACTACATCAGGGGCTATTGCTTGCCCCAGACTCAGCGCAGCCTTCGCTACTTCTATGAGCATGGCCGCATGCAGTAGCGGCACATCGAAGCCTTGCTGGTGCAGTTCTTGCTGCTGATCTGCCGATCCTGCGGCTGCTCTAGACACCGAGGCGGAACGCCTCAGAGACGCTGCTGCAGTCCGAGATCGCGCCACTGCGCGCGTCCAGAGGCTGCCTCGTTGCTGCAGCCGCATTGTTGCTGTTGCTGATGAAGACACTGAGGCTGCTGCCGAGCCTGAATTTCCGCCAAAGCTCCTGCTGAAAGGCCAGCGACGGCGACCTGCGGTTGAAGGGCGATTTAGCTGCAGTCAGAGAAAGCAGCAGGGGGAAAGGCGGCTCTCTTTTGTTGCTGGACGTGTAAAGCGCGTTGAGACTTTAGCGGAGCTGCGGGGTTGTGGCATGCGTCGATCCCACGCAAAGCTGTAGAAAAGGTGGCGGGAAAAGGTGGGAGGGAGAGGGGAAAGGGGGGTGCCTGCGTGGGTGTGTGAAGAAAAAAGCTGAAGGCGCTTACCGTTCCAGCCTGAGCGATCCGATCGAAGCAAAGCCTCAGCGTTTGGTTGGCTGTTTGAATCTCTGCAGCCGCTGTAGGGGCTGGCAGGAGCTGCAGAAGCTGCATGAGACGCAGCACAAGGAAGGGTGCCTGAATCTCCTGTTGCTCTTGAGGCAGCTCGTTGTGGCTGTGCTGCTGCTGCTCTTGCTGCTGTTGCTGCTGGCGGCTGCCCCCCCCCCATAGCAGCCTCGAGAGACAGTGCAGCACAGAAGACCTGACAGCTTCCCATCCGCCTGTTGCGTCATCAATGGCTCGGGGAGAGTGCACCGACTGCTTCTTCCCGTGTGTGCTCCTGTCACTGCGAGCACAGCGCTTGCGCAGCAGCAGCTCCATAAGAAGATGAGAGAGGCCTAGCAGCGCATCGCTGTCTTGCTCGATCATGAGGCACTGCGTGAGCCTGTAGATCCAGACACCCTCCTGCTGCTGATGCTCTTTCTGCTGCCGCGGCGAGGCTTTGTACAGACACAGCAGCGCCGCATATGCCCTCTGCCTACAGCACGGGGGGGATCTTCCAGCAGGATTCGCAAGGCCGTTCACGAGAGGCAACAGTTCATCGGCCGTTGTGGCTGCGGCTTCTGCGCCGCGCGGCGATCTGGAGAGGCATGCGACGCCGACATGCTGCAGGGCAAGGCACTGCAGCACTGGCATGCCAGAGCGCAAGTCAGCTTTCAAAGCATTCCTAAGCTGCATCCACCAGCCCGGTTGCAGCTCCTGCTCAGTGGGGACGTGCCGACGCTGCAGATCCTGCGACGCTTGAGCCCCTTCATCCATGGCGAGTGCTGTATCGAGGGGAGCTAACGAGCGCTGCTGAGGGGGGGGGGGGGGCCGCTGCGGAAAGGCAGGCTGCACTGGCTGGTCTGCTGCGTCCAAAGCAAGATACGATAGCGATATGTATGCTATTAGTCGAACGGAAGGCTTGGTGCAGCTCTGCAGCAACACTAGGGCAGCCGTCTGTCCAAAATCCAGAGTGTAGCCCATGCAGTGAGCATACACCATGCGCCATAGGTATTTGGCCTTCTTGTGAGGCGGCCTATTGAGATGCAACACCAACCGCGTGTGCTGCATTTTGTCGCTAATGGCTGCCCGCTCGGCACCTAGAGAGGTGCAGCTGCAGACTTCCACCGCGAAGCTCGTCAAGTCTGTCTTCATGGTCGCTCTACACGCGGTGTATGCGCAGTGTCTGGGGAGTATGACGGCCTTCGCTGCCTGTACAGCGCTCTTGAGCTGCCTGGACTGCAAAAAGGCGGCAGGAGGAGGACAAACTTCGTCTTGCCGCTTTGTGCTTCGTCCTCCGTCTGCTGTAACCCCGTTCTTGGTGTATGTGCTGAGACTCGTATGCGGGAAAGGGTGGTGTTCAATACCGTCCGTCTGCGATTTTTTTTCGGAGGCTACGGACTCGCCGCCACGGTACTGCCTCGCAAAGTGCTTGTTTTGACACTGCAGGTGTTGCAGCAGCACCAGCGGCCGCAGCAGCTGCTGCGGCCGCTGGTATCGGAGATGAGCGCTGAAGGGTCAGTAAGAAGCCGTCTTCGTAGGCGCCCGTGTGCGACTGCAAAAGAAGACGAAGCACCATTAGAGCGGGAAAAAACTTCAGCCGAAAGACTGATGGCGCTCCTGCTTTCTTAGGGTCACACGCATACATACACACACACATGCACCCTTGCGTAATCCGCTGGGGTTCAATAATTCAGAAGCTGGCATGGAGTGGACCGGACGGCCGGCACAGACAGACATCCGCTCAAACACCATGCATTGCGTGACCAACAAAGACTTGCAAAACGCGTGGAGTGCTGAACAGAAGGCCCTTTTTCTCATGAAAGGGCAGCAGGCGAAACGGCGGCTTTTAAGGACGCAAGTGAAGGTTAGTCAGCGACTCCTGCTGTGTCGCTTGCCGCATGGCTTCAGAGTAAACGGATTATTCCCTACGTTTTAGTGTGCCTCTGGCCGCAGCCGTAGACGCAAGCAGGAGTCGAAGCGCTGACGACTCAATGTGCTAGCAGCCCTGCATGCACGCCTCTTCGGCTTGGGGAATCCGTGGCTTCGGACCATCGCACCCCCGAAATTTCCAATTGTCGCCTTCTATGCATATTGAATAGGCATTTTCCCTCCTAAGACTGCCCCTGATGCTGCTGAAGCTCCCTACTACTCGGTGCTGTAGTGTAACCCCAGCAAGAGAAAGCATCAGCAGCAACAGCGTCGTCGGCTGCAGAAAAAGCACTGGCAGGAACAGAAACAGAAGCAACAACGTCGTCGGCTGCAGAAAAAGCACTGGCAGAAACAGCATCAGCCCCATTCGCACCAAGAGCAGGATTGCATCCGGATTGCCTTTACTGCCATCTAAGCAGGAAAGGTAAGAGCGTGAATACAGCAGCAGACTCAGCACCCTTCGAACAGGCAGCGGCCAAATGTGCTGCATGTAGCGTCCTGGTGGAGCTATGCTGAGTCATATTCGGCAGCTTATGCGCTAAAATCATAAACCTGCTGACCAGCCGATCAAGGGGCCTCTGCCCTCTCATAGCAAGCAAGCTTCTGCATGCGGTCTACAGCACACGGCTCGGCACTGCTGGTAATAGAAGCAGCACTCGTAGCAGCACCAGCAGCAAGACCAGAGCGGCAGCGACGGCTACAGGACAGGTGTCAAGACAGGAGCGTAGCCACGCCGTTGTCTGTGAGACGCCTTTTGTGGCGTCTGTTCTCAACTGCGTGCATTCTTCATTCTCGCAAAAGCGATTATCGACCTATTTAGAGAGTGTCGTGCAAGGGTTTTTGACAGCTCCTTTCTAGCTGCAACTGTTTGAAAATGAATGACGAGGTGTTGTTAAGCGACGGCATACGCGTCACGGTGCCCGTAAGCACATCGACTTCACCGTTTTCAGACGTATCTTTGTTGCAGCAGCAGCAGGAGCAGCAGCGGAAGCAGATGCTGCGGATGGAAAGGGTCGTGAATGCTGCGGGGAGTGCGGCTGGTGCGGGCAGCGACTTTTTTGATTTGTACCGCAAGCACAGGAATGCTGAGATGCGGAGGCTCGATGAGATGGACGAGCAGTTTCGCAAGAGAGTTGCGGAAGAAGAGTTTCTCTTTCTCAGAGAGAAGCGGCACCTCGAGGCCGAAGAGAAGCAACAGAAGAACAAGAAGAAGCGTGAGCGGAAGAGGGTGGCAAGGAAGAAAGCAGCACAGCAAAGAAAGCAACAGAGTATGCAGCAGGCGCAGGAAGGGCAGGATGGCGAAGCAGGAAGTCATAGCCATACGGCCAGTCCTGCTGGTGCTACGGGTGAAGACGGCAGCGCGGACGAATCGTTAGACGGTAGCAGCAGCTGCTCACCTCCTGGATCAGCGCCTTCTCTTGCTTCGCCCTTCCCAGCCAGTAGCCTTGGCACGCCAGCGACAGCCAGAAGCAGCAGCAGCAGTAGCAGCTTTAGCAGCAGCAGCTTCAGCATAGCGCGCAGCAGCACGAAGTCAGAGGGATTTGCTGCTGCTGCAACCCCAGGGGCCAGGAGAGGCATTGCACCATCTCCATATGCCGCTGCTGCTGCTGCTCCTGCTGCTGCTGCTGCTGCTGCTGCTAGGAAGCTTCAAGACGTGTCAGACTCCGAAATCGAGGACGCCGCAACCTTGCCAATGAAGCCGCAAGTTACCATTCGTGATGATGAGTGGTAGAGCTTCATGGTTGATGCACATCCTTGTGAAATAGGCTGCGAAGCAGGGTCAGATGCCCGAGCCTTACTCGCCGTTTCTTTTGATGAAGAGACACGCACTGCGTTCTTCGAGTCGCCGATGCATTCTCTCTTGCCTTATTAGCACCCTCTCGAACGTAGGTTAGGCTTGGGTAGGTGGGCTTCACGGTGTGCATGCAGATCCTGAGCAGCACAACTAGTTCTGAGCTTGAGCTGTCGGCCTAAAGAAAGCGCGTGTATTCCCGTTCTTGAACCCACGCCAACAGACAAGCGCTTAGGAGTTCTTGTTTCTAGGAGTGCTCAGTGGGGGTGTGCCTGTGCTTCTGCATCTGAACGTGTTGTGCTGCTGCATGCGCACCTAAACGCATGCAGCGCTGCGATGCATGCATCGGACTACCTCCGAGCGGCCTTGCGTCACCCTTCCTAAGAGCTCATGCCACAGCCCCCGCCACCCCACACACACCCCTAATCGCTCAAGAGGCGAGAGTTTACGGTGCCTCAAATGCACATCCACGCGCGGGGTGTATCGGAAAGCCGGAAGCATCCAAACGCACTCTTTCCGTCACAGAACCCGACAAACGGAAGAGGCCAAGAGAGTACAAGACCTCGGAAGCGTATTAAAAAAACTACGCCTAAACCTACGCCTACACACACACATACACCTACGCATGTATACACATATATATCAGGCGCCGTGTGTCTTTAAAGCTACGAGAACCCCACAGCCCATACTGCTCGCTGGCCCCTAAGCAAAAGACAAGGACAGGAAGCCGACCTCTAGAAACAGGCGGAGAGAGGCCACCGCTCACTAGAAAGCGTAATTTAGGTGAGGGGCAAGCGGGAGATGCAAGACGAAGGCAGCCGGCAAGGAACGGCAAAACAGGAACCAGAAGCCTGGGCAAAATGGAACTGTGCAGATACACGCTGGCCTGACGGCCTGTTCAACATGTACATAGAAATAAAATTGCGAATTAGAGGTTCTCCATGGCTAGTTACTACCAAGCGGGCTACTCGAGCAGTTGCTGGAAGCGCCTCCACTTTTACATGTCCTGAGGCTGGATCACGCAAGGGCCCTGAAAGGGCATTTGACGAGACATTCTAAGGGGGGAAGAAAGTGGTTTTAATTCGTAAGAGATGACTCGCTGCCGTTAGACCAGTGGGCGGTGCACTCTAGACCAAAGTCTTCTTGGAAGGTGGCGAGCTCTGTGTATGTATGTATATGTATGTGTATGTCTTTGTGTATGTCTTGTATATGTATGTGTATGTCTTTGTGTATGTCTTGTGTATGGATGTGTATGTCTTTGTGTATGTCTTGTATATGTATGTGTATGTCTTGTGTATGCCTTGTGTATGCATGTATGTGTTTGTATGTGTATGTCTTGCGCATGACCAATGTATGCATGTATGTCTTGTCTGTCTGTGTGTGGGTGTGGCGAGTGTGGATGTGAGGGCAAAACTTAAAGAACCATAGCTCTTGAAGACAGTTTGCTTAGCGAAAAATAGTCGTGGTGGCTGCTACTGAGCAAAGGACCACTGTGTGTTTGCGGGGGGCTCTGTCTCGGGGCTAGTTCGTGCGTGTGCTCTATCGCAGAGCAGCTAGCTCGCTGCTATGCCTAGTGCTTGGACATCATCATGGGTGCTGCGGGGGCTTCCTTGGACAAGGTGGCCATGGGAGCCGGCGCCTCCTTAGACATCATCATGGGAGCTGGCGGGGGGGCCTCCTTTGACTGGCGAATGACGGGAGGGGGGGAAGCAACTTGGACAGTGCTGCACTTCGTGGTGTACTTGGTCTCGGAGCATGCGTAGGGTTGCTGCTTCACAACGTCGTTATAGCAGGTCTTGGGGACCGTGTATGGTTTCTGCTCGCACTGCTGCTGCATCTGGACCTTGGCGCACTCGTAGGGCTCTTGCTGAGGCACATCTCTGTAGCATGTCTTGTCGACTGTGTATGGCACCTGCTTGCACTCCTTCCTGGGGCAGGAGTAGGGAACCTGGACCGGCACGTTCTTCGTGCACGTCTTCTCAACGAACTGGCATTCCCTCTCCTGGACCGTCTTGCTGCACGGGTACTCCTCCTTGACAGAGACGGTGCGCATGCATGTGTCGGTGTAGGGCACGGCCTGCATGTGGCACTGCTCCTTGTACTGCGTTTCGGGGCAGCTGTATGGCACCTGGATGGCCTTGGGGCGAGTGCAGGTATCGTTCACGGTGTAAGGCACCTGCTCGCACTCCTGCTTCATCTGGACCTTAGGACAGGAGTAGGTTTGCTGCTGTGGCACCTGGCGCGTGCAGGTAGCCGGCACTTCCATGGGCACGTTCTTGCACTGCTGCCTGTACTGAGTCTTGCTGCAAGAGTAGGGCTTCTGCATGGGTACCGACTGGTAGCAGGTGTCGGGGACCTCGTAGGGCACCTGTTGGCACTCGTCCTGATACTGAGTCTTGGTGCATGCGTAAGACTCCTGTTGGGGCACGTCTCTGTAGCAGGTCTTGTTCACCTGCATGGGAACAGTGCGGCAGGTGGGGGCGGACTTGAGGCGCCTCATCTTGCAGTGCTTGCCCTTGCACATGGGGGGAGCCTCCATCATCTGGGGGGCCTCTGTAATGCACTCTGTCTTGTACTCGGTCTTGGGGCAGTCATACGCCTCCTTGACCATGACGGTCTTCATGCAAGTGTGAGGAGCTTCGTATGGCACCTTGCGGCACTGCTGACGGAACTCAGTCTTCTTGCACTTGTATGCCTTCTTCGTCTCGACGGTTTGGTAGCAAGTTTCGGGGACCTCATAAGGTACCTGCTCGCACTGTTGCTGGTACTCGGTCTTGGTGCACTTGTACTGCTCGGCCACCATGACCGTCTTCTGGCACGCGTCCATAACGTTGTGCGCGACGTTTCTGCACTGCTGCCTGTACTCGGTGCGAGGGCAGCTGTAGGTTTCCTGAGTCATTTGCTCCTTGTAGCAAGTCTTAGCAACCTGATAAGGAACCTGCTGGCACATCTTCTCCTGGCGGGTCTTCTGGCAAGGATATGGCTGCTGTTGAGGCACCTGGCGGAAACAAGTGGAAGGGACCTCACGCGGAACCATTTTGCAGTGCTCCTTGCCGCACGAGTAGGGCTGCACGGTCATCTCAGTGCGCTGGCAGGTCTTTGGCACGTCATAGCACTCGGTCTTCATCTGAGTCTGAGGACAGGGGTACGCCTCCTTGGTGTTAACAGTTCTATAGCAGGTATCGGGCACCTGCATAGCCACATTCTTGCAGACCTCGCGTGTTTCGGTTTTGTCGCAGGGGTAAGCCTCCTTTACAGTGATATTGCGGTAGCAGGTCGAAGCGGCCTGATACGGCACCTGCTCACAAACTTCGCGCGTCTCTTTGGCCAGCGCTGGAGCAGCGCAAAGCGCTATGGCTGCGGCAATCGCGGCAGCTGATGTTTTCATCTTCCACTCGTGATACAGAAAATTCAGATGTGGGATCCCCGAGAAGGAAAAGGAATAGAGGAAGATGAGAAGAACGTTATTGTGTGATGCATGTATTGGCGCCCCCTGCACCCGTAAAATTCCAATGTGGCGGCCGAAGGAGAGGGGGGAAGTACAGGCAGGCTTCGCTCTATCGCGCGAGAGGGCGCTTCGTCTCGCTGCGTCTTCTATCGCTCCTTCTTCTCCGTCTCATTTTCCTGTCAAGTATTATTGATTACAATCCCAAAACCACCAGAAAACATCCCATGAAATCCAATGTTGGCAGTCTTTTCGTAAATACAGGATCACGTGCACACTCTGCCGAAGGAGCCGAGGCATGCCACACATTGAGGCAGAAGCAAAAATGGCTTTTCCTAAGTTAAATTCAAGAAATAACATAGCATTTTTGCACCGTCCTACTTCCCATAGGCTCTCAGAAGCTTGAATAATTCCCAAGCCATTGTGTTTCAACGTGCCGTTCCCATCCGTGCATCAGGGAGTGACTTGTCCCACGGCCACCCATGTTCGATCTTCTACTATCTTTGAAGAAATCTATGAGCATTCTGGAAATTTCTATCTTAAATAGGAGAGTAAGAGTTGGAGACACTTATCACAATCAATGCAGCCACGCTTACACAAAAACCACGAGCAGTCGGCAGCAGGAAGATGTCTTCCCATTATTGGGCTGAAATGAGGGCACAACGCTGTTAAGTACTATTCGCAAAGTCTTATCAATAGGTGCACTACTAAAAAGCATGCATTGATCTGTCGAACACTTCATGCATACGCGGCTCTTGAAATATGTATGCAGTGGTGCGTGCACGCAGGTGTTCGCTCGTGAGTGCGTTGGGCCACACCAATTTCAGAGAGCATAATACAAATAGTGAGAGGGAGCAAGAGATTTGGTACGGAAATATTGAAGCATAAGCATCAAGAACTGCAGCGATGGAGAACGAGGAACAACGCAAACCAACCTTCTGAATATTTTTGGCTCCAATGTAGATATTTGAGTGGAAGACCTCAGCAAGGCACGCAGCCTAGTATGGCAGCACTCCTTCAGTAACTAAATCCGTTGTTAGTCCGATTGGTACATACAATCTAAGCGCTACGCTTTTGTCTGCTGAAGGTTCCTCTATGAGGCTGTGCAACACTTCTGCCGCCTGAGCAATTAAGTGGTTACAATCAAAGTTGCTGCATTACCGGCACCACCACCGTACAGCACAACACTGCGACTGTAGCCTGAAGACCAAGCCTTCACAAAGGGGAAATCAGAGTGCCGTGCGGCAGCAACATCCTGCCATGCATCCAATTCCACGCGATGGTATTACTGTGACGACATTAAAAAGGAACAGGCATATTCGCACTTTATGAGTTGTCTTGCAATTCTGCAGTCTCGATGGTATAAGAATATGATCTGGAGACGAGCACAATACGGGTGGTGCGACACGTTTATGAATGCAAACCTCCACGAAAACGTATGCTTTACAGACCACAACAGGAACGCACAACTGCGTTCCGCACGTTTCAATGGACAGCAGAGGAAATAAGGTAAAGGTTTTTGTTTGTCGTTTTGTGCCTCTTGAAAAGAAAGAGGAGCCTGTGCACTTTGTGCGCCTCAACACAGAAACTAACTATAACCTCCCTTCGCTTGTTCGCCCGCAGGAGCGAACATCCTGTGCAGCACTGTGCTACACAGGTAGCACTAAGTGCTTCGACGAGGAACCAAAGGACTGAAGAGTTACACCCAGAAGGACCTCAGGCAGGCAGCTCTAGCTTGCTTGCAGCGGGGTGGTGGCAGGCGCGAGGCAGTGCGTTGGTAATATATGCCTCCCGTCTTAACTCTTTGCTATCTTGCTTGACTAATAAGCTCAATACCAAAGCCAAAGAAAGAGCATTCAACATTCCATAATTCTTTATGATTCAGCCGTAGCAGGTGGCTTCGCTTCCTCCTCCGCCTTCTTATCTCCGGCCCCCTCGGCCTCATCATCTTCTCCCATGGGCGCATCGAGATCCTTGAGATCGTCTTCATCGTCCGAGTCACCCATATCTCCCATATCGCCAAAGCCACCAGCGCCACCCAAAGAGCTGAGATCCAGACCTCCCATGCCTCCCATGCCTCCCATGCCTCCCATGCCTCCAAAGCCCATCGAGTCCATATCGAAGTCTCCCATGTCCATCTTGTTATTTTCTTCTTCATCCGAGTCAACCCATTTGTTCCAATCGCACTTCAGCCAGTGCAGCTTCTTTTTGTCCGCTGTTGAGACGCGGTGCCACCTCCGCGCCTCCTTTTTCACCAATTTGAACTGCACATTGCGCTGGGTGCTATACTTGCTCTCCTGCAGCAGCAGCAGATACAAACCGCAAGAACGAGGCTTCTGTGAGCTGGTGGTGCACACGAGTTTACGTGGAGAAACATGGTTCCGAAGCAGCGTGCAAAACAGAGACACTCGTAAACTCGGGCCAAAAAATCAGCGTAAGGGCTCTGGCATATAGCTGCAGTGGGTGCAATGACAAACCGACAACCTGACAAGGAAGCAGTTAGATTCATCATTCCCATGCTATTCCTAGCCATAGCAACATGAACAGCAGCCTTGAACGCGGTGTGAGCAAAAGAGTTGCTCTCCATACCTCAACATTGATTGACTCGGGAAAATCTAGGTGGCAGGAGTATGCCTTTTCACCCTTTGTGCAGTAAAAGTCGAGGCTCTGTTCCTCAAGGTCGACTTTCAAATTCTCTGGGGAAGTAACCTGCACGGTGAGAAAGACAAAGTCCTTCCGTTCCGCCCACAGGCATTCGGGGGTGCAGCTCTCTTTTCTGCACGCACGCAAACGGAGCATGCAGAGTGGGAAGCTAGCAGATAGTTGGCTTCTTCAGATGCATACAGTTACGCCAAAGGAAGACCTAAAGAAGACAATACACGGCAAAACAAGCATGACAGAGAACCGAGGCCCCGTGCACTTCTAAGCAGCCAGACCTGGATGCCTATTTCCTCCCCATGAAAGCACCACGGCCACACTGAAATTTAACAGACACGTAGGCCAAGAATGCGGGAGCCACACATGCTGATTCAATCCTTAACGGTGTAAAAAACACTATACATGCGGCGAAACAAAAGAGCATGGAAGGAAGGAAAACGAATGTTGGCACTCCCCCGAGATCTCTAGCTTTCGCTGCCCGCCTCACATACAACAAAGCTACTTGCGCATACAACCTATGCGTGCGACAGCACCATTGGCATGATATGAACGCCTGCAGGTAGCTCTATGGGGGTCCCTAGAGCATCCACTGCACGCACCCATGGCCCCAACCCACGGGTTTCCACGGGGGAGCCTTCGAAGCCAGGGATGGTTTTTTCGCTTCGAAGTGCCCCACTAACAAGAAGTTAAAGCACTTATTGCAGCATTATTCACTCATCTCCGCTCAGTACACTCCGTGCACAGACACCCCGCAGCCTCCATTCCAACTAGGGGGGCCCTGCCAAGGGGCAGGGAGCAAGACAACCGTAGATATTCCTCGCCCCTCCGACCTAGTGTAGATACACACGGATAATATATGATGCACTATGCGGAAACCCCTCCATTCTCGGCCCCCCATCGCAACAAGCACCAACCTCACTGCCGCCGCCGGCGTTGCTGCTACTTCTACCACTGGTGCTGATGCTGCCGCTGCTGCTGCATTTGAAGTGTCTCCTTACGCCATTTTAACGTCCTGAGTCCCGTCGATTCGCAAACTTGGCAGAAGGAAGGAAAGAAGAAAACCCACAAGCTCCTCAAAACCAAGCAGACAGGCGCACCCACACTGAAGGGCTCGGTGCCCCTGCGGGGCCGCCACAGCCCTACTCCTGGGGCTTTCCGTTTGTGGTAAACAGGCGTGCCCCTGTCTGTATTTACGGTTGTACACAGCATGGATGTATTTCCCTTGCTCTTTGAACGCATACTGCTTGACGCTTGCACTTGGATCTTCGGGCCACCAACTCTGCACGCCTTTCCGCTTTCAGCCTTCTACAATTAACTCAGTGTCTGGAGGTCTTCTCTACCGGTTAAACTGTGGGTGTGCAACACCCTCGGACTCTCTCCTTGGAGAGCAACATAGGGTGGTGCAATCCAATTTCTTTGCATGTATGGGAAGATCCATCACTTTTTATTCTCTACGGCAGCAGCCACAGGGCTTGCAGTGGCAAAGCATGTATCGAGCGTACGTGAAACGCTCCACAAAAGGTCTCTGCACGCAGACACGTGACGTCAGACTCACGACAAACTCAATAGTAAGTTATTTAATATGCGTTTTAGGGTGTTTTACAAAACAGCTCCCTCCTTCCAATGACCGCGGCCCCAGGAGTTCCCGACCTCACGAGAAAGGGCCAACTAGGGTACACCTAGTTGCATCTTCCATAAACTTCAAGCATTCACGACTAGTTATTTATAGTGCCAGGCGCACACGCACACAGCATGGCGTCTTGTCGCACTGAGATGTGATTGCTCCGCAATAACAACGTATACTAACAGCCAAAATAAACGGACAATTCCTGATGACTTCTCATTTTATATAACTAGTATAGTATATAGTCTTTAAGCTTAGCCTTGTCAATACGGTGCAGACCCGGGCAAGCGTTTGAATAATGGCTGTGTGCCCTGCCAAGCTGGACTAACGCACTTCCTATTACACCAATAATTTTGGCTGTGCAATTAGAAAACGACTGGTTATTTGGTTTGATTACTCGAAGGTCTTAGTGGCTACCGAGCAGAGTCAATTCAATACAATAGAAACCAATATTGGGTGCATCTGCACGCGAGGCTGCAGTGTGCGTACACCTAGTTGTGAATGGTCGAAGTGCTCATACAGGATGCAGCGAAGCGCACTCTAGCTGTGACTCTCCACTCTCCCATCAGAACTCCGAAAGGTGGGGGCGGGGAATGGGGGGCTGCCTTTCGGAGCAACTACTACTTCTCTGCTAGCTGCTGTAGGGAGTTTGAAACTTGAAGTATCCGCATATTGTATGCCTAGGGAGAGCGTGCCAACTGGCCCTTGCTCGTGATTTGTCCATAACCTCAGTGGAGAAAAGACAGCTGGGGTGCACGGAGATACAGTGTAACAGTCCGAGTAGCATGTATGACCTCACTGAATTTGTTGTCTTCGACAAAAAACCATCCAAACCTAACAATGAGTACCTAGCTCAAGCTGAAGGACAATTGCTGTGTGCAAGCTGAACTCCATACAACCAGAAAGTATGCTGTGGGCCAGTGTGATAAGGTCGCAGCTATTCAGGGGAGTGTACTTGCCTGCACCTCGGTTGTCCTTCCGCCCGTAAGGCACAACCCCTCATGATGGGGGGCAATCACAGCTCTGATTGAGTCTTTCAAGGGCCTTTGGTAGGATGGGGGAGTGAACAGTTTCTCATGGAAGCTCTTGAGGACGCATTACGTGTACCGCTAGAGCAGTCCGGGCAGTCGGCCACAGTCCTAAGTACAATCATACTGTATGTATCATAGTGGAGATTCAACCCGAAGTGAATAGAATACTCGAAGAACCATGGAACACAGCGAGCGCCTAATTTAATGTAAACCCTGGTGTCGCAGCTGCCTAAGGGTACCTAACATAAATCGTCATAGAGGGAAGGTTATGGTGTCCCATGTAAGTGTATGCGCCTGCGCGCGTGCCTAGATGCCGTCGGGGGAAGGGGTTGTGCTTCGACTCCTTGCTGTCGCACCTAACCAAAACCCAGACACTACTGCCTTCACCCCAACAACGGGAGGAGCAAACACATGCCTGCAAACAGCCACTAAATGGCTAATATTCTGCGGGGCTTCCATTTCATGTCTCTTCTTATTGAGATCGACAGGCGAACATTTTAGTTCCAAATATCCCATCACTCCATTGAGGTGCTGCGTGCAAGCCCTGAACTCTGAGGCCCATTCAACCGGGGACTTCAAGCGTTGACAACCAGAAAGTCTAAACCGACATGGTCTAAGACTCAGTCTTACGCAGTCGAGAAGTCGAATACATTTCAGTCTAGAACAGCAGCCTCCGCTGTAGTAACAGCCGCAGATTCACCATCGGAAAAACAGGTCACAAGGTTCCGCACAACATTGGGCATTCGCCAACAGAACAAATGAGGGGAGGAAACGAAGCGCCTCATTGTGTTGATCCAGTTCCGGAATGATGACGCAGGTAACCTGCAGCTTCGCTGTCGAGCGACAGGCGCCTTGGACATGCCTTTTTTGGATAGAGAGACCTCCTGTGAGTAGGCCATAAGAAACTGAGAGCTATATGTGCTGCTGCAGTGCGGACACGCGTGGAGGAGCATCGTCTGGATGTTGACGGTGCTTAGTCCACGTGCTGTTGTTTCTGCTTGAGTTTTTTTTCTATCAAAATCCATTGACGCCATCGTCTCTCTATACAAGAGGGTAGCATATTGGTGTACGTATATTCAATTTTGCTTCTGCGATTATTTACGCAGAAATGCTCAGCAAAGGAAAAGTTCGGGAGGAGCACACTCGCGCTTGCTCTCGGTGTAAAAAACAACATCCATGTGTGTGCATGACCTACCACTAGATGCGTTTCCAGATGCAGACGAAGAAAATGGGCATACAGTGCCTCATGCGGTGAGAGTGTGCTGAAGTGCACCGTAGTCCATTTGTCTGCAGTGTCTTTAACAGGGCTCACAACGACTCTTTACTTTAATAAAACGAATGAGGATAAGCTAGCTGAAAAGGCGACCACGAGAAAACCGAGATGGGCCGAATTAATCTGTTTGAAGGGTTTAGTGCTAAAGTAGGGTTTTAAAATGCTCCTGTACCGAATGCAGCTGTGCCTGCATCGCATCAGCAGCAAGCGGCACCGATGCTGCTGAAATTTATTCTTTGGTGAGGGAACCGGAAGCACTAGAGATTATGCCTGTTTGTGCTGTGTACGACCAGGAATAAGAAGAGTAGGGGTTGCGTTTGGCATAATGTAATTGCCATCAAAACCCAGCCAGCCCGAGGCGTCTGCTTTCCCAAACCCCAATAGAATGGATACTGCAGCACCCGCCATGCTGTGTCCGTATAATACCACCTGCAGAAGTCCCACGCAAGCACAAGCCATATACGGTAGAACCAAAAAGGTTTTGTAGCGTAGGTATATCAGGAGGGGGAAGAGGGGGAGAAAAATAGAGGTGTCGCTAGTAGCATGGTGACGCTGCTTGTTGGGGAGTCAGATGGGAAGCTGTAGCTGGTGGCGGTGGTGGGAGCTTAACAGGCAAAAGCTGGCGGGAGCACGACAAAACCAAGCAGGCAAGTGAAGAAGCCAGTGGGTGACAGACCATCGAGAAGGAGAGGCGAAGACGACACAGAAAGAGGGATACAGGTAGGCCCATTTAAGGCTTCCAATAGCACAAACGAAATGCTTCCGATTACTCTGGGTTTGCGCAGTTCATTGTGGCACTTCTGTTTCAAAACTTCGTTAGCGATTTTCTCAACTTTGCGCAGCGCCTCGCGCTGCCTCTGCATACACTCCAGGAAATTTTCCCCCTCAATCTGCATCGACACCCAAAGATGGCACCATTGTGGAAAGCACAGAAACCAAGAACAATGGAAAGGAAATGGTATAGGAGACGTGAACCTTGCACCTAGGGGATGCAAAGCAAGCCTATGACAAGCAAAAGTTTGTTCTAAGGCTGAAACACGCCTGCATTTTGGTGGTTTACTTCTTTCTGGCCGTTCAGCCACTCGGGGTGTGTCCAGAGCGATAAATTGACGCGGTGGGGTTCTTTTGATTTGACCAACGCGTTTTGCTCCAGGTAAAACAAATGTCCGATGTCTGTTGCTGGAAGCTCCGCAACCTGCAGAAAAATGCATTCAAAACATCAGAGAACGTACGCATCCTAAATTTCTCAAGGTTTTACAGAAGCCTCCTGCCCTCTAAGCTTTACGCCCCTTCGTATTTTCATGTTCATAGGCGTGTATCTGTCAACGTATACTCGCACTTCCGTAGAGGCATGTGCCTACAGTGGTCGTGCACTTGAACTTAGCAACGTACAGGAGTGTAAAACAAGTGTTGTTCTATTCTGGTTCAGCCATTGTGCGCCTGTTTTACGCATTTTCTATGAATAGGTCATTCTTGAAGTGATCAAAAATAAGCTAAGCTGCGGCGGGGGTTGCCGTAACTGTGTCACCTTGAGGTTGTCCCACGCCCCAAACTTCATTTCCGCTACCTCTGGCAGGACCTTGTACTCAATATCTTTGTGCTTTTCCAGAAAGGGTAAGGCTGTTTTCTGCGCTCGTTGCAACGGGGAGGAAACAACCAAATCGGGTAGGGACCACTCCCCATCATGCACAAACTTTTCCAATCGCTCTGCCGCAGTAGCTGCCTGCTCCAAGCCTATATTGTTCAACTGATTGTTCTGGTAATCTACCTGCCCCTGAAGCACAAAGGCGCATGTACGCGGCCACAGGGCAGGACGGAAGTCGCACACATACATCGGCTGAGCCAGTAGCTACACAAGATTTGCTATCATGTGAAAAAACATTTGTGGGACGCCACATGCAAAGACACAAGCGCACGGCTATAGGAATGTAATCGTTTCATATGTCATGTGGGCGTTGTGTCCACCTTGTTTGTGCAGGGTAGTCACTGTGCAAAGGCCCACAAAATACTTAAGCTACTTGTTTCTCCGGATTCGAGAGGCAGTGTCTAGAAAGGATTGACTAGTTGATGCTCGGAGCACCCCTTTAAGATCAAGAGGTTATTCAGAAAGTCCGACATTCTCTACCCCGCGAATTGCTCACCTGGTAAACCCTAGGCTCGGTATTTCCCTCTGTTTTCCCGTGTCTGATGTAACAAACCTCCATGTGCAGATCAAGCGGCTCGAATGTGTCTTTATATCGAATTCTGCCAGACTGGACGTCCAGCCCGATGCCGATCTCGCTAGCCAGTTGCTGCCATTTTGCTATTTGGTCCTTTCCTGCATCCTGTAAGAATTTGACGTAGTTTTCCCGCTGGTTAAGTTGGCTCTCTCTAATTGTAGCGTAGCATTTTTCAAGCTCCATTTCCGTCCACTTTCTCTCCATTTTGTTGCCTTCGAGCGAAATAGGAAAAGTGGCCAGTCCTGTGGGTGGGGAGAAGAACGCAAGCAGTCTGCCGCACCGACACTTGGATGCAAATCCAAGTCTGTGTGTAAATCGCATTCGATGATATTAGCCGCAATCTTGCTTGAAATGGTATTCAAATCTCACCCCAGCTCATTAATGGGTGGCTCCCAACTGTTTGCACAACGTACTGAAACACATACCAGCGTGTCCACTGGATAGGAACCAGCACTGACCGTGCATGCACAAAAAGGCCAAAATTCGTTAAAGACAGCCGTGGTGAGGTCAGTTTCTCTAATACTGTGTATATATAAGTTTTTCCCAACTCATTCATCATGGGAGTAAGGAAAATATCTTCTCCTAGCGAACCTAAGGGGACATGCAAGCTCCACCGCAGTACTCATACACATTATATACCGGGTATACTAAAGCGAAGGAGCCAGAGTGAAAAATTTTGAAAAAAATAAAAATATCCTTGGCTGTGTCAGGTCACACCATAAGAAAGGACACTGCAGCATGTAGAAGCAATGCACCTTCCATAAAGTGGAATGCTGCGTTCCCCTGTGCATCAACTTCGTATCAAAGCCTAATAAAAGCTTTGTGCGCTTCGGTTGAACTCGCACTAGAAGCAAACGATTTAGGAGTTTTGACTCTTAGCCTTTAAATTCTGTTAGTGGCTGCTTGAGCTACGCGCTCCAATTTCAGCCCGCATTACCCTCTTAATTGTGTTAACACACTCTATAGCAGAAAAACTCTACAGGCAATTCTCTGCCCCCCTTTTATTCAACTACTTATAGGGATTCCTCACAGTTTGATTTTCAGTTTAACTATTGAAGAGAAACCTCAGGCATACCCTAACCCCAAGAAATACACTGATGTGCGTTTCACGCTAGCGTTATATTTGACTTACATAGCCACTTTTATCGTGATTTAAGCTTTTTTCAGCAAAGAATTCAGTGGATTAGCACAAAGATTTATCTGCAGTCTTCTGCTTGATTGCCCGCTTATTGCTACTTCGCCGTTTCTCGATTGTGTGCTGCGTTACTGTAATGCTTCACGGTTTCCTCAAAACGCCTAGCTTTAGATTCTTAAGTTGTAGCAGAAACATACTTAATGCTTCTCGAAAATATGCTCTCACCTCTCCCTGTCTGTGGCCCTCAGAGCTCCAGAGTTTAGGGATAATACCAGTGAGGGCGCACGTAGCTGCACCCTCTAAGCACTCCGAGCAGTCAGAGCTAGCGGCCCATAGCATCTAGCCCACATGCACGCAGCATCACGTCCTGTCGCATCGAGCTAAGTATTCTGCAATAAATGGGATATACGAACAGTCAAACAGAATGGTTAATTCTTTGGCAATTCATAGCTCATGTACAGCAAGTGTAGTAAAAAATGCTTGTGTGTAGCTAAGCCCCCATCAAAATTAATGATGATAACGAAGCTTGCTAAAGTGTATCTCAGACCGCTACACAGAGAGAAAACATAATTTAAAAAATTTTGTTGTCCACCTTTTCTTTCGGTGGGTTGCTTCTTTCACTTATTCAGTGCAGCATGTACAAGTCACCAGATCGTTGTTATTGGCAAGTCTAGCAAACAAAGATGAGACATTTGGAATGTTATGCCATCCGTGCTGTGCTTGGACCTCATGGCTCTTGATACAAGCCCCTCAAAATGTGACAAAAAAGGGGCAACCAAAAGGACCTTACTGGATGGTGGCTGCAGGCACTATCCACACAGGTGCCAGGTTGTGCAGTAGCCGTGCTACCCCCCTGCTTATCAGCCATCCGTTTCAAATACTGAGAGACGAGAAGAACAAGATTAAGGGACCAATCTAGAGGGGAAAATCTAGGCATCAAGCTAGAAAACAAAGAAGGATGGTATATACGGAAAACAAGGAAAATCCGACACAAGAAAGAAGTTGTAAGAAAATGGATCAAAGCCAACAGAGCCACCTACTTCCTACGCTTTAATTCATATGTAAACAATTACATTGAGGCACCAGTTGTCATTCTGCCGGTGTGTTGATAAACATCGCATTTTTTCCCCAGTAAGCAATCTACTGCTCCTGACCCTTTTCTTGGCTAGTGCGGTATGAAGCCTTTTAGGATACTATTGCGATCTTCCAAGAAAATAGGGCAGAAGGCGGAATACACATACATATTTCTGGACACTGCTTGTGTCGTAGGGTTTCCCAAGTTTCGATTGCTAGGAAAGCAGTCGCCGGGTGCAGTATAGTTTATACTGCTCCCCGAACAAAAACTTCCAAGCAGCAAACCACACAAAAGAGCAACAAGCATTCAAAGTACAAGTAGCACTCTACGAGCTTGCGTGCGAATCCGCTATTCTGGAGCGAATAAACTCGGCCTTCGCTCCCAACGGAGGTCAGACATTGCAGCACAGCCACAATTGCGTGTTACCCATGCAATTTTGCGGTTCATGACGTCTGTGCACCTAAGAAAATTGCAAAACGCAATCATGATGATTTTTTCGGGAATTCAGGGTCTCCTTAACCCATAAATGCTACCCTGCTCACTCAGAGCACCATTGGTCTGTGGGCTCCGATAACGGCTTCAAGCAAGTTATACAGCCAGCTGTCTCCATTTTTCTGTCTTTATTTGAGCTATATTCCCATTAATTAGCCTGTGAATGCCGAATCTGAGGATCAGGCCATGACGAAAGCCCATTCCCTGGAAATTGGCTTCCTGTGCAGCTCTGTGTACATCGCGGGGTCACGAGTGCTGGAGCGTGCTGTACCTTCCAGGAGGCACTGTACCTTACTCTGGCCCATTTAGATTTTGTTTGAGCACTAAGTATGTGTACAAAATGTAAATAATTTTGTTGGGGGGAAATTAGGCCCTCAGATCGCTTCCACTTAAGCACACGAGCTAGATATACGGTGATGCTCCTTGCTGTGGCTTCACGAGCGATCTACACTCTGGCGAATAAGCTGGCGTTGTTCCTCACAGATTCAAGTGTAGCAGCTTTTGTTGTTGGTGCTCGAACCCCCGCTGCTGCTCCGCAAATGCAATATCCTGCGCTCACAGTGTGAGGCAGAGGGACGACGAGAAGGAAGCCATGAAGAAAAGCTGCAAACTGAGCTAGGTGGTTGGCTTTTCCCTTATATTTTGTCCAGGAATGTTGCCTATTTTACGAAAAAGAAAGGTGCAAAGCAGACATATGCAAGCGGGTGCTACGATAGGGAGGCCAATGGATTGACCCGAAGGCAAGATAGCAGTACACAGGCATACGGAAACGGCTGTAGGAGGACGAGCCAAGAAGTCCAAGTGTAGAGTGGATGCCAGAGTGCAACTAGCCGGCTGTAGAACCACTGAGAAGCAACGAGCCAGGGACTCAGAGACACTGACTGCAAATGGATAACCGCAGACTCGAAGACAACTACTGCCATACACGGATGGCGTGGTGCGCCGCTCACCCCCAGATAAGGGGAAGTGATGTCTTGTGGATGCGACTTGGCAGGCGGACGGCCTTTCCTTGTTGGATCAACGGTAGGCCAGAAAGCGGCAGAGGCCTCTCCAGAGGAGAGACACCGGTGCAACACCAGCAAGAAGTACAGCGGAACCAGTCACAGCAAGAGCTATGGCATGAACAGCAGGAAGAGCCAGTGTCGGGACTTGTGGCGTCTCCTGTATTTTCTGAGAATCGTTGGCTTTGCGCTACAAGAGACTGGCTCCTCGTCTCCCGTCAGCCATTTAGGGGCCGCTACTTTGAGGCTAAAATCCCGCTTTCCGCGATGCAGATCGTCTGCACACCCTCTAGAAGCAAGACTCACAAACGAGGAATCGTTTTAATCGCCTCCACAGTGTGGTGGGCCAAGGCCGCACCCCCACCCAGGAGTAGGAGCGATAGCACGACTTTTACCACCATCGCTGCTACTGTCGGTGGTGCAGCAGGAGCTGCTAGGAGCGCTTCCGTTGCATCTCGCGCCTTTAAGGCCACGGGGCTTCGCGGAACTCGCAGTAGTGGAGTATCAGTTGCCTGGAACTCGTGGGAGGTGTCTGAGAGCATTGTGAGGAAGGACAGGCGAAGGCTGCTACGGCGGGTTGGCCAGGGGGGCAGCGGCGTGAGGGCCTTCCTCATTGAATGCGACTCACTGGAAGAGCGAAACTGGATTATCTATTGCCTCCAGGCTACAGCTACAAGCCCTCAGTCGTTGGGATTTCTTCGGACAATTGAGGCTCTCGCTGAGGCTGAGCTCGTCCTTCACAAAGTGGCGGTCTTTGTGAGTTAGCACTCACCCCACAGTTGGGTTGCTTCAAGTTGTCTCCGCTGAGTTATAAGGAGAAAATAGCTCCGAATCCATTTTAATAGACGGAGGGCAGAGCTGTGCATAGAGTTCAAGGGTATTCTGAATTGACAGTAGAGCAGGTAAACCTTTGGGGCATGCAGTGAAGGTGTCCCCAATAGCACGTGATACCGGCGCTGCTGCTTTTAGATATAGTGTGTGTCTTGAATTCTCTTTTTTGCTGCAGCTAATGAGCAGGGGATGCCTAGAGCTGGGTACAGCAGTGGATCCACAGTTTGCAGGGCTTGCCCTAGGCATCTGCGGCAAGGGCTGCTGCGGCTGCAGCAAGTGCAAGAGCGCCACCAAGCGAAGTCCACGGGCATGTTCCGTTATTGAGGAGTCATCGGCTGAGGAGTGCTGCAGCTCTAGCAAGGTGCTGGGATGCCTTCCGTACCGATCGTTGGTGGGTAGCGGTGCAAGGGCAGCAGCAGAAGCAGCGGCTGCGGGAGGTTTTTGGGTGCCTTCTGACCTCCTATCCTGTCTACTGCACCAGCCACAGCATGCAAAGCTCAGCTTGCTTCTACTGCTAGAAGGGCAGGCTATTAAATATCCGTTCACAAAAGCAGTGCGGGGACAGCTTAAACAGAGGGGCATGAAGTTGAAGGCGCTGAGGCAGTGCATCAAGAAGAAGGAACAGCAGCTACTACAGCAGCAAAAGGCGGCTTTAATGGGAGACTCCGTTGGTGCCGCAGCCTCCGATAGTACACCAGGAGGGCCCTTGCAGCTGTTGTCCTCCATCGGGGGAGTCGTTCTCCAGAGACTGCAGGAAACGCTGAACACAACTGTAGATGAGACCGCAGATAGACTAAGGCGTTTAAGGGATTCATGCTGCTGCTCTTGTGAGAAGAGGTGTGGCTGCTGCTGTTGTTGTGACAGCAAAGCGGTGCAACAGCAGAACCGGATCTATTGCAAGCACGGGCCCGTGGAGATACCGCATGGAATATTCAGGCGATACAAACGGTTTCTAGAGCTTGCGGACCCCCTCATAAATTTGGTGACGCTGCATGAGGAGAAGCAGCCTGTACTGAGCCGACACAGGGTTCCCAGAAGGAGCAATAGTAGCAGCAGGAGCAGCACGAGCAGCACGAGTAGTGGGGAACATCAGGTGATCAGCCCACAGGGGCGGCTCAAGTTGGTACTGCGCTCCGCGCATCCTTTTTTCTCACAACTAATGCGAGTGCCTTTCGATTGTCTGCTGCTACAGCAGCAGGCGCCTCTGTGGGCCGAAGAAATCAAGGCAGCTTCTAAAGAAAAGGCCACTTCAGCAGGAGTGAAACTCGACGAGGCATCAGGCGCACTGAGTATCATAAAAGCCAAAAGCGGTTTGACAACAAGACCGGCGGAGGGACCTAAAGAGTCAAGTCGAGAAAGCAAATGGGAGTGGTTGGACATCTCTTTAGAGTCTGAGGCAAATGAGTCGTGTGTACTTTTGGGGGGCCCCTTGCTTCGAAAATCAGCCCAGAGGTCCTTCCCCCCCTCTCGCCTCCCCCGTGTGGGAAGCGAGTGCGTTATTTGTTTGGAGAGATTTGCCCCGAATGAAATCCTCACCCACTACCCAGGCTGCTGCCACCCCTATCACTTAAGGTGTCTCAGTGCCTGGATTGAGTGCCACAACAGAAGTAGCAATCCGCGTGCTCCACGAATGCTTCCGGAAAGCTCAGCAGTGCTCGGGCAGATGAACCTGTTAGCTGAGGTGGCCTCCCTTTTGGTGGCAGAGGATGCGGCATGCCAGAGGACTCTTTGTTGGTCAAGCTGCTGCAGCAGGGGCCAGGTCCCCATCCGGCAACTGCAACATCAACAAGAGCACCCGAGGCATTCGAAGGACGGGAAGGAAAAGCAAAACGCCGGAGGCAGGCAATCCAGCTGCCGCAAAGGAATATTGAACAGGTGCGTATTTTGCCGATGTTCTGCATCCTATTACCCAGAAGAGGCCTTCTTAGCCTCCCCTGCTCCACCGCTGGATTCTCTGGCCAGCGCTACTGCAACAAATGCAGGGAGCACTCCTTTATTGTCACCACCAGCACCAGCACCTACAAATGCGGCATCCGTAGCGGGAACATGCAACACTACACCTCTCAGCGAAAGGATCACATCACAGTGTCTGGGAAACATGCAGCATGCAAGGGGAGCCAGGTCTCCGAGGGCCCCCCCCCTTGGATGTGCCCTCACGGAACAGCTTCTTTTACAGCGGGAAGGAAGAGCAGCAGCGGCATCAACGAGGGTAAATCTGGTGGAAAGAGCAAACACAAAGCAGCTCAGGGCAGCAGGGGCGTCAGAGGCTACGGAGGAGAGTGTCACGCATAGCGCAGCTGCAGCAGGAGGCGGTTGCATTTCATGGCACCAGTTGCTGCGGCAGCTCCTTGATGTTGAGTACTGGGTAGTAACGGCAGCGACAGTGCCCCAGTTGTCTGATGCACTGCTGTTGCTGGAGAGCCGAGGCCTCCCACTGACAGATTGCTCAACCCAGGGGTGCGTGGGGGCCCTTCCTGCGTTCAAAGACAGGTGCCCCCTCTGTCAGCACGCGGTACTCGGAGCACAGTGAGGCCCTTTTGGCTCTTCACCCCAGTCCACGGCCACGGCCACACCTGCAGCGTAGACAGGGAGAGAGTATTGTGCCTCTTTGCCGCTGCATGGTGCTGCTCTAGTTTTTCGGGAGACACCTTGCAGGGGCAACGGCGGCTTTCGCCACGGAGATGGTGTGAGATAGGTAGCGTGTCGCCCGACTTCTTAGGCTGGCAGTGCATGCTGCAGGCCTTGAAAGCGCTTGCATGGCAAGCACGTAGCAGTGCGTGCTGCAGGCCTTGAAAGCGCTTGCATGGCAAGCATGTCTGAGGAGTTAGAGGAACACCTATTGGCTATGCTTAACATACCCCAGCCGAACGCACTATACGCGCACACGCCCCCTGCCCCACCTTCTCATCTCATGTTCTCACGTGAGACCGAGCTTATACACAAAACTGCACCATGACAGCTTTCGCATGTTTTCCTCCCTATCAAAGACGCAGCTAAGAGCGCCCAAAGGGCCCTGGGTGGATGCCCCTCTTAGGGGCCCTACAGCCGTCCACGTTTAGGGCCCCCTCCCCCCCTAGTAGGAGCGGGAGCCGAGGTGGGAACCCCAGAATTTTTGACACTACTCTAGAAAAACGGCTTTTATCGGGAGGGAGACGCCGTTTCTTAGAGGCCACTGGACCCCTTGACAGACGCTTTTCTTGAAGGCCACTGGACCCCTTGGGGTAGAGGGTCTACTACATGGGGATAATGTGCGCCAAGAAGCGTGCCTCCCATGAGCCCGTATATGTGCGTGTTTGCGTATGTGTATGTAAGCCTGCCTATGTAGAAGCATGCTTGTGTTGGGGGTGTTAGATGTTTATCTGCTTCTGGATCGTTTGCGACTACTCTTGTGCTTCCTTCGCTCTCCGCTGCGGCTTCTGCTCCGCGTTCTACTCCTCCTTGAGTGTCTTTCCTTCCTGTCTGCATCTCCTGCTGCGGACTTGTCGCCCCATTCATTGGTGGAGAATGTATTTTTATTGCTGCCGTTGCCGCTGCTGGCAGTGGCTGCAGCGGCAACAGCCGCAGCCATGCGTGCCTCTCTGGCACCCTCCGTCTCCGATCGCATCCCTCCCCCTCCCTTCGACTGCCCGTGGACCCTGCGAATATCTGCATTGGTAAACGCATAACTCCTGTTTTCTTCTCTGTCGTCATGCAGCCAGTGTCCCTTCGGGTTCCTGTCGAGCGGCTCTCCCGTTAAAGGATCTACATTGCTCAACAGGGTATTTGAAGGAGTCTCGTCATGCCCATGCCCCGTGCGGAGGGATCCGTGGGTAGGATGGTCAAACGTCTTGTTTGTCGCTGCAACAAAGTTCATCTCTCCGTCCGCCTGCACACGCAGCAACGAACAAGCACCCCGCTGGCGGTCGATGTAGCGGTGTCAAAGAAAATTTTTCAAAGAAAATACCACCCAGTTAATGAGGCACAGCCAGGCTACCACTGAAGGCCATCATGGGTGGCACGAGAAGCGGCAGAAAAAGTGGGCGTGGAGGTTGCCCTTTCGAATTTCAAAGATTCTTCATTCCATGAAGCACACGGGCAAGGGAGGCCTCAAGCAGTAAGAACGGACCATCAGATCCTCCTGGGCTGCCCGTTCTTCCCTCGTTAGGTTCGCCGGGGTAACCTACACAACAGGGAGCAGAAAAAATCCTTCCTACCAAAAACAGTGCAGCACCAATGCGCTATGCCGTAGGGCACTGATAGGAGGCCACTGAGAAAAAGCGTACACTATGCAGCAGCCCTGGAAAAGCAGCTTAGGCTGCAGACGGAGCAGCAACATCAGGAAGATCGAACCCAACCACGCAGAGGAAAGAACCACAAAGCGTGAAGGGAGCGAGCTGCAGGATCGACGTACTGCTACATTTCTGCCATTGACCATTCGGCCAGCGCACTGAAGGGCCTTCTTGGCAGATTCTGCGTCTTCAAATTCCACGAACGCGATGCCACGCACCGTGTATGCTCCTAAGGAGACACCGAGGCAAAACACACCTGCGCGAGGCGGTAAATGGAGGCCAAGCCATCCGCAAAAAAGGGTATGTATTCACTTCACAAGCAGAGCACTCACTTCGCAGAAGAAGAACAAGGCTGCGGCCGCATAATGCAGCTCTATAGGCTCAAGAGGAATGTGGGGAGGCCAGCGAATACGCCGCACACAGACACGTTCAAAGGGGCTGACTACACAGAGATACAGCAAAGGAGAGGAGCCTGAGACGCGCGAGAGAAAAAGCATTGCACTAGAAGGTCACATGCTGCAGCAGTAGTACCCACAAAGGAGCAAAACCTCACGGACCGCTGACCCCTACTAGCGGCTAGGGCACATATACTATCCGAGCATACCTTCGTAATCTGAAGGAATGGATCTGTCAACTTGCGGAATGACGATGGACTTAATGTTTCCTACTTCCGCGAAGAGTTCGCACAGGTCGTAACGACTAGTGCTGTAGGCCAGGCCCCCCACAAACACCTGTAGAACGACACCGCGAAACGCGTATGAAAATGGGGCAGAGGGAAAGAGAAAGAGAGACCCATAGAAGGATTGAGACAGGTAGAGACAGATATGAAGCAAGAGAGACAGACAGAGAAAGAGAGACAGAGAAAGAGAGACAGAGCGAGAGAAAGATGGGAGGGATGTAACGACAGACGAACAGAGAGAGAAAGAGAGCAGGGATGAAACAACATACAGACAGAGCGAGAGAAAGATAGGAGGGATCAAACGGCAGACAGACAGAGAAAGAGAGAAAAAGAGAGAGAGACAGAGAGACAACCCACACAAAAGAAAGACTGCCCTGCTGCCGGAGGGTGAGAGCTAGCGGTGGCTGTGCTTTGGAAACACAGCAGATGTGTCCAACGACCCCCGCTATTATCGACTGGTCGTTTTAGGTTTATGTGGCTGACAAACTTTCGTTAGACTTTTTGATGAAATGCCAGTCGCTTCGTTAACCTGATCGTTCAGCATGCTGATCTCGCGGTTCAACTCCCGACCCCGCCTTTGCAGGTAGTCAACCACTGAAGTTGTGTCAATCTGAATGAAAAAATACACACACACAGAGAGAAGGCGGAAGAATATATATTGCTCACCACTCACAGATGCGCACCAAACCTTTCATCCATACCAAACTTCGCGCTACAAAAAAGGCCGGCAGTCCGCCAGAACTGGAAGATCGTAAAAAGAAGCCGCTGCACGCGTGAAGCAAACTTATGCAAAAAACGAAAAAAACAGGTGCTCAGCAGGAAGGACAAACAAAACCGCTGTCTCGCCTACAACCCCACCCCCACTTTCGAGAGATCCTTATTTGAACTCCGAAATCGCTGCTCACCTCAAGAAGATAGTGGCGACTAGACGCTCCTAAACTGAAACTGTCGTTGGTTTGCATCTGCACACCCACGTGATCGTGGTCCAAGGGCATCCCGTTCCTGCAACCGCAAACTTGAAACTCTTGATATTGTGCGTAGAATTCGTGCACTTTTGAATCCCTTGTATTCACGAATACGCTACTGAAGAAAGCGCAATATTAAAGAAAAGTTCTCCTAGCGCCCCTGCAGAGCTGCATATTTCCACCCCCCCTCTTTATCGCACGAATCGCAATTAAGGCCCATCTACAATTCTTGACGCCAACGCACTTAAAGGTCTTCGCTTTGCTCTTGAGATCTATGAGAAGAACGTGCCCCCCCTTCAAAACCACCAACGCCGCATGTCGACGAGAGACTGAAGGGTTCAGTGCCACAAGATCGTTGTCTGCCAGCTTTCCTGCACACATAAACGCTGGACTTCCCCAATCCCCCTTGAAACGCGTTTAGCACGCTTGAGACTCACTCCACCCGTGCAATGCACAGCAGACTGCTTCAAGTCCTTAAAGCCTCAGACCCCCAAATCATAAACCTTGAAGAACGTACCGATTCTGTAGAAAGACTTTCCTCTAAGGAGAATTTCAGTGGTGGTGGTTTCGCCTTCTCTCCTCTCGAGCAGCCGCAATACCGGCAGAGAGCGCTCCTCAGTCTCAATGTCGTGACAGATCACCAACCATGCTGAGTACAGCCACCCTCGATAAAAGAGAGTAGTAGAAAGCAATTTGTGGAAGGCTTCGCTGCATCTTGCAAGGCAGTCCTCCAGCGTATTCTCAAGCAAGAACGATCCCCTCCCTCGTGAACCCTCAGCCACAAAACACCGATTTCTGATACACATCAGGCCCTGGCCTACACTCAAGCTCTGTGTCCTCCATGATATTCTGCCTGATCTCCATCAAGATCCTGCCCAAGTGATTCTGCCCGCGGTTCAAGCCTGTCTGGCCGAAAAAGGCATCGCCAGTGTTCAGCCATACCAAATCGCGGCCGCCAGTCTGCCGCAGCTTCTCCCGCAAATCTGCGAAAGTAATTCACGAGCGCTCACAACAATAGCAAGGTCGAAGGCGTGCTGTCCGGAACCGCGGCAAGTAAGCTCCGCTGAATACGTTTTAGGGGTCGGCATACAGAGTTTCTCAGCGCGCGTGTGGCTGAAGACGCAGTCTAATGCAGCTGTGCAGCACTGCACGCATGAAGGCGCTGCGCACAGGGGCGGGAGGATCGTGCCGCTGCTCTAAGGCTTATTACACTTTGAGGTGTGTGTGCGAGTGTATGTGTGTAGGCACCTGCATTCCTTCTAAACTTGTCCCTCTGAATCAACTCCATCCATTTAAGCCTATAGCGCGGCCAGTCGGGGTCCTCCTGCAGTTTGAGCATGCACAGCCAAAGTCGCCAAAATATATTGCATGCGAACGGCACCCACTGCTCCGGCTTTCAACGAATTGTTCCAGGCCTGCCACTTTGTCTCCTCCGTGCACGCATTGCCTGCTCATCTGCCATGCATGCGTGCGTCCACATTCCAGGAGCTCGGCCGCACCTCTTTTGTTTTCGCGACTTGTTTAAGCTCCTTCATGTCCTCAATGGGGGCGAGTTCCTCCACTGATTTTGGGTGTTTGGCAGCCAAGAGAGCATGGCGAGCGGAGGGGAAAAAGCGACCTTGAAAAAAGATCAGGGCAGGATAGTCTAGGGAGAGAAATTTGAACTCCCCAGTGAATGAGTCAATTCGAGTGTACAGACACCGGGCCGCCGCAGCAAGATTCGCGGGAGACAGCAGCTGCGCTGGAGAGCTCAAAGATCCTGCATCAGAAGGAGTGCCCCCTTGGGGGACTCCTGCTGGGAATGGGGTCGCCATCTCCAGCCGTGTGTATACCGGGGTCTTGGGATGTTGGTGTCGGGATGCAAGCTGCAAGGGGGAATGGCTCGAAGCAGTGGCTTTCAGCCTCAAGCGGAGTTCAGAAATATGGAAAGGAAGCAAAAGGTGTCAAAAGGCCATCAGCCTTGAGGTTTCATCGAAAAACCCAGCAGCAGGTGTTCGAGGCATAGGGTTAGGGGCCTCCAGACTGAGCCGCAAAGTCCCATTTGCTGCCCCAAAGACACGCAGAGCAACAAATCTGAGGATCTATAGATTACCAATTAGCGATTAGAAAAGCAGCAGCCCTTTTGCGCTCCGCTTTGCATGCATGCAAATTTGCTCTCCCATGAGGGATTTAGGATTACAGGGGCTGGGGCTTGCTTCTACGCAGGGCCCCGGTACCCCCAGTCGAGACAACAGCCCACAAGCCGCATACCATTGACTGACCTTTGAAAACACTGCGAAGCGGCTGCGTTTAGAGTTGGTGGCTTGCGTTTTAGGGTTGTACTACCGAACAACTCACTCACCCTGTAGATCCAACCAAGGGAGAAGCCTAACGCCAGCATCACTGCTTATGCATATGAGAGGGCACTAAAGGACAACCCAAATAATTCCTAGTTCTAAATGGCTGCTGGACTCAATGTTTAGCGTCATTTCCTTCTGCGCTTTCCCAAAACGTGGTAGATTAGGCGGGCGGATACGTGCGGCCAGTGGCAAGTAGAGGAACATCGATCCACAGCTCGCTGCCGCCTCATGGGATGTCCTGAGTGTCTGAGACAATGTTCCTGTGGAAACTTATGGCTTATGGCTTGCTTCTTAGGGCCCAGGGTTCCTTAACTCAGCCTTGTCATCGCGGTGGATCCATACCTACCTAAGCTGCCTGTGAGTCTGAACTACGCTGTTCAACAAATGTGCCGGCGGTGCGTTTTAAAAACGTTGGCAATGATCGGAATGCCCGGAGTTTGCAAATACAGTGGTCTCACGCCGACGACGGCAAACTGATAGGGTATTTGAGGCTCAGCTGCACCTCATCACATTCTAATTTAGAAACGACTAATGTACTAAATTAATTTGGCGTACTTTTTGCAGAGCACTGTTAGAACCGCACAGGAAGACCCAAGTTTGCCTGAGCGTGGAGTAGATGCTAGTGCAACTAGCTGAAATCGCTGCGAGTGCGTCGAGAATCGTGCTATGTCCAACTTAGCTGGCCGTCTCCCATTTCACGTGGAGCTTTGAGGGAGACGGGCAAGGAAAGCCAACAGTTCTTTTGGGCAATGTCCCAAAATCTACCTTTAAAATGACTCTAGAGCAAAGCGTCTTCTCACGGAGGCCTCAGATGGAGCGGTACATTCGATAAAGCAGCATAGCTCAGTGCAGCCAGGCTGTCAGAGATGTAGATTACTTTTTAGTTCCCCGCTGAAGGGCAAAGAGCGGTCATTGAAGCATACTTGTTGGACGAAGAGGCATATCAGTGGTAAATTTATTCATGAAGAGGACTTGCATGTCTCGAAAAGATTACTACAGCTCAAGCCATCATGCAAGCTCTGATTTATCAATTCATGCCCAGACCAGCTTAAGTGCCAGCTTTGTGGGAGAAGCTGAGGCGGAGTTGTCTTCCAAATAATTAATTATTCGAGAAACAGGAAACTTGGGTCGCGCAAGCCATAAAGTGGACAAACAGTTGCTCTACCAGTCGTATCTCCGACGTACTCAAAGTGTCGCTTCGGGAGATTGCAGTATGAACAGCGACTTAGCAGTCCACCAGCCGTCCGGCGGGACCTCCCTAGATACTTAATCAACTGAGGCTTTTGTAGAAACTGACCCCAATTCTTCAGTGTCCGGCCAAATCTGGAAATCCAAATTAAGACATTGGAGTCAGTGGACGTTGGGGCGGGGTCAACCCCTACTAGCCTAGCATCCGAGGTGAACGAAAGAAGGATGCCAAACGTCTCCTCATGCCGTGCTCCCGACAACGTACCCCCTTCTAGTATGAGAACTTGAGGCACACAATCCATAACTCCAAGTGCAAGTAAAGGGCACACAAGCCAAGCAAGGGGAGCAGGCCCACCGAAACCGGTTCTTGGCGAGCACAGATGGAGCATTAAGAAAACAGAGAACCCCACACGCAGGCTGCGGCATAGCAAATAGGTACATAGAGCACAAAGCTGCACCTTGAAACCTGCCATGGGTCAATTCTTGGCCGATACAAGTATACATTGATAGTCAAGATCGTAAGTGTTATTTGACACTGGATGTGAAGTAGATCTGTTATCCGTGGAGATGGTGCAGAAATGCGTTTTGCAGCTCCCCTCGTTAGCCCATTCCCACAAACTCAGCCTTGCTGACGGGAGGCAGACAGCCAAGCTTTGCAAGGCGACGGCAGTTTGAATGCCACTCCGAATCGTAGTAGGGCCTTATCAGCGTGGTTTGTGGAGACCGGCATTGGTGGACTCGTGTGCAATGACAGAATCCTAGGAAAGCCACCATAGACTCAAATAAAGGCGCACATGCGGGCAACGCCACGCGGTGTAGAGTTTGTGTGGAGCTGTGATAATCCGTAGGCCGCAGTGTGTGTCGAAGCTGGATACGTATGGTTCTGATCGATCGGCAGGCTCTATTATTTTGCACACAAAGGTGACCTTAAGACGCACTTTGCAACCAAGCCGGCAAGCCCATTTGCATTATTTCGCGGATCGGTGCATTGTCTTATTTCCTCGATTTGCATGGTAGTTGGGAGTGCAACACAGCTGTCAATATTTGCTTCCGACAGAAGTTTGGATATTCTCCGGATTATTTTCGGGCTTTGCCGCGCAGGCAAACGACCGACGTGAGGCGAAGGAATTGCAGGGAGGCGTAAAAGCGCTATATTCTAGAGAGTTTCGAAGGGGAATCGGATGAGGAAGCTAATCTCAGTGACTAGCGGAGGAACAGTCACAGCGTTCGTTGCCTGCGCGAGAAATGGCGGATTTCGTTGGTTTACAGCGCGAAAGGCTATGAGCGACCTTCCTGACTTTTCGTAGTATTTGTCTTCCCCAAGCTCACGCTCAAGGCGCCGCTTTCTTTTGGCGCATCAAGGTTTCGAACTCGCGTATGCTGCATGCATCGGCTGTATTTGCTAGCAGATATTGCTCTGTGAGGCGCGATTCTAGTGCAAAACTAGTGCTTAGTTTGATTATCCTCACACGTTTCATTTGTCTTCTGCTTTCTGAGAGCAGGAGGCTGGCACATTTCCGCGTCCCAAGGACAGCGAGCCATCGTGTTTTTATGGTCCTTGTTTGCCGTTAGCTAGGGTGCGTGCATTTCTTCCCCTTGATTTTGCGTTGCCAGTTAATGCACACACATGCGCTCTTCTTATTTGCACTGTTTTCTTGTTCAAGCCTGCCTGGAACGTTGCTAAAGGCAGGGCACTTGTATCCTGCATGCAGTTGGTCTCGACAACAGGCGCGAAACACGAGGGCGTCGGTCACGAAATTGAAGGAATTATGTAGCGGCTAAGCTACACTAAAACACTTCCTACTACACTAGCATATTTATTTTCGAACCAGTATTGCATTGCCTAAGGGTTTTGTCTGTTCGTGAATCTTAATCCTCACAGAGTACTAGCAGTTCGGTCCAAAAACAAGGTTGTTTGTGTATGGAGGGCCAAAACTCCCCAGGCACTTTTTGGTACATTCGCTAGGGTTGAATAGAAAATTTGTAAAGACTTCATTATTACTTAATTCGGCTGTTCGTATGTCTCTTATGGTACAGGAGAGAATAAGTTTGCTCAATACCATAAAAAACGTGTACCTGTGCGCTATTAGTTGCTGCACAGCTAGCCATGAGTACTCGGAATGCTTGGGGGGAGCAACAACGCCCTATTAGCTGTCTCCCTGTCCCTCCTCCCCCATACACGGACCTCAGGGGTGAAGAGAGCAGGGAGTGGGGAGAGAGACTTTATACGTGGACAGCAGCTAGTCATCGATAAGTTTCTCATCGAGTTTGTGCTGAGAATTCTACATGATTATCCCCAGTAAAGCACTACAGTAGCGGCTCCTCTCTGTGTGAGAACAAAGCAAGCAGGCGGGAATGAGGAAAAGCTGTAAGCCTGGACCTACTCGCTTGCCACCTCCTCACTAGACTTGCTGGCCAAAGCACGTCCAAAAGCACCTGCACAGTCTTGCTCGTGTACGAAGAGAGTTGAAACATCTAAGCAACGGGTGCTAGAAGAGACACACGCTCGTCGAAATGATGATAATCGAACAAGACTTGTGGGAAGCTCAGCTCGGCTTTCACTGCCGCTTCCCTCTCTGTCGCTTCTCCTTTCGTTGATCTGATTCTTGCCCATGCAATGCTGTCGTGCTGTAATCTGGCGCTGACACCTATCTCATATTGATGGCTTGCGCACCGCCCTCTCCCTGTCCCATCTGCAAGAACTTTTGGGGCGTGATGGGCTGACCAATCGGAATTAGTGTGCTGGTAACAGGCACAATAGCAATCGCCTTGATGTTCTTCAAGTCATACAGCGCATTGTACTCCCCGATGGGCTGGGCTACGTATTCTGTTCCTGCGGAGGAAGCATCCCCGGGGGAGGCCAGTTGTAGCACCTGCACATCCGGGGCGCCACATGCGCCAAAGTTGTCTAGAAGCATAAGCTTCGAGGGGAGTTCATTTGCAATGCAAACGAACTTGATCCAGCCCTCGTAGTACTTGCCGTCCTCCTGGATCGCACACACAAACCCATAGTCAGAAACCTTGCAGATGGTGGATGAAGAGGCCGTTCCTGAAGGCCAAGGCTGGATAAAGACTTGCGCGGAGGAAGCTCTCAATCTCACTTCCTACTCCCCTCCGGCTGCCCTACTCTGAGGCGGCAGATGAACGCCTATACGATGCAGTATACGGATCGCCAGCGATCCGTATACTGCATCGGCAACCCCCATGCAAACCGTGAACTCTAGCTAGGTCCCAAGCCTACAAAGCCGCCCTTCCCCTCTACAGCGATAATGCACTTGTGCCTGACCACTGCTTTATTGAAAAGCGTTTGCCTTCCGCCATTGACCTTAAACTTGTGTCTAGGGACAGCAACTGAGGGCTTGAGCCAAGCCAGGGCGCTGGGCTCGGGGGATGTCGACCACTGTGCGTAGATGCTGTCCATCTCGCTGCTGTACCTGCAGAGAAATCAAACGGGCATGTGCACACTATGCAATGATTATATTGGAAAACGGGATTAAAAATTGGAATTCCAGTAGGCAACGGTTTCCACCGCGACAGGGGTTTACGAGTTCAGCTTTACATGAGGTATATGCCTTCATCAAGAGGACACTGCATCGGAGCTGAAGTCCGCCGTGCGCGTTCAACTGCGGGGGCCTGCCCAAAAGTTCGCACACGCATCGTACACCATCATCCCTCAGTGTACAGTTCATGCGTTTGTGAATGCACCCCTGTGGACCATGTATATATAGATATATATAGATATAAACACACACATAGAGTTTGCTTTTTCTTTGCGCCAGACTCGATGAAACAAATAAATGGTGGATATCTGGCTATAGCGGTACTGGGTCTAAGCGTTTGCGGTTGGTAAGCATTCAAATATTTGTATTTCAAGGCCTCTTTCTTCGGCCTTCACGCTAGATTTGCCAGTGATGTGAGCTGCGTGAGTTGTACAGTCATTGGCTTTTTCGCAGGGGCCTCTTGCTTCTTGACGGGGTGGATCACAACCTTCTGGCCGGTGCCGACCGTCACCTCTTCCGCATCCGCTGAGCCGTCGCGCTGCCCCATGCCAGAGGATTTGCTGCCTGCTGAACTCGAGACAGCAGCGGTGGAAGCTGCTCCTCCCAGCTTGGCATCCCCCGGAGACTCATCGCCCCCGTCATGCCGCTCCTCCGTGTGTACCTCCGCCGGAGCGGCGGATTCAGCGCAGCAACAGGCAAACATTTTCTGTGCAAAGGTTGGGGTCTAGGCAAAAGCCACGTGGGGTTGCGGTTTTAGATGATGGCCCTAAGGACAGTAGCAGTTGCCCTGTAGGCTGGAGAGGCGAGAAAAAGAGGAAGGGGGACCAGTTCGCTACTACGCAGCCTTGGGGCGCTGTACATACACGCCCCCTGAATTTTCTGGATTCCCCAAACGAATGGTGGCCTGCAAGAGAAATAAAGCTCGCAACAATGGTAATTCTTGAACAAAACCATCAAAAAGGCAAGGCAAAGCATACCGACAAGGCGGAGGACCTAGCTACAACCGCTGGACCGGCATGCTTTTGTGGGAGCAGCCAGCGAGAGATTCATGCCGTGTGCGCCTCGCCTAAAATAGAGCGGCGAGTGAGGGTTTTGGCTTGTTTTTCGGGGTTCTATTTCTTGTAGAAGGGTTATTGAACTCGTTTTGAGCCTGTACTGCTAACCTAGCCGTGGTAAGCAACCCACCACCGTCGTGCCTACAGGCAACGGGACCACTGCTGCGTCGATTCGTGGTGTTTGCCTCACGGTTTAGAATATCTGCTTGCAACTTAATCATTCGTGCTTTTATTTGCGGATAAGATAGCTCCCCATTCGGTAGTGATAGTAAACTCCGGGACCGTGCCGCGCGCTGTGTAGCAATCAGCAGACCCCACAGAGTCGATGGAGGACAGCCCCTAGGTTTTTTGCGACGCGCAGTGCAGCGCGAAGGGGTCCTCACAAATGTTTTCGGTGGAAAATGGCTTTAGGGAGCGTCCACTGTGTGCCAACGCGTGTGCTGAGGGGCCCTTGGAACCCCCTTGCGCTTCGTATTGGGAGCGGCGCACTCCACATAGGAGGGGGTTACCCAACACTAACCCTCCATAGCGTTCCACAACCGCGGGTTCGACTTGTTCAGTGCAGCTCTCCACCTCCAACCTGCATGAAAGAAGGCTCAAAGGGTCGACCTTTCCCAGCTCGTGGGGGCCCCCTTGCAGCTCCCGCACCCGAGGGGCCCACCTCGACGTCTCCGAGGGTTCCTGTGCAGTGCACCATCTTCTTACAGGTTTTATGCCCCTCGCGTGTCTTGCTGGCTCCGAAGAAGAAGGGGCCCTCATCAGCGGGCGGAGGGGGGGCCTCAGGAAGCCCACGGGGAGCTGGGGGGGGGGGCGGCCCAGGGAAGGGCGACGGCGGGTACGATCACATATTCAATATCTACAAAGACATCGATGAGGATCACAAGCTTCTGCCAGACGCATGTTACCCCAAGTGGCTGTGGCAGCTGCAGGGGAAGCCCAAAAGCTACGGTCAACTCGCGATGATGTTCCTTTACGGCAAGGTGCGGTGTAAGGGAAGAGCAAAGAACAGAGAGATTCCCGCCTAAAGGGAGCAGAAGAGCTGGCAGGGAGAGGCATTTAGCACAGTGGGGTTGTATTGGTTGCAGAGAGCTAGGAAATCAGGGCGCTATATGCGCATAGTGCTACTCGCCGTTAGGGTTTGTGCTTCAACACGATATCTCATGCTTGTGCTTCTTCTCCTGGCCCTCTATGCTGGTGTCGTTTTTCTCATTATAGCTTTTGCTCTCAATATGACGTAGCTATTTACCTTGCCCGCAAAAGTTCGCATCGCCCTGTGTGCCAAGAGAAAACCTTCTGCTGCCTTCGCGTTGACTAGGCGTCTGTTTGCGGCAATTTCCCACGGGCGACCCCGTTCTAGCACTGAGGGCCTCGTGAATCGTCTCCTCCCCTCTTACCAGCAGGGCCATATAAACACACAGACAGATAGATACGCAGACAAACGAGCATGGCCAAACACACCGACACAAGTGTTCTCGCTCGCATTCGTTGAACGCGTCGCGCACTGCCGTTATTCCCTCCTCTGGTCGTACTCTCCCCATGTCTTGTGCGCGGGCTGCAGCCTCCATTTTGTGTGGCTGTCCTCTTTTGACGTGCCTTTACTGTATATACTAGTCACTGCCGCAGTGTGGAAGTCGATGCCTTCACACAAACATGTGTGCATGCCAATGTGTTCTGTGTATATCTGTCAATGCCTTTCTGCACAGGGTCTAGAAAAAGCCACGTCCTCAGAGTTTCTGCGGTTTTGCCGGCTTCATCGGAAGACGCAGATTCAGCTGAACAACGCGCGACTGAAGAAAAGTAAAAGAAATTCTATTAAGCCCATTTTTTGGGACGTCTAATCCATTAGGCATGTATTTAGGTGCTCCGAAAACCCTCGGCGCCACCCCTTGGGGGTTAGCTGCTTCAAAATCTCTAGAGGGTGTTTTGGATCTTTTTTCACTTACGGAAGTACACGAGTACTGAGGTCTCGCTTCCGTAGCGCAAGTTGCTCAGACGCGCCATATGCAGTCGATGCGGCTACGGCCGCTGCGTGCTCTGGGCCTTTGCAATTTTGAAGGGAACTCGCGGGTAGCCTGTTGCAGCGCTCTGAAAAACAGCCGCGACGGCTTTAGGAGCTGCAGCACTCAATGCGGGGAAGAGGCGTGGTGGCCTCCAGAGACAGAGCTACAGCAGCATCCTCCCACTCCTAACTAAGACGTCTTTTCTAGTGTACAGACCTGCAGGTTACCTTTGTATTTAACGGGGCCCCCTCTTCCCAATCATTTAACGGGGCCCCCAAGCCGAAAAACAGGTCCCTTCGGGCCATAGAAACGGGTTCCCGCACGAGACGACGAAAACACCCCCCCTTAGATGCCCTGCAGAATAAAGCATCCTTATACGCTGTTTGACCCGCCGCTGTCTATTCGTTCCGTGCATGCGTTCCGTCTGGACGAATTCGCGCTCCGAGCCGCTGCAGGTTCCGCCGTGTGGTCTGCCGCCGTCCCCAGCTGATCCCGAGTTGAGCACCGCTGCGGCTGTTTTGATTCTGGTTCTGGCTGCTGGGCGTGCTGGCGGAGCTCCCCTGACTGGTGCGGAGGGAGAGCTGGGGTGATCCGCGGAAGGGCACTTTGCTGCTGCGGCTGCACAGCTCAAGAGATGGGAGCATAGAGGCGGCGGCAGCAGAAGCAGCAGCTGCTTCAGAAATCGCAGCAGCAACGCCTGCGGCGGGGAGGTCTAGCGCCCCCATAATGGCCGCTACTTCTGTTAGGCCCAGGCTCTCCACTGCTGCTGTGGGCGCTGAGTTTGCGATTCCTTCGTGCGGCTCGAAGCTCTTGAGTCCCTTAGAGCTTCTCTGCCTCCTCTTTCCCGTTTGGCGTGTTGCTGCCTCTGCTGCCGGGCTGGAAGGAAAAGCACGAGCTGCGGATGCGGAACGGCTCAAAGCGGGGAGCAGACACCACGGGTTGACTCCCTCGGGGGGTCGCCGCTCGGCTAGGCAAGCCAGAGGTCCCTCCAAGTCCTCTCTACCCTCATTCGTGGACACCACGAGGCCGCCCGCTGAGACTGCTGCCGAAGCAGCAGCCTCCGCAGCTGCAGCACGGGCTGCTGCTGTCTCTTCTGCGGCTTCCCGCTTTGCATGCGGGCCCCGAATGGGTGGTCGCACGTTGGGGGGCTGTGGGGAGAACCTGAGGCCCTCGCTGCAGCACAAACCTCCAGGTGACTGGCCTTCAGCTGAGCGAATAGAGCTAAGAGCTTTTAGGAGGCAGAAAGGGGACGGGAGCAAGGAATCAATGCAGTCGCGCAGGACGCGACGACCGAAGGAAGCACCAGACGAACACCCCAGGCAGCAGCAAAGACGCACCCAAACGTACAAACAAACACATCGCCCTAAGTAAAAGATGCCCCTTACCCGAGAGCCAGCGTATTGCATTTGCTTAGTGTTGTGGCGGTGACGAGACTGGAAGGAATCAGAGCCATCGCCTGCAGCACAGAAGCATGCAGCATTAGTAATCCGCCGAAAACACGCTGCAGCGGGAGCACCTGCGACCACGGAAACTGCCGGGAGAGGATGCAGCCCCCGCCGTTCTGTGCCCCAACGAATGCATCAGCAGCGCCGGCGACAACCAATGCAAGAGCAGGCAGATCCTGCTGCTTTCCGCGAGCCATGGCTCTTCATGCAACAACGCCTCCTTTTGTATGTACCGTGGCGGTCTCCACATCAACGTGAAGTATAAACGCGAGACACAGCTGGTGCAGGTGCGCCTCGTTCTGAGTCAAATGTAGAAGGAATTTTCGGTTCTCGACGCAGGAGACACAGCAGCAGTTGCAGCTGCAGCAGCTCCGCTTGTTGCTGCTCCTGCCGACGCGCTGGCAGGTCGGATCCCACACCATGGCCACCGTAGAACGGGGCAGGGCCTGCAGCAGCTGGGAAACACGCAAACAAAAGCAGCAGCAGCCGCGGGGAAAAAATATCCAGAGGAACCTGTTGCTCTTGAGTGTGCGCCAGGACACAAACAGAATGAGCAGCCCACCCTAATATTTATGCAAACCCTTAAACCACGGTACTACACAAATCGGGAGTTCCTGGGTACTATCTCAAGGCCTGGTGATGAAACCCTCTGCTACGCCCTGCAACAGAACCTTGACTGCCGAATTTCTCGTCCTGCAAGGTCTCCCTGCAAGTGCCCCTGCCCCTGCGTTCACCTGTGCTGCTAGGGACGGCAAAAGGTCCTCAGGCGGTAGCTGAGGCAGCGCTATTTGAAGTCGCTGCAGCTGGATAGACACCACAGAAAACGCCGGCGGAAACTGCTGCTGCTGCTGCATGCCCTGCTGCGGTTGCAAAAGCAACTGCTGCTGGAGTGGTAACAGCAAGGACTCCCAGGAAAGGTCAGCGCCGCAGAGTGGCAGCTTTTGAGCAGCGGGCTGCTGCTGCTGTTGCTTCTTCTTCCACTGTTGCATGTGCTGCTGCGACTGCTGCTGCTGCGGCAGCAGAGTTGCGGGGGCCCCACACAACGGCGCTAAGGCGCAGAGCTGCTGCCATGTAGATAAAGAGACGGCATAGAAATGCTCCTGCTCTTGCTGCGGCGGACGAAGCAGCTGGGGTAGCAGCAGTTGCTGGTGTTGCAGCAACAGAGAGGCAAACCGCAGCCAACGCAGAGACAGCGGGAGAGGCCCCGGAATGGGGCAGGCGCAAAACAAAGAAAAGAAGGCGCCAAGGAGAATAGAGGCACCCACTGTTTCGAGCACGCAGCTCTCGACAGCACACAAGCTGCTGCTGGTGCTGCTGTTGCTGCCGCTGTGGTCATTGGTCTTGCTATTTGGGGAAACCAAGAAGCAGCGGCATGCTTTGCATTTGGCAGACACCTCTTCTGACGCCTTGGCTGCGAAACTGCAAGGAGGAGGGTGCTTGCCATAGAAAACTTGCAGCTGTCTCCTGTGGCGAGTTGCCAATGGCTGCTGCTCCCTCTGCCACGCGAAATGGTCTGTTGCTGCAGCAAGAATGTGCTGCTGCAGTAGCCGAAAAGAGGGAATAGACAAGACAGTTAGCCCGCAAAGGTTTGGGGCTTGAGGTAAAAAGAACTCCTCGCTCCTGCAATCACAAACCAAGACAACCCGAATGGTTAAGCCCTAGTCATTGAACACAGAATCGCTCACGGCTGTCCTAGATCCAGTTGAGGCATGGTTATGCACTGGCAGTCCATCTAATCCAAAAAGCTCACGTGTGAAAAGGAGTCTCCTTGCGGCTATTCTGCCGCAACAATTCTACAACCGAGTTCACCTCTTTGCCATCAACACTACTGCTGCAGCCGCTGCTGTTGCCACGGCTGCACGAAAGGCGGTCATGCGGGAGCCGCAGGCAACGAAAGGTTTGAGGAAAATTTGCAGTGTATATATGCCTCAGTGTCTCTGTCCAATCCGCAGGCACTACTTTTTCTGCAGCTGTGGTCTGAACATTCGGCAATATTTGAGCCTTCTTGGCCTTCTTTAAAGGGCTTCCTGTTTCTCCTACTGCGGCTGCTGTATCCTGAGCTTGCGGCTGCAGATCCCGTGAGCGCCGCGCAGGAACTTCCACGACCACGGCTGCTCCCTTGTGCTGCTGCGCCTGAGTTTGCGGTTGTAGACTTGGTTGTGGCTGTTGAGGTTGTTCGTTTTGTTGCTCATGTTGGTCATCTTGCTGTTGCAGTTGAACCATCTCGACGCCGGCGTCCTGCAGCAGCTTTTGCAGCAAGGGACCCTCCGGATCATCCTCTAGCAATAAGCAACAGCAGCAACTGCTGCGCTGCAGCAGCAGTGGCAGGAGCCGCTGGCCTAGCCCTACAGTCCATCCCGGCGAATTTACAATGAGGGGCGCAGTTAAGCATGCTTCCTTGTTGCTAACGATATTGCCCTGGTTCTTACTGCAGTTGCAGGCGGATCTAACTGTAGTTTGTGGAATCTTTGAGCAGCGTTCCGAAAGGCGCTCTGCTACCTCCGGTGCCGCCCGTGGAGCTGCGTCGTCTCTTGTTGCTGCTTCATGGAATTCCCCGCTGCAGGCATTACCCCTGTAGGCAGCAAGGCAGGTGTCGATACACCTCAAATACCTGTGTGGGGCAGACTTCGGATTCACATCTCCGAAAAAGACTTGCCGTACAACTCGATAGCCAGCTCGGCGCTGCTGCTGTTGTTGGTGCTGCTGCCGCTGCGTTTCCTCGAGAATAACGACCTCAGGGGTGGCGGCAGGGGGTGAGGAGGACACAAGGCCCTCGCAAGCTTCCTGCTCCTCAGAAGCCGCCCTGGTGAAACACTTTTCTTCAGTTGAGGATTGGGCCCCTTTTGGATGCCCCTCGCCTGTGGATTCCTTAAGTTCTGAATCGCTCAAGAGCGGCTGATGGCCTGAGACAACAGCGGGGGCCTCCGGAAAAGCCTCCGGTGGTTGCGCGTCGACGGCATTGAGGAGGATGTGGGGTGGCGTGAGGAGGGGCGAGGTGAACTGCACAACAAACAACACTGCGGAGGAGGAGGAAGCAACAATGCACGAAAAATGGCATCGGAAAGCATAAGCTCGAAGATTCTTCCACGTTGTGTTAGTTCACACGCATCTCTACCAACCCCGGTTCATCGGCTGCCGGCTTTTATTCGCTGCCTATCTGCAGCTCACGGCAACATGTGTTTGCAGCTCTCCTGCAGAGCCACTGAGCCCATCATTACAGCCCTAGTCCTCAGCGCACGCATAACGCTCAAAAACTCACGGAAAGGAGAGTGGTGCTGCCCGGTGTGGAGCATATCGGCTGTCCAACATCCGCCTCCAACAGATATACCTGTACGAGCAACAGCCAACAACGGTGTACTCCGCTGCTGATACTTATGCCTTGCTGTCTGTGCTCTCGCAACTGGCGTTGAACCCCCGTAGGCCCCTCCAGTGTCCTATGCTGTGAATAATATATCACGGTTGCCCACGGCCCTTGAAAGCCTCGAGCCCAATACGATGAAGCCTAGCGCCTTGGGAGCTGAGCTCCTACCTGTGAGAAGAAGTTGAGCGTGTAGTTAATGAGGAAAGAAACAAGGCACGACTTGCCGGTGCCCTTGCCACCCCAAACTATGACCGTGGGGAGCAGCTGACGGCAGCAGCTGCACCAGCAGCCCCTGTCTTTCGTACTGCAGGTGTGCCACGCTGCTGCTGCGGTGTGTTGCTCCCGGAGGTTAGAGCGAATACGACCAAACAGGCGCACCAGCTGAGATGCGGCTAACCACCTGCAACAGCAGCACCAACCAGCACGAGTCATGAGCAGCGGCATTCCTTCGCACAAGCATCTCCCGAGGCTTTCCGCATATATCTGTATAATACACATATACATGGAGGGCCGTTTGGGCATAAAACCCCGTCAACAGCTGTGTGTATCGCATGCCAACATACAAAACACGGAATCGCGACTCAAGCAAACCCTTTTGCTGAAAAAAGGGTCGATTATTCAATAATGGAGGTAAAACTGGCTCGGGGGCTGTACGGCCTCCTTAGGCACTACGCAGCTGGCCCCCCTTCATAGGGCCACCAGCAGAAATACCGCGAAGGTATACAGAACCCCGAATACGCTGGAGGGGCCTCACAAAACCCGTGCATGCATGCATGCATGCATGCACCACTGAGGCTTTCAATGCCTCCTGAGGCCCTTGGGGCCCCTCCAAGAAAATGTCTGCAGCGCTCCCTGAAGTGGGATCTCACCAGATAGGCGGGATGACTTCAAGGGGTAGCGGCGGCTGCACGAGCAGCGCAGCTGGAGCAGTGGGGGGTGCCAGCGCTTTGGATATGGAAATTCGACCCTCCGGAAGCCGCACTTCGCACAGCAGTAGCATCACCGGGAATTTCTGCAACAAAAAAGGCTTCAAGAGCGGGGCGTTCCACAGGTGTAGTACCCACAGCCCGACACTCGAATCAGTTCTGCCGGAAGCAGCAACTTTGGCACAAGCAGAAGGCGCGAGAGAAATCTCGAAAGCAAACAACGTCTGCAGCAGCAGCAGTTCCTCCCTCCCCAACCAGTCCTCTCTGCCCAACAGTAGATAATACACCCAAGCAGCACCTGCCGATCAAAGCGGTTCAAGAGACCCTCGATTTGAGGCGTCGCGAGGGCAGTGCGCTGAAGACGGCCATCGACTTGCAGCAGGCGCAGTGCAGCAGGTGCGTCAGAACACGCTGGGATCCTGTTGTGCCCTTCAGAAGTGTACATACACCCCAAGGATCTGCAGCAGACGCACGTGCCCGGCACAATTCGTGTTGAAGATGGGGGAGGGATGGGAAGCAGGTCCGACTACCCGAAGAGCCAGAACGCAGGAGAAGAAGACATGCATGGCACTGCTTCCGCAATGCACGAGACTTCAGCACCCTGACAGGAACGGGATAGACAAGGATTGCTGCTCCCCTCTTGCCAACAAGGAGGCGAGGCAGGCGCTACGTGGTGTCGCAGCCAACGCAGACCCCGAGGGCAATCCTTGGAACCTGCGAGAGATCCGAGGAGTGCGCCGGAGAGAGCCACGGCTAGGCTCCCAAGGCGGAGGCACAGCATCCACAGAGAGAAATTACACACAGATACACTCATACACACACAGAATGAGGAGGCGAGCACCAGGAGGGGGCAAGAACATTGAACGGACGCGCATTCGTCGAAATTCTGCTTGAAGGCGCAAACTGGGAAGCGTGCAGAGACGAAGTCTTCCAAGAAGGCTTCCGCAACCTGGAAGCCTTCCTCGTAGTGGGGTTGTTGCTGCTGCTGTTGCTCGCGTTGTGGGTGTTCATGGTCGGTGGCAAAGCCCTCGGGGCCAGGCAGCGCCGTGATGCGGATGCCAGGAGTCGTCGCAGCGCTGCCACTGCCGTTGCTGCCGCTGAGGAGGCCTCTCAGAGAGCTGCATCCTGACACCCCTTCTGGAGGGGGTGGACCCTCAGACACCACCAAGTGGTAGGTGGAGCTGGGGGGGAAGAAGTGGCCGCGGCACTCCGCTAGTCCCCTGCAAGCGCGAAGCACAGCAAGAGCTGCCACACGCAGGAGCCCATGTGCGCAGCGGCGCAAGAAACAAGAAGCCTCGAATGCATGCGCGCTCGGATGCGGGTACGGGGGCTTTCTTACCTCACAACTCTGAACCAAACAGCCCGACGGACTGCCAGCCATTCTCCAGCTCTCAGGGGCAGCAAATAGGCCCTGAAATCCCGTCTGTTCGTGCTTCTGCTAGACGCGCCGTTGCAACTCGTTGCGCAATAGTGCAAGTGGGGAGCAGGGATGGAAGAACCCCATAGAGCACCTCGGCTGCTTTCCGCTTCTGCGGCGACGAGCTCCTGCTGCGCCCTGCTGCTCGTGAGGTCCCACCCTTGCTGCTGCAGCAGCTGCTGCTGCTGGAGCACAGCTGCGGAGTCTCTACACCTCAGCAGGCGGGGAGCACGCCACGGCTCCTCAGCCGCATCTTCCCTTCGCGTTGCGGGGGCTGCAGCCGCTGTGCCTCCAGGTGTTGCTGCATCCGTCGCCTCTTGTTTCCTGCCCTTAGGAGGGTTCTCTCGCCACCTGTGGAAATGAAAAAGTTCCTCGTGAGTTATTCCACTGGAGAGGGAACCGCTGGGGGGCTTGTTCTCGGCTGCGAGTTTCTCAGAGGACTCCCCAGAGTCGCCCCTCTCCAAGGGGGCCCCCACATTCATTGGCGGCGCTGCATTCATACAGAAGGGTTCCCCAATGCACACCTTCTACTGCAGCAGCAGCACAATATGCTGCACATGCTGCAGCCGCCGCTGTACCGCCATGGAGAGGTGCTGTTCGAGCCTTCACGCTGGCTTCCTTACCGCCGAAGGCCTTGAGGCTTGCCCTCCAATGATTTAAACAAAACTTCTGGGGGCTTTGATTGGGAAATGCGAAGCCTCTCGGCGTGCTCCTGGAGTCCAGTCTCCCGGATGTAAACAGGCCTTGAAAGAGAAGAACAACAGCATATTCCGTTTATGTCAAACAGATGACTATATATATATGACGAGCATTCACGTTTTCTCGTCGGAGATATATGTACATATATATATATATATATAGAGCTATGCGGCTTAGGCTTTAACCATTCGGAATCGCTGCCACTGGGCAGCGGGTGCATGCGCGGGGGTTGCTGAATCGACTGAGCATCGAGATCTTCACCAGCCCTGGATCCCATGTCTACGCGATAGCACTCAAAAAGGAGCCAACTTAATGTCTTTTTGCTCTCAGAGCAAGGTGTCAAGCGTGCAGGTGAGGCGGAAATTTTATGCGCCGTTGAGCCTGGGTGGCTTCTAAGAAGCACACATAGCGTTGCATGGCAAGGTCTGGCATCAAGTCTTCGAGAAGTTGGAGGCGTAGGGCTGAGACTTGGCCCCCCTCATATACCCGTTCAAAAATTCAAGTGCACAGGAGCAACAGCAGCGACAGCAGCGGCGGTCCCCCCGCCGCTGCAGCACATCGAGTTAGCGAGGATGGAAGAGGAAAGCAGTGCTGCTTCCTCTCAATCGGCTTCGTGCTCTGCGCCTAAGGAAGTGCGTGTGAACCCAAATGCCTCAACCCTATCCATATCTCGTTCGCAGTATGTATGTGCTGCTCCCAGAGCTGTATACTGTGCACCAGCTGTATACTGTGCATCAGCTGTATACTGTGCATCAGCTGTATACTGTGCAACACTCGCTGAGCTACCTCAGCTGTGAATTCTTGCGCTGTGACTGTCTCATTTCAGATTCGCTTCGCGTCCGTGGCCGCCTTGAATCGCTGGATGGCAGAGCAACGGGAGAAAGGGCAATTTTTTTTTGTGTTGGCGAGAACGCACAAGCCGAAGCCCCCCCGAAAGGGCATATCGAAGACGTTAAACCCCCGGAACAACGCGGTAGATCCTGACACACCCATCTACACCGCGACATACAAGTGCAAGCATTGGAAAGATCCAAAGACCTTTGTATCATACAAGAAATACACCCAGCGCTTTCTCTACGGGGCAGATGTGCGCTGCGAAGAAGACCGCGTGTCGTCCCCGTCGCCTAACGGGGCGGTAAGTGTATCTACAGTAGCCTCCGTCAACACTTCCGCTGTGAGTGATGGCCTCCCTGCAACAGTGGCCGATCCCCAGGTAGGAGGTGAGAAGGCGTTTGGCGTTCAGGGGCCTCCCTCCGAGGCTGCTGTGCAGTCTGAAGGGGAGGGGTGTTCTACTGTAAGGGATTTGAGCAGTCAGCAGAGTTCACAGGGTGGGTTGTCTCTTGCGCGGGGGGGGGGCCTCCCTACGTTCCAGCCGCTGTCGTGCCCATTTAGAGAAAGAGCTTCCTCTTTGATGAGGGCTCCCCGCAGTGTTATCGAGGAAAGGATGTTTGCTCTACAAGCGCAGCTGCAAAAGATAAGGCGGCGCCTGCAGTATAGGAGCGTCAAGAGTAAAGCGAAGCGGGAGAGGAGGCTCCCCGCATCGCTGGTGTCTGTTGAGGAGCTTGAAGAGGAAGCCAGGAGCATCCAAGAGAAGATCCTGAAGCTCTGCGAGCAACGGGACGGAGGGGTTCAGCGCGTGGCCGGAAGCGTCCATGTGTCGCACCAACTAGTGCCAGCAGGGAGAGCAGAAGAGACATCAGAAGCGAGCAATCATCGGGCAGTGGAGGCGAAGGAAGGAGAAAGGGGCAGGGCCCAAGTCGACGTCGGCTCCAAGACGCTGACCCTTGCGGAGACGGGGGCCAAAAATGAGAGAAAGCAGTGCGACAGCGCAAATCTAAGGAGACTGAGAGTGCAGAAGGGGCAGGATATTCGATTGGCGAGAACAGTCAGAGAAAGGTGTGAACGATCGGAGCGAGTGGCGTGTGAAGGGGCCGAACAAGATGGTGCCTCTTCGCCTGCTTCCTCTTCTCAGAGCTCGAATTCTTCCAGAAGCAAGGAAGATGACGAGGGCACGCTTCGCCTTGCACGTGAGATGCATGGCTCGCTGTCTGAGCCCCTTTTTATACAAGATGCCTATGTTCGGCGACGTCTGGAGCGCCTCTCGCAGATGCGCGTAGTTCCGCATTGTGGCTGCCCCGCAGAAGTCAAGGTCAAGTACTTATTAGGAGGCGAGACGGTTGTTGTCTTCAGCGGCCCGGATCACTCTGATGTCTGCTGGCGCAATAGAGGACTGTGCTACAAAACACCCAAGGAAGCCCTAGACTACATCAAGCGGCACTGTTATCTGCCTATGCAGGCGCTCAAACTGTGCTTCCAGTCGCCAGAAGCGGCTCTTCAGTTGGCGCGGGAGGTTGCGCCCAGTGTCCACTGTGTGATCACTGAAAGGGTCATTGAAAATTGTCTGTATAACGCGCGGAAACAGCTGAAGGAGGAGCGCGAACAGAGGCTGAAGCCGGACCGACCCCGTGCCGCGGCGGGTTGTGCTGTTGCTCGTTCTTCTGCCCCAGGTACAGCTTCCGCCTCAGCGGCGATCTCAGTTGCTATTCCAGAAGGTGTTCAGGGATGGGGAGCGGCGGAGGCGCGCTGTTATGCACGCGCGGACGCAGACACGTCAGAGGAAGAGGGAAGGGTCCTTCCCTCTAGGAAAGTCTCCAGCCAGGAGGCGGCAACGAGGGGCGATGATACTCACACGGCCCTTCACATGCTCATGCCGGAAAGCACTGTCATATCAGGAATGGCCACCCCAGACGACTCCTTAGATGCCAGCAATAGTTGGAAGGGAGGGGCTTGGAGACTCCCCTGCAGACGCAGAGGAGGCGGCCTCCTCGTAAGAGAGCTCCGAAGAAGGTCCCCTCGGCTAAGGGACCTCATGTTACAGCAGCCTCAAGTCAGCAGAACCAGCGGGAACCAAGCAGCTGGAGGCAAAGCGCAGGCAAACCCCGGAGAACAAGCTCCCGCAGCGGCCAGCAGGAGGCCTCTCAGGGGCAGAGCACGAGGCAAGCGAGGACGAGGCAAGGGAGGAAGTCGAGGCCGAGGGTCTTCTAAGGGGACTCGTACGGAGCCCGCAGAACTGAATGACGTCAAGGATAAGGAGACTGCAAGCGAAACTGTAGCGACACAGCAGAGGGACGGCTGTCGCGAGAAAGAGACGGAGGACGCTGGCCCTCGGGAAGTAATGGCTGTAGAGGAAATCACGACCACAGGAAAAGCCAACTCCGAAAGGCCTCCAAAGGACACTGCGTGGGCTGATTTGGCTGCATACTTTTTGCGGCAGGCTAGGCGGTCAGAGGAAGAGGACGTACCGTTTATGGGGTTAAATGCTTGGCCCTCCCAACGCGTGGAGGGCCACGATAGCTCCAGGGAACCTGGCGGACCAGAAGAGCCCGTTGCAGAGAAGCTTTCCAGGGGGTCGCCTGAGCGATCCACGGATTGCGCAGAAGGGGTGTCTCTTAAGGGCTCAGAAGGGGGATATGCAGCCGGTGTTGCTGAAGCTCCTGCACCTGGCCATGTGCTGCCCTGTGAGCAGAGGACAGTCCCTCCCTGTGACGCTGGTGAGGAGCTTCTTATGGGCATCAGTAGAAAGCGGCTCCGGTACCTTTCTGCCGGCGAAGCAGTAGGGCCACCAGAGGCACCACGTGTTGTCTCAGCAGAAGCCTCAACATAGCGTACTGATGCGTAGCGTCGGGCTTAGTAGCCTCGTCTTTTGGCTTATTAGAATTTTTGCTGAGAGGCGTGCAGTGGCAGAACTTATAACAAACGGGTAATTCTAGCCTCAGTGCTCTGGACGGGGAATTTTGACTCTCGTGTACATGAATGGCTTTTCACGAATGCTCTCTTCAAGAGGTTGTCCTTGGTAGGGGCCACCGGAGCATCCGCACGGATAACTGTAGGACTATAGGGCTAAGTCGAATGCGCTCAAACGCCGTAGGTTGGATGCCAAATGATGGCAACCGAATTAAAGGCAGTCATGCTGGCTGCGGCTAGTTGCGCACTTGGGCCCGTGGCTACACCTGACAATGGAGGAAGGAACGGAATATGAGGTTCTGAAAACGTTCAACTAGCGCCTGGTGCCCTTAGCCAGAACATACACGAAAGGGGATTTATGCCTTTCAGCGAAGAGCCTAGGAAGGCCCACTTGGCAAAGGGGTGCAAACGCTTCAATCAGCGCCACGTCGGTGGTGGAAAATAATCTGTCTTGGGGGGCATAAAGGGCTGAACCACATAGCTCACGTCGCTAACGGTGAAGTCCGCATCTTGACGTTTAGACCACTTAGCGTTATCGCAGTTGACTAAGTTATGCTTAGGCACTTTCTTTTAAGGTAGTTGTATTTGGACAAGAATTAGTCAAGAATTGACTCTTTGGCATGTCGATTCGTACAGGCTCTTATTTCAGAGTCCTGTGACCTCAACACAAGGATATTCCTTGATATCTGGGTGTGCGCTAGATGCTATATGTAACGAGCTGTGAATGCTCGAGCTTGCAGCTACGGAAACACCCGCTACCCCAATTCCTTCATCTGTCGAACTCTGAGGGGCGCGCGCAAGGAGAGGTGATTTTGTGGAGTCTAAAGCTAAGTGTGTCCTTACGGAGACAATAGATGGAGGGTAACAAATATCTTCTCTCACGTAAGATCAGTTCAGTGCATTAGCAACAGATGCAGCTGGGTTTTGAGGGAATGTTCTGTACAGAGGCTTTGAGGCAGCTTGCATCGTGCCACCACACTTGAGGATTAACTTTGTATGGTTTTATTTACTATGACGGATTCTGATCTGAAGGATCCCTGATTGGAGCTAGGCTGTAGGTTAGAAGTTGTATATATCCAAGGCCAACTGCATAGTCTCCAGAGCACAAATAGGCGTTAGCCATCAGCCAAACATCCGTACAGCTAGTTTATTAAGAGGTTCACGGGATAAAGTTTTGGCTCCGAGCAGTGGATTTCTTCGCGCGGGCTGTTGGGGGTTGCACCAGACCAACGGTCCTGGCGGTGCGATCGGATGGTGTCCCATGATTTCCCCTCTCGCTCCTTCTCTATGTCATCTGAAAGTTAAAAAGTTGAAGAATTTAGCCTTACGCTGTAATTACCGCAGACTGAGAGCCGGCAAACCCGATACCCATTCATAATGCCGTCACTTCCGTCCTTTCACCCAGAATGTCTGGCAGGCCGCGTGGCTCTTATCACGGGAGGCGGCACAGGGATTGGCAAGGGCATCGCAAAAGTCTTCCTCTCACACGGAGCAAAGGTTGCCATCGCCTCAAGGAACGTCAAGACACTGCAGGAGACCGCACAGGTTTGCTTGTAATGGTGGTGCCGGTGGTGTTGCGCATCCGCCTGGCCCTACTGCAACTGCCACTGCCATTGTTGCAAATTTCAATTTTTTGTATGACTGCTGCTAGTTGAGGACAGCCATGAAAGGAGCTGTAAGCTTTTAGGTTCTGAACACAGTCAGGGCGAGCACATAAAACCTGACCGGGCAATACCGAGTAGAGTACCAACATGAGCAGCAGCACCACGAGCAGCTGTAGAATGACGGAGCATCTGGAAGTACATACAGCGCAAACAATGGTTCCTATCCGTTGGACGCTTCACGTCCTTCGCGCCTTTCGCGGCCCTTCCTCGGCTAGACAGATTGCCGCCTTTTGTCTGCATTGATGCTTGTCATGCTCTTCCTCTGGGCTCTACACCTTTGTTTCCCTGCCCATCTTCTTTTCGTCCTTCTTTTCGCTTTCCCTCTCGCTCAGGTGTATTCTCATGCCACGTGTGTTGGCATCGCCCTGTTGTCTCACCTGGGAGGTGGTCTGCTGTGTCACCTTTGCCACTTGCCCTTTGTGACGCTTTCAGTATTGTTCTCTTCCTCTCTCCTTGACCCCTACCACATTTCGTATGTATATACCTCAAAACAACCCTTATGCTCTCCCGTTTCCTTGTTCAGGCCTTGGAGCGTTCAACGGGTGGCACCTGCCTTCCTGTCGTCTGTAACGTGCGATCCCCTTCCTCAGTCGCGTCTGCAGTTGCTACAGTCCTCTCCGTACTTGGATCTATTGACATCTTGGTGAACAACGCAGCAGGAAACTTCTTGGTTCCCCTAGAAGCTCTGACCTTAAAGGGCTTTCAAGCGGTGATGGACACGGACGCGATTGGGGTATTCACCGTCTCAAAGGCGGTATTCCACGCCGCATTCCAAGGGGCCATCAAAAAGGAGGTTCAGGAGGCCCCCATTGCCAGGCAAACCTCACGAAACGCCCTTTCAGAAGGGGGTGAAGGGGCCCCCCCGGGGGCCTCTTCGGCCTCAGGAGTACGGACGAGCCCCTCAGAGGGGTCTCCTTGGGCTGAAGGCTTGGCGGCAAGCAAAGACAGGGCAATTGGGGAAGGGGGCCCTTCGAGTGGCTTTCAAAAAGAAAAAAGTTCGGATTCTGGGGTTGGCTGGACACGGGCCTCCGTGTACACCCAAGGGGGATGTAAGTGCATCATAAATATCTCCATGACGCTGCATTATACAGGAGCACTGATGCAGACGCATGCCGGCGCAGCGAAAGCCGCCATAGATGCGCTAACAAAGCACATGGCTGTAGAATGGGGCCCCTACAAAGTGCGTGTAAACGCAGTAGCGCCAGGGCCAATTAAAGACACGCGAGGGCTAGAGCGGATCAATCCATTTAGCGCCGTTTCGGCTGGGGTCCGTTCCACAAATGTACAAAGCCTGGGCAAGAAAGAAAATCAACGCCCTGATGCGCAGGATCAACTAGAGCTGCTGCGGAGGTTTGTACCACTGCAACGCTTGGGAACAGTGGAGGACGTTGCCTATGCCTGCCTCTTCCTAGCACTCCCGGAGGCCAGGTAGGCGCACAGTTGAGGCCTCATCTAAATGCACAGTAGGCCTGCAGGTGACACTTCTGCCACTGATAATGCTGCTACTGGAACGCCTCACTAGGAAAGGACCATTTCTCGGCAGGGCCAAAATTCACCTGTTAGCTCTCCTCGCACGGCTCGTAGCAGAGGCCGCCAAGGCTCTGCAGGGGCTGATGAGAGAGACAGAGCTCCTTGAAGTGCATAGAGGCATCATTTCCCCCCCCTCTTCCCCGCATAGCCCTTACAGTGTACTCTGAGTGTGGTGCTTCGCACCCTTTCGCCTCTACTGCCTCTTGCGCGCGCCTCTAGTTTACCATTCACACGATGCACCTGCACAAGTGGCTGTTCGCTTGTCCGTTTCTGCGTGCAGCTACATTACGGGAAGCACCTTGGTAGTCGATGGGGGCCAGTGGCTTACTTCAGGGAACTATACGGCTTTACAACCAGAGGTCAATGAGGCATGGAGAAACGCGCCTTTTGCCTCCAGCCTGTAAACTCTAGCGGCTGCTGTAACAGATTCTGCAATCAAAGCCCAGTGGGTGGAAAGGTGCCCAAGACGCGGCTGTGTAACCACTTCAGTGGCGAGGGCAGTCGTACCAGCTACAGAGGCTGCAGTATAATGTACCAACTAGCATGGCCAGCTGCTATATCTACTTATCGCTTGTGCACGTTCGCATGTTGAAAGAAAAAAATCTAGGCTTGAACAATATCTGATGCATGGAGAGCCCGAACCTTTAAACAATACATGCTACAGTCCAGGCCGTAGAAAAGCAATGGCCAGCACCGTGTCACTACACAAACTTGTGATGATTTCCGAATCGTCGAACAACAGCACCGTGTACGGTGTCTGGTACCTGTTTCCCCCGATCTTTTGTTGCCTAACTTTTTCGCAGCCAATGCATCAGGTTAAGGATCCACGATATGAAGGAAAAAAACACGCGTTCTCGTATTCCTTAAGCAAGTTTTTTAGCCGTGAAGTCCTATCAAGCCATTGAAGCATCTATTAGCTGCTTCTTTGAAAGAAGAACCTCGCTGTCTGTTGCCCTCGTCTTTGAGGGCTCCGTGTTGAGGGCGAGAATGAACTATAGGGGCATGCGTTGGTGCGTCCACAAAGCTCTTCCATCCATCGCACATAGCACAACACAGAAGCCTGGAACACAGGCACGCAGCACCAATTCACCCTTACAGTTTTGAATGAGCCGTAGTAATCCCACCCTCCAATTTTGGTGCTAAAATGCAAAAATGCACCCTCCGCAGATGCCTACTGCGCATGAAGCCTTGAGTAGAAGAAGCTGCGTAGGCGTAGGTTGGTCCGATGCTCTCCTGATCGCTCAGACTCGGCTCCCCAAAATCCTAGGGTTTAGGGCTTCGCGTGTATACTGTAGAGACTCTCCCATACATTGTGGGGTGGGGGTTTCCATCGGTATGAGCCAAACTACTATTGACCGCTTACGCCTACCTCGTGACCTCCATCAGACCTCGAGATCTAGCGTGGGAAGTGTGTATGTTGTATTTTCTGGAAATGTGTCGTGGCTCTGCACTCGGGTGTACGTATTGGGCTTTGTTTGGAACGATCTTCTGCCGTTGCTTTGCTCTTATATGTGAGTGAGCTCATTAGCAGGTGTTTAATGGATACATCCTCATCTTATGTCCTTCGTGCATGCCCGAATGCTTATTGTTGTTGTTCCCTCTATCTATTGCATCGAACTGCGGACGGCTGTCCCCTCTATGATCCCTCTAAGGGGAGCATTTCCGGCATTACCCGCTGTTTAATGAGCAAGGAGAGTAGAAACATATATTAAAAAGGAAGATAGCTTAAATAGCAACAAAAGTTTGCGCGTTGGCTGCTAGCTGCATCGAGTGGCCTTGGGGCGGTCGGTAGTTTCGAGAGTGTTGGCAGCCGCTGTGTTGGGTGCTCATTGACTTTTTTTCATTATTCCAGCAATCAGTAAACACCTATTCCCCCTTTTCAACATACTTGTGCAGGCGATTCATGCAACTCAAGTATGCATTCATTCCAGATGCTTTCAGAGGCACCTGCACAGTGTCACCGTTCAGCCAGGGAAGGCGCCCGAAGCCTTCAACCTTTGCTCAAGTTCTAGCCCCTAGAACCCTATGTTTTGACCCTTCTAAAAGGTTTTGGAAAACGTTACTTCAGTATCAGGTCCTCAACTGGTTTCTCCCTTTCTTCCTAGTGCCGGCAGCAGTGCAACCAGAGTCGTTAGCCACATTGTCAGCTGAATTGCCGGCGACACAATCAGTATCAGCTTTTATCCAAGATGTTGGGCAGGCGGGGGTACTGCCGATACCGCTTCACTCCTCCCCCAGTAGAAGAAAAATGGATCCGCGCTATGGACCCGACAGGTTGGCGCCTCCAGACACTGCCGATGCTATTGCTGGTTTCATAGTCTTCAGCGGTTTTGCTGCTGCTATTAATGAGTAATAGCCCCCCCTACTCGTATATTAAGTGGCGCTGGTGATAATGCTCTCCAGGTAGGCAGTCGGCCTGCAAGGACCACTGCTGCTACTGCTACACTTGCCTCTTCGAGTAACCTTGATGCTGCTGATGCGCGCACTTCTCAACAGACACACGTGGCGTTGGAGCCACCCAATGTGCTGCCGCCATGGCTGCCCTCCAGTGGAAGCGGAAACTCTTGCTCCTGCAGAAGCTCTTCCTGCCCGTGCCGCTTCTAAGTTTATGAGCGCATGCACAGCAGTTTCCCGTGGCGCTTTCATCTCCCACTGCTGCCTTTACTGCTACTGCTCGAACTGTTCATGTTACCGCTCCTGCAGGGACTTCTGAGTTGCTGGAGTTACTCGAGCAAGAAGAGGTTCAGCAGCGCGCTGAGACGGCCGCCTTGTTAGAGCTGCTGCATCGTCAACGTGGCGACATCGCGATCTTACGGCGGCAGCAGCAACAGCTGCAGGAGGAGCTGGAGTCTGTGCAGCTTAACCTGAATGAGCAGCGGCAGCAAAACCAACAACTGCGTAGGCAGCTAATGACGATTCGAAAACTGCGTTGCACGGAAAAGCAAAAAGTCCTTAAGAAGCTAGCTGCAGCAGAGTCTGCCTTCGAACAGGAGCTACAGAGTATATTTCTTCCTAGTGGGTCTGCCGAGGGCCCCTCCGGAGCCACAAGGACCTTTTTTGATCCGCCTCTAACACAGCAGCAAAAGGAAGGCGCAGCGCAAAAGCTTTTTCTCAGACAACAGCAGCAACAACAGCCCATGTCGGAGCAATTGGGAAACCGTGCGACGTCACCCCCCTCTGGCATCCCCGGCAGCAACTTTCGAGGAGGAGCTGTAGGGTCCGCTGTCTCCGGCAGTCCCCCAGCGTCCCCCCTCCTGGCACGTGGCTTGCTCCCTGGATCCTCTCCCACGACAGTGGCGGCGCCTGCAGTCGGGAGGGCAGCTTTCCTCAAAGTGCCGGCTGCTGGCCATCACGCGGGAGGGGGAACACACACAACACAGCCAACTGCTGTGCTACCGCCTCCCCCCAGTAGCAGAAGCCCCCTGTCCACCACCAGGGGTGGAACCCCCGCAACAGCGCTCACCACCAAAGTACAGCCCTCACCCTTACTTACAGTCACTCCAGTCTTGCCCACTGCAATCAACGGCAAGCCCGCTGTGGGGAGTCCCCTACTGGGCACGGCGCGCGGCAGTGTCTCTCGACCTCAAGGCCTGACGACGCCTGCCCTCAGAAGCTCTTAATAAGCTCTAGGCGCTTCTCGAGGAGACACCCCAACCCGCACCTGGAGGCTGCGTCTCCGCTGCAGTCTTCTCTGCTGCAGAAAGATGGAGGCCCCTCACAAGGTCCACTCGGCTTCCCCAGTAAGGGGAGACGCTGAGGCAGCTCCTGCTGCAGCCGCTCCCTCCTGCGCCGCTGCTGCAACGCGCTAGACTGTTACACTTTAGATGGCACACCGAGAACGTGCCTGCTGATCGACGGGGAGTAAGGGCTTTTTCAGACCCTTGTTTGCTGCCTATCGCAACCCATTAGTTCTATTATTTCCCTGGCATATGCAGCTGCTGCTGCTGCTGCACTATCTGCAAAAGTTTGCCCACTATGTAGTCCTACCTGGGTAAGGTAGCGAGCAGCCCCTTCTCTCCCCTTCCCTCCCCCCGTACTGCTCCCCCTTATACGGAGTTTGTCACGCAAGCGTCTGCAGTCTCAGGCCACAACAGCGGCATCCAAAATGCAGCTTAGCCATCGCGCAGCACCAACATTAGTGCGAACAAACAGCTGCAAGTGTATATGGGCAGCCCACTTAGGAGGAAGGCCTTATCCCACGGCAATCGGTCCAGCCTACTTTTGTCGGCTAAACCGCTGTAGAAAATGCTCTTGTTCCTCCCCTTGCAGCACTTCAGGGGTTGTGCTAAGAAACCCTGCTGCTACTGCAGCTGCAACTGCTGCAGCTGCAACTGCTGCAGCTGCTGCCTCGGCTGTTTGTGCTGGCAACGCTCCTGCTAATGGCCAGTCGTACCAGCGGGGTTGTTACTGCTGCTGGCGGGAGAGACAACAGCGGCAGTAACAACGCTACCAGCAGGAGTTGCTGCTGCAGCAGAGGCTGCAGCAGCCACTCCGCTGTTGGCATCCCAAGCGGCATTGTTATCGGCAGTACTGCTGCTGCTGCTGCTGCTGCTGCTCGCAGCGATTGCTGGAACGCGCCATGCAGCAGCAGCTGCAGCCGCCACTGGGTCGGCTACTGCCGCTGCTGTTGCAGCGGCAACGCCTGAGTAGGCAGCGTCTAACATTTGCTGCAATCCTAGGCCCTGTTGCTGATTAAGGGGTAGTCCCCAAAGCGAGGCTTGCTGCAACAACAAGGGCTGCTGCTGCTGCTGCCCCACTACCAGCTGCTGCTGCTGCTGCCAGAGCTGCTGCTGCTGGTGCAAAGGCGGAATGAGCAGCGGCTGCTGATGCTGTTGCCACAGCTGTTGCTGCAGCACGTGCTGATCCTTCTCCGCCGTTGCCACGGCTGCCGCGTTGGGGACGGCCTGCGCCGCTGTAGCTGGCTTGTTAGCTGCAGCCTTCTGTTGCTGCTGCTTCTGTTGCTGCTTCTGCTGCTGCTTCTGCTGCTGCTGCTGCTGCTTGAGTTGCTGCTGCTGCCGCTTCTCCTGCTCGTACTGAGACGGGTTGAGTGTTTCTCTAAAATCAAGGGCCAACTGACGAGCAGCCACCATCCCGTGTCTCGCGCAGCTGCAGCCAGAAGCAACGCAACACCAACACCTGTGCAACCCCCCTCAGGAAGAAGAGAGGGAGAGACAGCGCACGAGCAGCCTAGTGAGAGCCATCAAGCCGTGGAGCGACAAAACAACACAACGAGAAAAAGGCACACCCACCTAAAGGCTTTGCGCCTCCGCTTGTTGTCTGCCGTTTTCCACTGCACATTCCACGTGCCGTCGCTCGAATTAAAATATATACCAGGCGCCCGCAGTTCTTGCGCCGCCGCTGCTTGCTGCTCCCTTGCTTCTGCTGCCGCTGCAGCAGCTGCATCCCCCGCAGCGGCAGCCTCCTGCTGCTGCTGCCGACGCCTTGCAGACTTCACTGGACGTCGAGGGCTGCTGCTGCTGCTGCTGTCTGCCAGAGACTTCTGCTGCAACTCGCGCTTGGCCCCTCCCGACGTCGATGGCGGCGCTGCTGACTCCCCCCCTATTGGGGAAGACGCTGCGGAGGCTGCCACTGTTGCTGCTGCTCCTGCACCTGTGGCTGCCGCCTGTGGGTAGCGCACAGCGCCAGTCTGTTGCTCCGCATGCTGTTGCTGCTGTTGCCGCTGCTGTTGCTGCTGCTGCCGGTCGATCCCCGCAGCAGCCGCCGCCGCAGCAGCTGCTGCTTGGTGCTGCTGCAGCAGCTGCGCATGCTGCTGCTGCTGCTGCTGCTGCAGGGCCAGCTGCTTCTGTTGCAGGTGCACCTGCTGCTGCTGCTGCAGCACGAGGTGCTGCTGCAGCAGCTGCTGCTGAAGCTCTGCAGGGGCAAGTCTCTGTTGCTGTGTGGCTTGGTGCTCGAGCAGCTGCTGCTGCTGCTGCTGCGACAGGAGGTGCTGCAGCAGCAGCTGCTGCTGCGGATCGAGTGCCTGCTGCTGCTGCTGCGAGAGAAGGTGCTGCAGCAGCAGCTGCTGCTGCGGATCAGGAGCCTGAGAAGGCATCAAAAAGAAGGGCTGCTCGTCTATGTAGCTGCTATACCCGCAAAAAGCCGAGGCAGCATACAGCGGACCCCCTCGCTGCGGCTGCGCTGAAGCCGCCATATTCTGTGACGCAGCAGAACGAGAGCAGGGAGCAGACTGTCGTTGCTGCTGCTCGAGCTGCTGCGAAGTGCAAGAAGCTCCAGCAGTTCCTCGCTCTTGAGCCACCTTTTGTTTGGGCTGTTCTTCTTCGTGCGGCTGCCGCAGCCGTCCTACTGCCGAAGAAACCTCCCCTTGCATGTCTCCTTGCATGTCTCCTTGCTGCTCCTCCTGCGGCTGCTGTTGCTCCTCTTCTTGCTCCTCCTCTTGCTCCTGTTCTCGCTCCTGCTGCGCTTCGTGTGAGTTTTGCTCCTCCTCCCCCTGCGCCGCTTCGAAAGGCCACTCTGTTGCCTGATCCTTGTTCTTTCTCTGCTGCTGCTTCTTCTCGCTCTCCTTGTCACCGTTTGCTGCTTGTTGCGCCTGCGTCTGCTGCGGCAGCTCTTGCGCCATTTCTTGGCCCCCCATCTGCGCGGTTTCCTCGCTGCGCGGCGCTTGTTGTATTTCCTGTTGTTGCTGCTGTTGCTGTTGTTGCTGCTGTTGCTGTTGCTGCTGCTGCTGCTGTTGCTGCTGCTGCTCCGTTTGTGCAGTGCTGCGTCGCCGCCTCTGCGAGCACCGAAGTGCAGGACGGTCCGCTGCAGGTGTATTGACAAGCTGCGACTGATGCAGCACTTGTTGTTGCAGCACGACTTGCTGCCGGTGAGGCACTTCCAGACTGTCTAGAGGAGGCTGCGGATGCAGCTGCAGTGGCTCCTCTACTGTGACGTCGAGCGGCTGCAAAGGTTCTAGAGGGACTGTTTCAACGAGGTCGTGCGTCTCACGGGGATGCCGAAGGAGGAGCTGCTGCTCTTGCTGACGCTGCTGCTGCTGCTGCTCCTTCCGCTGCTGCTGCTGCTGCGCCAGCTGCTGCTGCTGCTTCAGCAGCAGCGGATTCTTAGCTTCAAGAGGCCCCTTCACTGGTTGAGCTCCTGCCAATTCAGCTTCCTGCTGCAGCAAATGCAGCTGCCGCCGCCTTTCCTGCAGCAGCAGCGGCAGAGCAAAAGACTTGAGACCACCTGTCCACAGCTGCTGCTCTCGCTGCTGTGGGGTGTAACTGCCACTGCTGCCTTTAGGGGAACGCCGTCCAGTGAATTTTCCGTCTGTCTCTGCAGACACTGCAGCAGCAGCGCCTGAGGGGCCCCCCCCGGCTTCTAAGCCTGCGCAAAGTCGCAGCGCCTGATGCGTCCACAGCGCCGAGGTGTACGCCCACTTCAGCTGGAGCAACCGCTGCAGCTGGTGCTGCTCAGTCGTTGCTGCAGCAGCAAGCTCGGCTGCTGGGCTGGTGTCGGAAGCAGCAGCCACAGCAGCAGCAGCCGTGGCTGCAGCGTCAGGCTGCTGCCGCAGTCGCCGCAAGAGCCGCTGCAGCGGCGTGTGCTGCAGCGACGGAGGACTGCTTCCAGTGCATGGCGTGGGAATTTCTCGAACTGCTGCAGCAAAAGCAGCGTCGGCTGCAGCAGCGGCTGCTGCAGGATCGCCTTCCTCGGTGGAGGGAGGCTGCCACTGAGGAGCCTCCTTCCCCTTCGTAGTGCCGCTGCTGCTGCTCCGTGTGAGCGCTCTTCCCGCTGCAACACGCCCCCGAGAACTGCCAGCCGCAACGCATGCAGCACTCGCTGCAGCTGCTGCTCTTACGGCTTCTAGAGACGGGGAATACCCCGCAAAATAAATGTTGCTCGGCAGCAGCGGCGAAGGGTCCCCTTCAGCGACCCCCTCCTCCGCAGCGACTGCGCCTTCCTCCGTAATCGCTTCCCAAGCAGTCGCCGCTGCGGCAGCTTCTGCGCTCAGCGCAGAAGCCTCCTGCCCCCCCCTGAGTGCAAAGCGGGAAGACGGAATGGGATGGCGAGATGATCGACGAGGCCGAAGAACGCCGTGCGCGCTGCTCCAGCTATCGCTGCTCGTTTCTTCTCGGCTGCTGTGTGCGCGGTGCTGTTGCTGCACGTGTTGTTGCTGTAGGTGTAGGTGTTGCTGCTGCTGCGGAGGGGGAAAATCCGCTGCGGCAGAAGCAAGCGACTCCGCATCGTTGCTCGCATGCGACAACCAGCCGGGACTGAGAGGCATCCACTGCTGCGGAGGCTGCTGCAGCAGCTGGGAGTGCAGTGCAGGATTTTCGGGGGCAGCTGCAGCAGCCTCGACGGACGAATTTGCTGTTGCAGCTGCCAAGCGCTCTGCTGCATGCGATGCGTCTTTGTTCTCAGGGAGTGGAAGCGGCTGGTGCGAATGCTGGAGGCGCCTTTCCTGCCGCCGGTTAGACCGCTGCTGCTTCTTGTTGCTGCTTCCGCTGGTGCTGCCACAGGGGGGGGAGTCTTCTGCATCGCCGTCCTCTTCTGCAGCCGCTGCTAGCGATGAGAAGGCAGCAGCCGCTGCGGAGGCTGCACTAAGAGCTTCTGGTCGCGGCTGGTAGCCAGGGGAGACAGCGTGCGACAAGAAGTGCTGTTGCGACGGCTGCGAGGGGGGAACTGCAGTGAGGGGTGCAGCTACCCCTCCTCGCAGTTGCTGCTGGTAGACGCCACATCCATCGGCATCCCCAAGAGACTCTCCTGCTGAGGACTGCTCCCCACTCCGCGTCTGTTTCTGCGCGTGGAATGCTGGCTCGAAAATGTGGGTGTACTGCTGCTGTGGAAATTGCGGCTGCTGCAGGAGTTGTTGCTGCAGCAACAACTCCTGCAGCTGGTGAGGCTGCTGCTGTTGTTGCTGCGGGAGGAGAGAAGGCTGCACGAACTGCTGCATCGAGGGCGCAGCTGCGCCTTGTTGCAGCTGATGCTGCAGCTGCTGTTGCATTTGTGTCAGGGAGGCACCCTCACTCAGCAGGGAATGCTTCTGGAAGGGCAGCAGCTGCTGCTGCTGCTGCAGCTGCTGCTCCTCCTCCTCTTTTAGGTGCTCCTGCATACCGCTAGTGGTCATGCTGTTCAGGCAACATGCAACACCATCCGTCAAGGGCCCCCTTTACGCGAGAGCGCAGCTGTGGCGGTCTGTACTTACAGCATGGCGGGGGGTGCTGCACGGATCCGCTGCTCCCGCTGATGCACTAGACTCTCGAATGCTGCAGCAGGCGTGCCTCCGTCCCCACAGCGCTAACTACGGAACTGCAGCGTGAAGGGCCCCTGTCGGGTGTGTCTTTGGAGCAGCAGTCCGGCTGCAGCTGCGGAGACAGCTGATTAGGAGGCAAACGCAGTTGGCGTGGCAGAAGCAGACACGGTAGCAGTAGCTGCTGCCGCAACATAGGAGGGGAGCCGACGTTTCAGTGCCACCTTTCCCCCCCAACAACTGGGAACGGCTGCGCTGCTGCTGCGCTGCTGCTGCGCTGCTGCTGCGCTGCTGCTGCTGCTGCTGCTGCTGTGACGGCAGCAGCAGCAGCAGCAGAAGCGGCCCCACGAGGTGTCGCGTAGATCTCCCCGGTGCTGCCTGTGCAGCACCCCCCGTGCTGCGCAGTTATCGTGCTCCGCGGCAAAATTAAATGCGGAAACACCAGAAACAATAAAATTAAAGCTCCAGAACACGGACATTACTAGCAGGAGTTCTCGAAAGCATCCCCAATCGCACCACCACAAAGAGCAGCTCCAGCTGCTGCTGCCGTGCTGCAGCAGCTGCTGCACAGCTGCTGCTGCTGGTGCCATGTGCTGCTGCTGCTGCTGCTGCTGCTGCTGCTGCTGCGTTTCTTGCGGGCTGGACAGGGGAGGGGGGCGAAAGGGTCTCTAGAAAATGCCTTCCATTCAGATTTTGTTCATGACGAATGGAAGAAGGCTACACCCAGAATGCTGGAAAGCTCAAATACGCCTCGCGTTGTATAGAGATACGAGTGTGCCCTTGGCATTGCAAACTAACACGTACAGGTAGAAGTTCGAGCAAGAGTATTACCATCTGCAGAGGGAGTAGCCCAGTAAAACTAGCAGCAGAGAGCACACGGTGCTTGCACTGCCTTTCTTTTGAATTATTATCGTCTTAACTCTCGGATATAGCACGCTGCGGCATCACAGAAGATGGACTCGGAGGAAAGGAAACCAACTGAGAGCGAGTTGCTCGCAGAAAAGCTGCTACAAGGTTGGACGATGCTAGGAGATGTATGCCCTTCCGTAAGCGCATGCTAAGTCTCAGACGCGAAAATCGCATCTCCAAACGTGGCAGCTCGCAGAGTTGACAGTAGGCGTGGATTCTCTCTTAACAAAGCTCCCGCTGGCTTGTCTTTGTCGCTGATGCAGCTGTTGCATTGTACAGTGCTGCAGCAGCCAAGCGCCTCTGACGCTTCCAGTCTGCAATTGAATGCGGTCTGTGCTTGTGCAGTGCGGCCGAGTTCCCCTAATGCGGAGGAAAGAGGGAGGCGACTGGTGCGTTGCATGCAAGAGCTTCATGCCATCTGCTGCACCCTTGCAGCAGCAGCAACAACAACAGGAACAGACACAGCAGGAGCAGCAACATCAACATCAAGACGCTGTCGAAGATGCACAAGAGAGCAGCGACAGCGAAACATCTGGAGTCTGCACAGCGAGTAGGGAGGGAAAGGCAGCTTCTCTGAGGAGTGATTTTGAACGTGTTTTACATACAAAGCGTGGCATTCCCTGTGGCATCGGGGGTGTTAACACGTAGTTAGGCTCTTGGTGATGTTGCTGCTGCTACTGCTGCTGCTTCTGCTCCTGCTGTACACTGACGCTTTAAGGGCTATGCGATCTGTCTGTCTTTCGCGTTCCTCTTGATCCTTGAGGACTGCTGCTCCTCCAGCTTGCCAGTCCTTGCCACGCGCCTCGCAGAGGGAGCAGTGGCTTCTACAGCACGCCTGCATGCACAGCTGCCTGCTGCCACTGGCCTCTTTGCATGCGCACAGACGGTAAGGGTAGTCCTAGGAGTGCGTTGCCTCCTCTCCGCGTGGCGGCTGCATTCGGACTGCAGGCTTCCCCAGAGGAGAGGCTTGCGGCTTGCAGTGCTGCAATCCAAAGGGAAGGAGCAGCTGCAGCGGCAGCGCTCGAGCAGCAGCGAGCGCAGTTGCAGGCGCAGGTGCAGCAGCAGCAACAGCAGCAGCATGCAGAGAGCAGTACCCCCTCTACTTCTTCTGGCACGATGTCGGCGGTAAGGCGATGTTTGTTTGCGATAAAATTTTTCTAATACGGCAGATGGCTAAGCGTCGTAGGGCATGTGGCGGCCCCTGGTAAACGTAGGGGCGAAGCTCCCCCTTTTAAATTATGATTTCTGCCTGCGAGAACTCTTGCCACATGTTTTTGGAGGTAGTGGAGTGCTGCTGCGTTCGCGCGATGCAGCCGTCTAAGGAGCTGATGCAATGGGGTGTGCAACTATCCAACAGATTCAACCCCCTCGCCGAGCAACAGCCTCAGGCATTTGCGCAGCGGCAGCAGCAGGTGCAGCTGCGAGGAGCAGCAGGGGACTATAAAGACGCGACTTTACACCAGTCTAGGGAGCTCGTTTTCCTCAAGATCCAAAAGTGCGTTTCTACAACCCATTTCGCAGCTGCGCTGTATATATATATATATATATATATATATATATATATATATATATATGTATGTAGCCACCCTGCCATTGGTGCTGATGATTCTTGAGAGCAGCCAAAATCGTGATGGCCAGTCAGAGCTGATGTCAGCTCACCAGCAGCCTTAAAGACTTAGATATGTCTTCTTTCCCCTATTCTCCCTTCTCCCCCCCGTTGTAACTCCCTCCTTCCGCTGCTCTTTTGCATCGGGGTGGCATTGGCTAGCAATCTAGCTAGCACCTCCCTGTTGGGAGGTGCTAGCTAGATTGCTAGCCAATGCGGGGGTGGGGTCGCTGGGGTTCCTAGGTGTCTGTCGAGAATGGCAGGATGCGCTTCTCGGCATTTTGACTGTCTCTCTCTCTCTCTCTGTGTGTCTACGGGAAATGCGCTCATAGGTACAATGGAATGCTGCAAGAAAAGGCCAGCTCTGTTGAAAGGTAAGTGGGGACTGCCCGGCTGCCATCGGTGTTTTTCCAACGGCTCCCACTGCCCCCCTGCAGTCGTGGGTGGCTCAGTTGTAGATGGTCGTTTAGAGTGGTGGTGCTGGCTATGCCCTGCTTGATTTTCGCTTGGCTTGTCGGCCAAGTCAAGCGAAAATCAAGCTCTCATGGAACCCACCCCTACTAGCCTCAGATCGCCTCTCTCTTCCCCACGATGCAAGTGCACATGCGTGTTTGCGTCTGCTCTCCCGCAGGGAGCGTTTGGTGCTGGGGGCCCTTAAGGACTCCCTAGAGGTCTTGAGGCTTCTAGAGCCGCTAACCCCTTAAAGCGTGCTCCCTTTCAACAACCCGTTAAGATGCACTGCTTGCTGCTGTAAAGGTGCTGCTGCAGTGGGTTGTACGACACTATACAGCTGCGCTGCACAGGGCAGCAGCCCAACAGCGTGCGGCACACGACGGGCTACCTGTGATACTGCAGCAGCTTGCGCCCCTCCCGCGTGCACGACGCATAGCTGGCTGCTGCTGCAAGTGCGGCTCCAACAATCGTTAGTGGAAAACCCATAGAACTCTCGCCGCTGCTAATGTTGTGCTTCGTAGCCTCTGCTTTAGCTGCCCTGGCTGGCTGTCATGCGCAGCACGTGCTTTCCTGCTGACAAACTACAGCCAGAAAAAAGCCAGGAGAGGGCGGCAGCAGGTTCCTGGTGGTTTCTGGGGGAACGCCCCAACCCAGGAAGTGCGGTATAAAGAGCAGCGATCTTCATACTACAGAAAGGCCCCACGCCACAGCAGCTGCTAGCTTAGCTGCAATTGCGATCCCTGGTGCTGCTGCTTTACTTGCTGCTGTAGCAAAACCCCTGATGCTGCAACAGTAAGTACCTAACTGCACCAAGACATGAATGATGATGGCTGCGGTAAGCTGCGTAAGAGACTCAGTGCGGCAGCAAAGGAACAAGCAGCTTTAGCTGCCCCTGCTGCGTTGGGAAAGCCTGGAGTAGACCCTTCATGAGGGGCCTACTTGGATATCGCCACTGGCAGCCATTGATGCGTTTCGTTCCTGTGCGCGCTGCGGAGGGGTCACTGTGTGTGGCGTCCTCTCCCCAATCCCGCTCACCAAACGAGCAAGAGCACTACAAGCAAGCATGGGGAAAAAACAGTCACTGCTCTCTACAACGCAACAAAGGCCAGAGCCGCTGCCGCAGCGATGGCAGCGACTGCCGCAGCACGGGATCCCGAGGCCATTGTTGCAGCGTTGATCTTGTGATTTTGTGGGTTGCACATGGCAACAGCATTTTGGGAAGACAAGTCCACCTGATTGCGGCATGAGACGTACTGCACCTGAAGCCGAGTAGGCGCACACAAAGGAGCATTGAGCACGAAAAATAGCAGCGGTGCGTGAGTCCCCCTTTTCTATCCATCAGAGCGGCATCATATTTCGGGACAGAACCCCAGTAAAAAAAAAAAAGTCAGACAGCTTGAACCGGCTCTCTAAACACTACGCGCACGACCCCTGATGCCCTCTCAGGCCCTTCTGGGGAACAAACAACGGCGGTGTGCCTCTTCTCCGAGACACAGCGACAGATCTAGACCCTATCAGAGGCCTCCTTACCTGCTTGTTTACCCACTGGGTGTACTGCCCCTCATCACACACGCAAGCCCACGGATAGTCGGTATCCGAGGGGTACATAAAGTTAAAATAGGAGCCTTGGTTGCCTCCTTCAAAGTTTTCTGCATTTCCAGCACCAGCCCCTCCGAACAGGGTATCCCAGAAAGAGCCGATGCTGCTAACCTCGACCATGGAGGAGGAAGCGTCTGCCGACTGCTCCACTGCTGAGACCTCCCTGATGCTGCGGAGCTCACCGCTGCTGCTGGAGGTAGAGTCTTCTGCGTTCGAGTCTGCCTCTCTTGCTGAGAACGTGCCAATCTTCGAATTCTCTGGGCACCATCACCACACAGACAGAGGACGGCATCGTATTGAAAATGAAACACCCCCAGGATGCCCACAGAAATCGAAAGGACTTCAAACAAGCCCCCCTCCACCTATCCCGGCTGGCTCTCCAGAAGGCGTGCTCACAGCCTCCCCACCCTAGTTGTACAACTTTCGAGTGTCGCTGCGCATAGCACTGTTGCCAGATTTTGACGGACTGCTTTGCCTATAAAAGCCCCCATCCCCCTTCACGTGGCTGAATCTGCTACAATGTCCAAAGCGCCGCAGCACAGAGGCACATTCGCCCGCTGCAGTCGACGATGGCAGCTTGCTAGTTACCTCGAGCGGAAGCAGCCTCCTTCGCATGAGCCTTAGCCGTTTTGCACGCCTCCGCCTCTCCATCTGCTTGACAGATCTCAAGAGCGTCTTTTGCAGCTGTTGCTGCTAAAGCAGAGAGGTTCTTCTGCCGCTTCTCGTGCACGACCTTGGCGAGGGCTCCCTGGGAGGCTCCGCGCGCAAGCAGCACATCCAGCGGCTCCCAGTGCGTGCCCTGTACCTCAGAGAGAAGTTCATCCACCGAAATCACGTGCCTCTTCGGGGATAAACGCGGCTGCTGCTGGGCCTGCTGTTCAAGGGATACAGAAGTATCGACACCATCAATCAACGCACTGTACGGTGCCGTGTGGAGAAGAGTCACAGAAGTGGACCTTCCGCGAGAGGTTCCCGAATCGCTCTTACTAAGACAGGCCGACGGCGATGCTGCTGCAGCACACACACGCAAAGTGGAGTCAAAATGACGCCGCAGCTGTTGATGCCACGCTCACGCCAGCAGCTAGCCCATACGCCTATTTAGGCACGCAGGAGCGCTTCAGGTAGACAGACAGCTACGTGACGCGGGATAAAGCAATAAAGCTATGAGCAGAAAGCACTTGCAAGAAGAAGGAATGGAAGAAGCGGAGGAGCTTCAAGGCTCTCCAGCACCAATTCGTGCAGCTGTTCGTGCTCCTGTGTTGTCGATACAGCGTGGCAGAAACCCAACTTCATATAGCTGTCCTCACCTTCAAGCCATAATAAAATCAGCAAAAGGAACGGGAATGGCGTCTGCCGCACCAGCAGCAGACCCCTGTTTGCTGCTGAGGCCATTGCTCGAATCTAGAGAGACTCAGTAAGTATGCTAGAAGTCATTCTTGCTTATACTGCTGCTGATGCGGCCGCTGTGAATGATGAAATGAAGCTTTTCCGATCAATATAATGTGTCCTTTTGGGAATTGAGGAAGTATAACCGCCAGAACGCCCTGGGAGCTCTCGCGTCACCGCTTTTTCTGCTGCTGCTGCAGAAGGATGCTGCTCCTTATCAGGGCTGCAGCACTAGCAGCAGTGGTCTACAGCAACAAAAGAGGGAAACGCTGCGGCAAATTCCGGTGTTATGCACTTACGAGGCTATTGCCACATTCCACAGAGTGAAGGGGAAGGCGTTCCCTTCCTTTCTTCTTGCACCTGCTGCCCTAATCGCACATCGAGCGGCCAGCATGGCTTGTATTGAAGCAACCCCGGGCAAGGCTCGGATTGGTTAGTCAGCCAACTATCTTTTCGCCTGCCTATCTCTCCCTTGGGGTATATGTAAACCTCGGAGAGTAGATACACCCCGGGATGCAGATTCATCCTAGATGCGGTGGTCGCACTGTGCTACGCTCCACAGCGGTTGGGAGGGGGGAGACAGGCTTCGATCCTGTTCCTTTGCAAAACAGGAACTTGCATTGTAAGGCAAAAACAGTGAAGCCTGAGGCGCCAACTGGCTAGTGCCTCTGGGTGAGGGTGTGTGGTTTCAGGGTGGATCGGGACTGGCGTTATGGGTGTACGGATGTGCGAGAACCTACTCAAAAAGGGCTTTACCCTCAGTGTGCACACGTTAGACTCACACATGCGTTTCCCCCCCTGGCTGCTGCGGCGAAAGCCACCGCAACAGCACTAGGAACATTACCTGGCACGTGCCGCTGCAGGCCTAACTACTCAAAGGGAAACAGCAGCCGCAACAACACTGTGCGGGTGATGTGTGTCATACATGCCGCCTGGTGTGGTATTTTCTTGAATTCTCAGTCGTACACCAAGTAAGGCCGTCCCACTTCAACAACTGGGGGCCTCCGTTGTTTCGACTGCACAGGAAGTAGCAGAAAGGAGCGACATACTGTGTCTCATGGTCGGAACGCCTGCAGACGTGAAGAAAGTTCTCTGTGAGTACAGCGCAAGTAGAGCAGAATCAGCGTCGGCTCTGCCGCTACCCTATGTCGCGTTGCCACTGTAATCAGTTCCAGCAGTCGTAGGAGCACTCTGAACCCCTTGGGATACGGGGTCGACGCAAGCAGAGGCTTCTCCACAACTCTCACATGCGCTGATAGGAACCGTTGTGGCCTTAAGGATCCAAGAGGTCTGTCTGGGGCTGCCGTCTTGTCTATGTGTGTGTATGTGTATGTTTGTGTATGAATGTGTGTTTGTGCACGCGGTGGTGTCCTTTTCGTTATCATCTCAGTTGGACCGCAGGGGGCTGCTATAGGCCTCCGTTCGGGCTGCTGCCTGATAGATTTCACAACATCGGACCCTGCACTGGCAGAGGAGGTGTACGTACACCTGAAGTCGAAGGGTGTCCACGCACTGGATGCTCCTGTTAGTGGTGGTACGGAAATGCAGGGCCCCGCATGTCCCTCAGCATTGGCAATGCAGACCTGTTTTCAGGATGCAGCCGAAGTACCACTGCGAAGGCTTTAAGCTAGTGTGTTTCATGAGAATTAAAGGTGCACGCTGTGTTCATGTTTGTTCGTTCAAGGAGACATCGGTGCAAGGGACGGGACCTTGACGGTTATGGCCGGGGGAGATCCGGAGGCTCTTGAAGCGGTTCGTCCACTGTTCAATGCTTTGGCAAAGACTGTCATGCATGCAGGACCTGCAGGATCAGGCAAGGATGCCCAAGAAACCGTTTTGATGGCAAGGCTCTGAGGCTCTGTCATTAGGGCTGTTAGCAAGGACTTTGGGTGTGGAGTACGGGTCTACGATGAAAACTTTACGTGTATGCTCTGTATTTGATTTCATCATCTGCGCAGGCCAGAAGACGAAGCTCGCCAACCAAATCACACTGTGCACCAACCTCGTGGGATTGGCAGAGGGTATGAACTGCAAGCCTGGTGGCTTTGGGTTTGTAGCTTGCGGTCTGTGTGTGGGGTACTGTTACGGCAAGAGTCGAACTGCCCCATCTCCGAATCACGATGGCTTGTGCTGTTGATAGGCTGGCTAGCCGTTCGTTGTGTGATCTGCGCTTGCGGTTTGCTGGTGTGGGCCCACTATTCGGAGCTCAGGCCTGCTCTATGCGGAGCGTGCTGGCTTAGATCTAGAAAAGACTCTCGCCGTCCTCATGGGGGGCGCTGCCACTAGCTGGTGAGCTCTCTGGCAATTGCATGCCTCCGCAGGAGCAGCAGCAGCACGACCAGCGGTTGCTGCTATGCACCTTCCTGCTCCTGCCCCGGTTTTGCTTCTGGGCAAACAAGAAAAATTAAAGCATTACGTTCCTGTAGCAGCTGACAGCGCGCGTTCCGACTGCTCTGGCTAAGGGTGTGCAAAGCACTGCAATTCAGGTCTGTCGAGACGTATGGCCCACGGGTGCTAGCGGGCAACTTCAATCCGGGATTCGCCGTGGCTCATCTTCTCAAGGACCTCAGACTCGCTCTTGCAGAGGCAGCTAGAATCAAGCTCGCCCTCCCCGGTACCGCAAAATAGAGCCACTCTTTTAAATTCTACTGTGTCTCGTAGTCCTTATACAGTGGGAATGCAAAGTGCCGAAGCTGAAGCAAACACATCCCACAAGAGTCCAATGTTCATCCCTCTTTTCCACATGCCCCTACTCATGTGCTATGCAGTATAGTAATATCATGGGCTTTAGATGCGTTCGACCCTACAAAGGAGGCGGGAAACTGGTGTTTGTTGGTATTTTCTGGAGACCTCGAGAGGGCAGAGGACTTTACCGGCCCCACCTTCCTTGTTCCAGATATGCTGCCCCATGCTGCGTTCGTGTGCTGCGAGCTGCTGCGTTTTTGGTATAGGACTGAGCCTGGCGCTGCAGCTCTACGAGGCCCTTGAGGCCCAGGGGGGAGGGGTTCTTGGGGTGCACGCCCTGAAGTTGGCCCTACAGAGCCTTAACTCCGCAGACCAACGCATTACAGATGTGGCTGCTCAGACCCAATAATGGATAACGCTCCTTTTGGGAACGACTACTGCTCTAGTACCAGCATCAAGAGCTTTTACTGCTGGGATAGCCGTAGCCTTACAATGGTACTACTCTTTTTGCTACAGTTGCTTGGATTACCACCAGGGATAGCGGCACTTTACTTCGGGCCTTGGGTTGTTAAGGACGCCAGCTTGCATGGCTGGCATCCCCGAGACACCATCATGTGTCGTTTCAGAAGCCCAATTAAGACTTTGTATGCACTGACCCCCTAGTTGCAGGGCACGTCCGGTGGGTAGTTGTGCCAACATAGGCTACCGTTAAAGGCCAGCAAACGTGTTCCTGAGGATGATAACTATACACCCCCCACCGCATTGAAGATCCTACCAGAACATGGAAAACTATGCAGTACGTTTTCCGGGGCAGGTAAAAGGGTGTAATATATTTAGAACTATCGCACATGCCAACCTATTTTGCTGCGCACATCGGATCTCGATCCACAAAAGTGTCGCAGGCACCTTGAAGGAGCTGTCCCGTGAGTTATTTCGGCTCTCCGACATTCTCGCAAACGGGGACACTTCTGCGTCTTTCGCTTATTTGTTCGTTCAGGGACGACTTGGCGTGTAGTTCGACTGCTGCCAGTTGGGATTTTTGTGCCTGGTGGCGCCACCAACGCAAGGGGGAGGCGGGGCGGGGAATCGCTGGCTGGGGCTGGATAAATGAAGGTAGGACCCGCTTCGTAGATGCTTCTGGGTGTACTCGGTTTTGCCGTGTTCCTTACTGTGACTGCCGAGCTTAGGAATTCGTAGAGAAAAATTTACTTCAGACTCAATGCACACACACTTGCCAAAAATCATTGAGTGTCTCCCGAAAGAGCTTCCTTATTTCTCTGCCTGCGCGCCCTACGGGATGCCATAAGGGGAGGGGGACACACACTGCGAGCGCTGCTGCATTCTCTAGGCTTCCCGAGTAATCATAGCTAGTTGCAAATAGCATATTGCCTAAGTGCACGAAATGTCCTTTCGTATCGAGCGAACAGCACTGTACAACAAACAAGGTGCACGAATGGCTAAATTAGTTGGCCAAATTTTCCGCTTTATTTGCGAATTATATACTCTGTGTCGTAGAAGTATTTATGTGTAGCGTAGCCTGTTACGTCTTCCCCGCTTCATTTCAAGATCCCGCACTCGTCTTTCGTGCCTCTCCGACGAGATCAACTACATGCACTACAGTGAACGAGTTCCTGCCCTATCGCCAGTCCACTGGCAAGCAGAAAAGCAAAACAACAGAGCGAATGAGAAAAGCAGGTGTGTGCGTCGGCCGGCAAAGATAACTCAACAGGAAGAAGGCACACACACTAACAAGCAACGAAAGAAGAACCACATCGACACGACCGCGGCGGGGTAACGTCTTGATGTCGATGTCGTTGGACGGCTGAAATACGTGAGCCTGTTTCTACATAGAAGCAATGCCTGTCTCTCTTCAGATTTTCACCCATATGCACATGGACTATCCACCTGTTCTTCAGAAGTCCTCGCGCTGTTGTGGGTATGTCATGACCCCGGACCGTCGGGTCCAGGCTAGGACAAAACGAGGGTTCCTCTAGGAAGACTACCAAAAGCGAGCCAGCAACGGGTAGGAGAGTGGCCTTTCGTATAATATAACGACTGAGCACAAGGAAAAAGAATATGCCAAACAATTGGATTTGTGTGAGCCAGGAGTACCAAATACTGCAGAACCTGCCTAATTTTTATACGAAACCTTGCTAGATGATTATTCATATATATTTTACTACAAAATGAAGTTTTGTGCTTCACCACTACTAGTCCCTAACACTTCAAGAAAAGCAGTAATCATATACTAATTCTAGTGAGCTAACTGCTTGGAACCACATAAATTACGAATGACATTCCACTTACGTCAGCAGCACTTCCTTTCAAACAAAATCGCCCATTCGATCCCAGCCTCTCATGAGGAAGACTCTTGGGTGGAATTTCGTTCTTAGGCACACCATAAAACACTAACGAACTTCGGATTGCTTTCCGCAATGGTACACCTGCAAAATCCATGCAACTTTCATTCTTCAGTTAAGCGTAACTGAGTGGCATGCTGAGCTGTGACAGAGCCAGAGCCAGGGGTTATATGGGCATATGTGTTGAGTGAGTCGGCAGCGACGTCTACAAAAACCCCACACTCGAATTCCCGCATCCTACCAATTATGCCCATACTCAGGGCAGTTCGCTGTCATTCAGAAACTGGACGTGTGTGGAGAAGGCCAGTTTTTGGAGAGCTGAGCTGCTGGCAATCTGCTGGGCAGGATAGTGCACACTCTTCCGCCGCTGAACGCATCCAAGGCTACCGGATGGACTGTGAGAGCTTACTTACTACAGTATGAATACCATCGTGGCCCTTTCAAACATATTATTGCGTGCCTTGCTCAGAACGGTCCTGCGGAATGAAGTCGAGATATGCTGGCGACGAAGTCTCCGCTTTGTTTAAGCCATTGCAGACCAACCTTCAATGGGGTAGTGCTTTATCTTGTTGCCATTTTGGATATCGGCAACATTTTTGGGCCCGTGGTGTGAACAGCATACGGCAACCGCAGTGCGAATAAGAATGGTGGATCATTACGGACGACAACGGGCGTGCTGAACAAAAGCGAATCGCCGGGGCATCGCGAGAGAGCACGGCGAGCACGTTGCAGAGGGCCTTGATGTACTTGAGTGTGGAAGCATATTGCAGGAAGCACCCAAGCCAGCCAACAACGCTACATTATTGAGATTCTGAAATTCCTTGTAAGGCACAGGAAAGACTGGTGGTCGGAGAGCGCAGTACAAGGACACCCATATGAATAGTACCAGCGTTCCTTCACGTTTTACCACACCGCATAAAGCCCCCTCCTCACTGAATGCCGCTGATTGTTCTCAATGGGAGGCTGAATATAACAAGCAATAATTTGATGTTTTGCAGGACCAACCGCCTGTTGGGAGGAAACAGCACCTATGACACTCACTAGCATCGACTTAGGAGGAAGTGATGCTTATGATGGGGGAACTCGAATGGTGAAGGAGAAATGCCGGTGGGTTTGGTTGTCACTATTCGGTACATGCGCAAATTCCTTGGCATTAGCCCATTTCTACTCTCTGTCAGCCACAGCTCCAGCCTAATTTTCGAATGAAGAACCCGCCGAACAGTCAAAAAGACGGGATGCAGCGTGTTAAACCCCCATCTTACTGCGCTGCTAGAATGCTTGCAAGGGTACTTTGGGTCACTTTGTCAAAGCGCCGACTCTTCCCACTCGCCAAATATCAAATGAGCGTTGTTGAGGAGACCAGGAGTTGCTGCTTCCTAAGGCTTGCAGGAGCAATAAACTCCACAGTGCGCAGCTGTAGCCAGAAGCGCGCTGCCCATTGAGTAGCTCACGGCACACCTTGGATTACGACATAGTATACCGATCCATCATAGAAATCACGCACCATGCTACTGGAACCCAGTTCCGATTCAGCGTATCGTTTTGCTGCCATAGTTGTGCCGACTCCTGCCCTCTGCCGCCCTGTAGCAAACGTAAGCCATAGGGAATGCGACAGGCATATTGCACCTCTGCTCCGTCTCCTCGTCTAGCAGATCCATTTCGCGTACAGCATCGAGTGGTGCCAGCAATTCTTGCAGCCTGCTTCCGCTGGGCCCAGTCACGTTCTTCAAGTTCATGAGCTTTTGCATGCGCTTGCAGTTTAGGAGTAAATACGCTGCATTTCACCACACTAAAAGCCAACGCATTGTTGGCTCTTTCGGGCCTCGTAGGACTGCAGCTTCTTCCTGGTTTCTTTTTCATATATTGTGGACCATAGACTGAGGCCGGCTGACGCAACCCCGACATTCACAGGCTGTCGATCCTTATCCGGCCCTTTTATTCCAGTTCAAAGCGCAGGAGTTGGATTCTTGTGCTCTTGAAACGTCGAAAAACCCATCAATAGTGGGAGCCCTATGGGGCGTATGCTCAATCACTGAGTCGCTGCCATCCTGCAGCAACGCGACGTGGCACTTCAGGTAGACCGGACATAAGCCAATCATCAAGCAAACGCTCATAGAAGTTCTATCCTTTACAAAACTAGAGTTATATGGCTCTCAATGCACCGTAGTATTGAGAGATTTGTTGGCGTAGGCTTTCTCAATTCTCCCAGGGCTTGCCCTTTAGTTGATTTTGTCATTAAGAGATGCATCAGGGCTTGTATGAAGCTAAGGCTTCTACTGTCGTAATCCCTGCAGGCAGTCGACTTCTGCTTAAATAGAGCACCCACTGAGCTGCGTATCCCCCCAATAAACCTGCAAAGGAGTCCTTAATTTCTTTTTGACCAAGGGGTACATCGCAAGGTGCATCTTCGAGCGGTTGATGAAATTTATCAGTACTTGCTGGCCCTTCTAGGCGTCTTTGAAGGTACATTGACAGTGTAGTAGAAACTATTTAAACGTAGCTTAGCCCCTTACATTTTACAGCTTGTAGATGCATTGTGCCGCGACAGGACAGTACCGTGTGCTTCCGTTACTTTCAGTAGGATGACGCAAAGGCCACCCCTTTGCCTGTTGGTAGCCCTGAGACACCTTGTCCTCGGGAGTTCCTGTTATGGCAATTGTGCACTCAGCCTAAGGCACCGACGACGACTGTTACACGCTCTACCGTGGGGCGCCATGCCTGTAATCGAAGCCAGTACATAGAGATAATATGCACAGTTGGTCTATGTCAAGCAATTCTACGCGTTACAATTAGTCAAAACAATATCAATTGGGATCGTTGGAAGGACGATCCTGATGTGCAGCAGCTACTGCTACCATGCATGCATCCAACACCACCCGTATCAAGCAGCAGGGAAGGGCGAGGGGAGGGCGGGTCGCGCGTGGGGGTTATTCTTAGGGTTGTTTGATTCTTCTTTGTTGCAGTCTCTTTTCTGCTATATCTCGTCCGGACAAAATGGCAGACAAGGAACCCTCCGCGGCGGCTCCCGCCCAAACTCATGAGGATGAAGATGTAGCCAATCTGGAGCAGGAGGTCACTGAGGGGAACTGGACCCGCCCTGAAGTAAGATTTGTTCTAGATCTGTTCATTATCTTGATTCTTCTTCAGCAACGCAGGAAACGGGCAGATATCTGCATCAACCCCCTTCCGGCATGATTATAGGTTCTAGGCTCGAGGTTAAAGGTTCAGGGTTGGCGGCCTGTGCAGCCAGCCATTTAGTGGGCTTTCTGCTGTTCATGCCTTTTGAATTAATGCTTCAAGAGGGATTTACTTACAGGAAGCGAACTGCCTTGACTACTCGGGATAAGTACTCCTTCGTGTGGCAGGTGGTATGCCTACATGTGTTTGTCTTGCGCAATTTCTGTTTCTTTGGGTACTTCGCACCGGACTCAGGGGCATTGGTCCATAGAATGGAAGTGGCAGGTGCCTGGTCTATCAGGTCTATAGATAGCTGGCATTTTGGAATCGCACTGCAGCATGCATGCCAGAACGGCAGTTCTGCAACGCACGTGGTTTGATGTAGCATTTCGCGGGGCTTGGGAAGGCCAGACAACTAACAGATATAACTTCAGGCATTCCTTTTTTTGATCCGAACAATATCTAGAGCTCATTGTTCATGACGTTGGGAGGGCATGGTGCAGTTCCTTTTCTTGTGATTGCGCCCGAGTGCCCTGCACCTTTTCCTACCTTCTTGGTAGGGGGTTGCAGATAAGCAACCGTAGTTTTTGTATACCACCATAGTTGCATCATTCCTTTTGAAAATGGCTGTTGCGCACTTACGATAGGGCTGGAAAAATATGTAGAGTACGGGCGGTAATTATGCTTGGCTGAAACTCAAAGAATTGGTGAAGCACGCGTTCTCCATTCTCTCCGTCTGTAGTACCTGCTCAACTGGCGTCTTTTGTGCTAGTTATTATCCACCTCTTTTCTCTCATCTGTGGACTTGTGTTTCAGGTCGAAGTTCATGAGGTAAAGGTTGAGACTGGAGAGGAGGGGGAAGAGGCTTTTTGGAAATGTCGCTCCAAGTTGTACCGCTGGGCTGGTAGGGAGTGGAAGGAAAGAGGCCTAGGAGAGGCGAAGTTGCTGCAGCACAAAGAAACGAATAAAATAAGGTTTCTGCTGAGGCAGGAGAAGACCCTTAAGATCGTCGCAAACCATTACGGTGTGTTGTGCTCTCAGCATAACGAATATACCACAGAATCCAACACTTGTTTCCAATTGCAGTTTCTCGTAGTCTTGTGCCTCTGCATTTACATGCTTGGGAAGGTCGCATTTACACGACAAAATTTGAGCATGGCGCTATTTCAGGGTCCTGGGCAGAATAAAGACCATTATTAGACACCTGCTTGACAGGTTGTTTCCTCTGACTACGTGTCGGTGCACTTTCCTCCATTCCCCACTTGCTACTTCCCGATGCTATCAAGATAGTAGATTCTGCGCAATTTGTCTTCTCCCTAAACTCACGTGCCTTCTCTATGGCTTTGCGTTGTAGTGGTGGCGACTGATGTTTATTGCAAGCTGACGCCGAATGTCAGCTCTGAAAAGATTTGGGTGTGGACCGTGATGGACTTCGCTGATGGTGAACTGAAGAATGAACAGTTTGCTCTGAAATTCGGCCAAATTGAACGTAGGTGGATAATGGCACAAAGGGTGCATCCATAGACAGATCAATGAATCCTGTATTCCATCATGCGTTTCGACATATAAATGTGATTATTCGCCGTTTCTCACCTGCATGGGATATCGTTATTGTTCGATGTGCGCTCAGAGGCGAAGGAGTTCAAAGAAAAGTTCGAAGAGGCAGCTGCGATCAATTCGAAGCTGTTCGGCGTCGAGGACGGGGGCAAGGGTGAGAAGGGGGAACAGGAGGGGACAGAAGCAAAGGCAGAAAAATCAAGCGAATCAAAGGCAAAAGATGGTATTACCGAGACTGCAACAACTGAAGACAAGGAAAAGGAGGCTGCAAAATCGGAGAAGGCCTGAGATAGCTGTGTTGCCATGCCCCTCTACGCAGCATGCGAAAAACTGCAGGGAGGCCGCGTAGCTTGTCTAACCTTCATGACACAGCTATTTGGATTGCCGACTCAATAGCCGCGTTACTCTAGAGTTCTTACCACATCGTGCGAGCGCTTGCATAGGACATAGGCTGGAGTGATTGGAGCGCTTTTATGGGAAGGCAGAAGTGAATATTGTGCTGAAGCAGCGGCCCTTGACAGAGTGGCGGACCTTGTAATACCTTGCAGCCCATGAGTTGCAGCCCATACATGGAACCAACTGTCACAAAGCTTTTTCTTAAGGTTCACATTTATGTACTCAATGTTTTAACGCCTTAAACTATAAGCATGTCTTCGCCTTTTGCCGGACAGACGTTGCTGGTAGATCTAGGCTTCAAGGGACCAAAAGAAATCGCACGTTTTGCTACTGCATCAAACGTCCGTCTTGTAGCTTGGCCTATTGGCCATCTGTCGCAGCCTCTTGCTGTCTCAGACTTGCAAACATTGGACCAAATCCCTTTCCGTCATCGGTTTCTGCTGATTCGACCAACGGTAGGAGCAGCTATGCGCCATAAAATTGAATCGCGCACGACAGCAAGCCACGAAAAGAGCGCACAGTGCCAGGGGGCGGATTTGTTGATAAGATGAAAGAGTGTTGCTTCCTCAGTTGTTGGAAAGCCAGGCGTGGGCTGCGTCGTCAAACTGCAAACATGCTTTTGTTTCACGACCCCTGTGGTCGTCCTATGAATTTGTAACGACTGGGGTTGCACATTCTCTGGTTCCTCTGCTTTCTACATTCATGCAAATCGTTGAGGAGGAATTTGTACTGTGCTCAGTATGCGGCATACCATGCACAACTTGCTGCAAGGATGTTGCAGTGGACCTGTCCCCCGTATTCCTAGCGAAATTTCGGGGGAAGAACTGCTTACTTTGGTTCGATAAAGGCCCCCCTTACTTCTGCTTCTACCTAAGAGTAACCTGAGCTTCGGTTCTGCTCTAAAACAGCCGCTGCACAGAGCATATTTCGAATAACACGCCCCTCGTTGTTGGGCGTGCGAGTCTACGTGACAGTCACAGCGATTTAGATGTCGGATGACCCTCGCACACTACCTAATGGTCCCTACAAAGATTTTAAAATCCATATACTGCGAGCCTAAGCACAGGTGATAAATATTTTTTGCTGAGCCTGTGTTAACGTATGGTCGAAAATTGTTTTTGCGTCACTCACTTCCACACTGCATATTACACTTTAAGTCTCAGTCTTCAAAGCCATCAATGAATTACGTCCTCAATTGGCGACAGCAGAGACAAATACTCAAGTAAGAGTTCTTACGTTTCGCGAAAGTCGAAAAAGTCATCACTCCCTCAAAATGTCCGGGGAATTAAGAAAACAGCGCGGCAATGGAGAAAAAGATAAAGCTTGCATGCGGACAGCCCCCAAGAAAACGCGTAGTGGTGTGTCTAAACTAGATAGAAAATTCCATGGCAGAGTGGACGAAGGCACAGTCTGATGCAAATGTATCAGCCGTGCCAAACCCAGCTCCATGAAAGGGATGGAAACCCATACACCTTAATTACAGTACGACAGCATATAATTGACTCATCTGCATTATACTTTACTCACCCAGACCACCCGAGACAAGACATGCCGTTTGCTTTTCCACCCATACAATAGTGTCTTCAGTTCGCCCAAATTAGCGTTCCGAAGCCGCTCAGGAGTACGACTCCAATCGATGAGCTCATCGTAGGGAAGGGAATATCGGATGAAGCATCTGGCATAGGAGTTGTCGTGGTTGTTGATGACGGCTGAGATTCTCTGGCTTGCCTGGTACTCCCTTCCTGAGTCACTTCGGACACTGTCGTTAGGGATGCCTCAGGGTCGACGCCTCGAGCCTCTACTCTTGTTTGCTCTTGTGGGCCTTCGCTTTGTTGTGCTTGATTAGACACAGAAAACAGCACCAACGACACAAAACGGCTTGTAACAACTGCCTACGATCCGTACTACATTCGGTGTTCACCAAAGAAAACACCAGCAGCGCACCACGCAGTAGGACTCTATCTTCCTATCTAAAAGTCTAAGTGACGTTTCGCCTTATGCCTGAAAAATCTGGCTAAAAGTTCTTGAATGCGTACAAAGCTCGCGTTCGGGAAGCTCCGTGGTGGCCTCTTCGTCAGCAGCATCAACACCAACAGTCGTCAAAGTTTCCTCTACATCTGCAGAGCAACAAAAAGAACCACAGACAAGGCTTTTGAAACGCATAACGTGAGAGACGAAGGCAGCAGGTACAGCTGAATAGAGAGTAGACTTTTGTAGAAGACGGCCATCTTCTGCGCTCCCCCAATCGTTTGTGTATTAGCCCGCTGTGGTTCTACAGCTAGGCTCTCCTAGGGTCCCTGGCGCCGCAGCTCTGCCTCAATCTTCGTCCCTCAATGGCCTACTCCCTCCCGTAGTGCCAGACTCTCCAGCTAACAAGGCAGTGGCGCCACTTCTGCAACGCCCAGAATGCGTTCAACCTAGTCTGCCCACTAAAGGCAGTGTCACTATGGCGAACCCAAGGCGGAGCGGACTACATGAGACAAAGACAACCATAGATGTATGATTGACCTGCTGCGTTGATCTCAGCAAGGCTTAGGGATTGAAAATGCGCCTCCGCAGCACGAGGGGCCAGCGAGGCACCAACCGAAAACCTCAAGAGAGTTTCCAGCTGCTCACCATGCGCGAGTGGTACCCTTCCCTATGGAATCCCTAACCCGACCAAGAAACGATAAAATAAGAACTAGTGGCTGCATGTGAAGTGAAGCCCTAACAGGGCACACGTAAACCTCAAACTGCAAGAAACCCAATAACCATAGAGCTCGTGACCGTGAAGGCTGCTGTCAGCAAGCTCGGATAAACAGGGGAAGCGCCAGAGCTTGCAGAAGGGTTGGAACCCCCAGAGCTCCCAGAGCTCTGATTGTTCCCACTGCCTGAACTGCGCCCAGTCTGTGCACTGCGCCCAGAGGGTCCTACGTCTCCAGAGCTTTCCAACAAATTATTTTCTGAATCCGCGGTGTCCCCGTTTTCTCCGTCTGAACTCGCTATCCCCCGCAACGTTTTCGATTGCAGGCCATTAGTGCGCTCTCGATTTTCTTCCTCAGATGTGGTTCCAAACTGTGGTCCTACTGGACTGGAGAAATCTTCGAATTCCTCAAACACACTTGCCAAGGCCTCCTCAAGTTGATCTACTGAGCTCTGATGGGCAGTTTCAGTGAACAGAGCAGCAGCATCTAATGGCTTCGGTTCCATGCTGGCGTCAGTGGGTGCAGTAGGAGTAATGGGTGTCAGGAGATTTCCTGTGTCCGCTGGTTGGTATTCCGTGGTCAGGGTCGGTTGCGACACCCCAAGGTCCTTTCTGGTCGTTTCCTTTTCGTCGACAGGACCATTGGAGGCCGCTACAGGAGCAGGCAGCGTCTGATTTGCCGTGTTGGAGTTTGTAGAGACTTCGTCTGGCGCAGTTGGAGCACCGCTGGGCTTTGGGTCCTGTTGCTTCTCTCCCAAGTCCTGTCTATTTTCAGCACTTGGGGCTTGAGGAGGCTGAGCTTCATCTTCAGCCGGCGGTAGTGTTTCCTCACCTGTTTGAGGTGCCAGTTCATTAGGTTCTCCGGCTTGGTGTGCTGCGGCTGGCGGCGATTCCGGATCTGCAGGCACCACACTGCCAACCAAATAGCAGCCATCAGCTTTGATCCCCAAGGATTAAACGACTGTGCGGTTGATCCATGGAAAATGAGTCACTTCGCGCTGACGCACACTACTGCGTGCCTTGGGAACGGGCACTTGGGAAAGGCACACTGGGTACAGCTACATGATCCCCCCTACGCTAGCCCGGCTTTTCACGAACTCAAACTAATTTCAGCCACTAAATAGATGCATTGGGGAGACATATGGGATTTTCAGGGCAAAGTAACTGCTCGCAGGCATCGAATGGGACAGTGTCCTCCCCCCGCTTGAGTGCCAGGTCAAGTCAACTGTTGCTCCTCTAGCTTTAGAAAGCCACCCCCAGCAAATATGTAGCCTATAAAAAATTAAAGCGCATACCAGCATTACTAGGTGAAGTCACAGGAACTTCTGCCTCAGTATACACGCTGCACAAGGCTCCCACGGAGAAGAGGGCGAACACCTTATATGACCACATCCTCTCGGGTCTAGGAGATATAAGAAGAGATATTCAGGAAACAAGCAAGCAATACAAAAATGCTTCAAGTGAGTTCTGCAATACTATGAAACAAATGTCAGCCGCAGTGCCTTCTTTGACCTGCTCCTTTTGAGGGGAACGAGTGGGGCAGTTCATCGCTGGCTGGGCGCCATCCCTGCATGAACATGAACACATGTGACTAATGGCGGAAACAAGCCTCAAACAAGCCTTATCCTCATTTAAGTTCTCCTAAAAGTTGAAAGGTAGAGCGAAAGGGCACTTTAAAATTCAAGGTGCGATTACTTTACTCCCCCCCACACACACGATCCCTGAAAGAGTGCTCCCGCATCACTAGCTGCATGTTTTCCCAAATTCTACTCACATTTAGGCGTATTAGTGCAATCAAAGCATTATTGTACGATCAATAGGGGTTTGATAGCCCCAATATTTTTGTTTCATGCTGGAGTGCCTCCTTTTTGTGCAGGGGCACTTGAGGTCAGCCCCTAAGGAGAACCAGCGCATATGTCGACATGTTATGCCCCTGCACGGTCCAAGGAAACAAAGTGGTGGCACGTGGCCGCTCACAGCTATAATACCTTGCGCTTATCCAACACAGAAACAGCCATTTGCAGGGTCCGATCCTCCTAGTTCTGCTGGTGATGGAGTGGGCAAACACCGCGTACACAGCTACTTACGCACTGTTAGCGTCGTGTTAAGTCTCAGGGCGTACTAATACTGTGATTTACGTGTTATTGTATTTTTTGTTAAGGACCACTCTGTGTGAGGATGCTTGGAGCATCTAAGAAGACACAGCAACTTGCTCCGCACTTGTCTTTCCTCTGTTGAAGCCGACACCCTGCAGGATACAGGCAAAGACAATAACGAGCTTTTCCGAAGAAAAGTTGCAGCTTTTTCTCATATCGAGTTTTATGACTGAAGACTGAAGGTTTCCCTGAAGAAGCCTGGAGAGAAACTGATAGACTAGGCTGAAATTAAACATTTCCTAGCACACTATTTATCTTGAGCTAGGAACAGTTAAATAGCCAATTGCCTATTCGTATAACTATTATTTAAGAGTATTGTTAGCTCCCAAAGCTCGATCTCAGGTAATCGTAGGGAGATGCACTCCGGCTCAATCCGTACTTCGTAGAAATTTACTATGGTTATACCTAAACCCATTGCCTTTCTCTGCGCGGCAGTCCCAGAGTTTCCCACATGTGGGAAGAGGAACAGACAGGGTGCACGTAGCTGCAGCCTCTAAGCACTGTGACAAATCAGACAGAAATGCAGGTAGCATCTAGCACACACGCAACCAACATTTCGTCTTCTGTTGCAGCCTCTAAGCACTGTGACAAATCAGACAGAAATGCAGGTAGCATCTAGCACACACGCAACCAACATTTCGTCTTCTGTTGTGGTGATATTGCGACGCAGTAAGACATACGACGTCAAGCTGAAGGCCCAATTTTAACGGGTTCTTTCTCAAATATAAGTAGTGTAGTAGACAGTGCTTACATGTAGCCCAGCTTGCTACATATGCTCGCTTCATTTTAAGATCCCGCCCTCTTGTTTCGCACCCCTGCCTCGAGGCCAGCTGTCTGCACGCCGGTGAACGAGTTTCCGCCCTATCGACAGTCCACTGGCAGGCAGAAACGCATGACAACAGAGAGGAAGAGAATAGCAGTGGGGTGCATTAGCCGGCAAAGATAACTCAATGGGAATAAACGCACTTTAACAAACGAGCAACGAACGAGGAACAACATTGTCACGACCGCGGCGGCGCGACGCCTAGATGCCTGATGCCTGTGTCGTCGGAGAGCTGAAATGGGTGTGCCTGCTGCTTCTGGAAAGCAAACGACAAGTAGAATATGTAAAGGGAATCAGAATACGCCATACTTCTTCGGTGGCATCGCGTCTCCCAATGCAATCGCTACATCCAAGTCCACAGGGTGCATACAAAATAGTCCACTTCCAAGCCTCAAGAGAGGCATGAGGCAGCAGGTAGCGAAAACACACCTGAAAAGCCCTGACACGATTCTGAGTCTAGCGAACACCTTAAAGTTTTCAGTCGGGACCTTGTCAAGCAATACTCATAGATGGAGCTAGCTATTTCCAGCGGACCATTGTTACCGTAAGGACAATTACACAGGAGCACAAAGAATACACTCCATGGCGGCTAGCATTATCAGGCAAACAAGGCTGAAAATTCCCCTACAGGCAAAGAAGCACGCATCTGCATCCATTTCAATCATTCAAAATGCCTTTCTTCACATCACAGCACTAAGAACTCCCCTCTACTATGTCCTCTGCCATCCATAGCACTAGAATCCAGCACTATTACGGCTCCCTGTTAATCGTCCGTCTGCACTGTCCTATAATATAACGACTGAGCACAAGGAAAAAGAATATGCCAAACAATTGAATTTGTGTGAGCCAGGAGTACGCGAACACTGCAGAATCTACCTAATTTTTAAACGAAACCTTCCTAGATGATTATTCATATATAATTTACTACAAAATGGAGCTTTGTGCTTCACCACTACTAGTCCCTAACATTTCAAGAAAAAAACAGCAATCATATGCTAATTCTAATAAGATCAGCTGGGAACCACATAAAATACCAGTGGCATTCCACTTACTTCAAAAGCAGTTTTTTGCAAAAAAAGTCGCCGGTTCGATCCCAGCCTCTCATGAGGAAGACTCTTGGGTGGAATTTCGTTCTTAGGCACACCATAAAACACTAACGAACTTCGGATTGCTATCCGCAATGGTACACCTGCAAAGTCCCTGCAACTTTCATTCTTCAGTTAAGCGTAACTGAGTGGCATGCTGAGCTGTGACAGAGCCAGAGCCAGGGGTTATATGGGCATATGTGTTGAGTCAGTCGGCAGCGACGTCTACAAAAACCCGACACTCGAATTCCCGCATCCTACCAATTATGCCCATACTCAGGGCAGTTCGCTGTCATTCAGAAACTGGACGTGTGTGGAGAAGGCCAGTTTTTTGAGAGCTGAGCTGCTGGCAATCTGCTGGGCAGGACAGTGTACACTCTTCCGCCGCTGAACGCATCCAAGGCTACCGGATGGACTGTGAGAGCTTTCTTACTACAGTATGAATACCATCGTGGCCCTTTCAAACATATTGTTGCGTGCCTTGCTCACAACAATTCTGCGGGATGATGTCGGGATATGCTGGCGACGAAGTCTCCGCTTTGTTTGAGCCATTGCAGACCAACCTTCAATGAGTAGTTCTTTATCTTGTTGCCATTTTGGATATTGGCAACATTGTTGGGCGCGTGGTGTCAACAGCATACGGCAACCGCAGTGCGGATAAGAATGGTGGATCAGTACGGACGACAACGGGCGTGCTGAACAAAAGCGAATTGCCGGGGCATTGCGAGAGAGCGACGGCGAGCACGTTGCAGAGGGCCTTGATGTACTTGAGTGTGGAAGCATATTGCGGGAAGCATCCAAGCCAGCCAACAACGCTACATTATTGAGATTCTGAAATTCTTTGAAATGCACAGGAAAGACTGGTGGTCGGAGAGCGCAGTACAAGGACACCCATATGAATAGTACCAGCGTTCCTTCACGTTTTACCACACCACATAAAGCCCCCTCCTCACTGAATGCGGCTGATTGTTCTCAATGGGACGCTGAATATAACAAGCAATAATTTGATGTTTTGCAGGACCCGCCGCCTGTTGGGATGAAACAGCACCTATGACACTCACTAGCATCGATTTAGGAGGAAGTGATGCTTATGATGGGGGAACTCGAATGGTGAAGGAGAAATGCCGGTGGGTTCGGTTGTCACTATTTGGTACATGCGCAGATTCCTTGGCATTAGCCCATTTCTACTCTCTGTCAGCCACAGCTCCAGCCTAATTTTCGAATTAAGAACCCGCTGAACAGTCAAAACGACGGGATGCAGCGTGTTAAACTCCCATCTTACTGCGCTGCTGGAATGCTTGCAAGGGTACTTTGGGTCACTTTGTCAAAGCGCTGACTCTTCCCATTCGCCAAATATCAAATGAGCGTTGTTGAGGAGACCAGGAGTTGCTGCTTCCTAAGGCTTGCAGGAGCAATAAACTCCACAGTGCGCAGCTGTAGCCAGAAGCGCGCTGCCCATTGGGTAGCTCACGGCACACCTTGGATTACGACATAGTATACCGATCCATCATAGAAATCACGCACCATGCTACTGGAACCCAGTTCCGATTCAGCGTATCGTTTGGCTGCCATAGTTGTGCCGACTCCTGCCCTCTGCCGCCCTGTAGCAAACGTGAGCCATAGGGAATGCGACAGGCATATTGCACCTCTGCTCCGTCTCCTCGTCTAGCAGATCCATTTCGCGTACAGCATTGAGTGGTGCCAGCAATTCTTGCAGCCTGCTTCTGCTGGGCCCAGTCACGTTCTTCAAGTTCGTTAGCTTTTGCATATGTTTGCAGTTTAGGAGTAAATACGCCACATTTCATCACACTAAAAGCCAACGCATTGTTGGCTCTTTCGGGCCTCGTAGGACTGCAGCTTCTTCCTGGTTTCTTTTTCATATATTGTGGACCATAGATTAAGGCCGGCTGACGCAACCCCGACATTCACAGGCTGTCGATCCTTATCCGGCCCTTTTATTCCAGTTCAAAGCGCAGGAGTTGGATTCTTGTGCTCCTAAACCGTCAAATCATCATCAATAGTGGGAACCCTATGGGGCGTATGCTCAATCACTGAGTCGCTGCCCATCCTGCAGCAACGCGACGTGACACTTCAGGTAGACCGGACATAAGCCAATCATCAAGCAAACGCGCATAAAAGTTCTGTCCTTTACAAAACTAGAGTTATATGGCTCTTAATGCTCTGTAGCATCAAGCAATTTCTTGGCGTAGGCTTTCTCAATTCTCCCAGGGCTTGCCCTTTAGTTGATTTTGTCATCAAGAGATGCATCAGGGCTTGTATGAAGCTAAGGCTTGGACTGTGGTAATCCCTGCAGGTAGTCGACTTCTGCTTGAATAGAGCACCCACTGAGATGCGTTTCTTCCCAATAAACCTGCAACGGGGTCCTTAGTTTCTTTTTGACCAAGGGGTACATCGCGAAGTGCAACTTCGAACGGTTGATGAAATTTATCAGTACTTGCTGGTCCTTCTAGCCGTCATATGTTGGTGGGCGGCACAGCCTCAATAAAACCTCCACAAATGTTTTCTGCAAACACATTATGTTTTTGTACCAGCCGCAGAGCTACTGCGTGTATATCAGCATGCAAGCTGGCCTCTGTAGCCTTAATAGTACTGCGCTACCATCTACGTCCATCGCCGGAAGGTCTCTCCAAACTGCTGCCAAAACAGATAAAGGTCTTGCCGCGCCACAGTTACGATCGACAGTACTCATTTTTTGCACCGAAACCTATTATTTTCAACGCAGTCACAGCCAGTGGGTGAGCATGGAACAGAGGCATCGTGCTGTGCGACTGTAACAGCTGAAATCCTGTGTCTGAGGCCCACGTAGAAAATTAATTCGCTTCAGACCATAGCAAGCCATGGAAAGCTGTCAAGTGTTCTCCGAGAGGGCTCCTCCCTTCCGCTGCATGCGACCCTCAAATTCGACGTACAGAAAGAAGAACAGCGAGGGTGCACGCACCTGCGCCCTCTGAGCACTCTGACCATTCACTGTTAGCTGAGCAAGAATCGAGCTCAAAAACAGCGATTTATCCTCTTTTATCGCCGTAATAGTATTCGGCAATAAGTAAAATGCACGAAAGGGAAAACGGGGTGGGCAATCGTCTGTATCTGGCCAGTGTGTTAAATTGCCCAAGTACAGCCTTGCCCGCGACAGATTTGCTCGATATGGCATGGCTTTTTGGTTGGCAGGCCATTTATGAAAACCATATGAGAACTAAAGCTCTGCACACTCTACGAAGAAAGCCAGTCAGGTAGTAACGAAAGCCTATGTTTCGCCTTCGAATAATAGTCTTCATCCTGTTTGCTGAACGTTGACTGGTGTCAAGTGGCTGCACGTCGGAACAGTCCAGGCATGCACGTGTACTACGACGTAATAATTCGGTCTACAGGCACGCATTATGTCATTGTATGGTATGAAGGTGACTCTGTGGATCAAAACCCATATTAGAAAATGCAACAAAAGCATGCAGTCAGTTCCCCCTAAAAGCGACAAAGGGTGTGTCGTAGCCTAAAAGTACCTGCCCAGGAACAGTTTTGTCCGCTCCAGTGGCATAGCGCGCATATAGCAACCAGTGTGCAAAATTGCGTGAATTTATTCAAGCATCACAATAATTTCGCGTAATGAGCGTAGTTTGGTTGAATGTACACTAGACAGGAGCCATCGAGTACTGCAGCTCAACTTTCTTTGCCCAAACAGATTTAGCACCAAACCCCCAGCTAGAAGCCATGGTTGGACCAGAGCTGCGGCTCACCAGCTTAGTTGGCTGTCCTCAAGATAAGAAATTTGGTGGTGTGATAAGCTGGCATCATTTTGCATGGCAGGGCATACTCCTGTCATAATGCATAATAGGGGTATAGGGAGCCTAGCCTTCGCTTAACTGTAGTGACAGCAGCCGACCGCCAGTAGAGTACGACTATTGATCTCGACTCCGATACGCACATAATGCAGTATCTTTTTATACGGTCAGGTAGATACGCGCCATCCTTGAGCCATCAGTGAGAGAGTATATTTACACCAAGATAGTCCCCTGGGTGACATCACACGTATTCAACCCCCCTTTCCACAACATTTATTAGTTGGGGACATGTTTTGCCCTTTTCACCTTCTAGGCCGTCTGTCACCTTAATGTACTCACCATGTAGGCGCACAGAGGGAACCTCTATTACGATGGGGAAATCATCCGAGCTGTTCAGCTGGACAACCGGATGTTGATGGTTTACGCAAGCAATCTTCCACTTGCACGAAAGTTAATTTTCCATGGAGGGCGGCATAATTCACCTCGGGAAATTTGAGAAAATCCCACTAACAGCTGCCATAGAATAACGAAAAACAGGTAGGGTTTTGCAGTATGACAAGTGGTGGAGGGATGAAAGGCAGACATTTGGGAATACGGAAACTTTCGCACGTTGCGAGCTCCCAAGCGAAAGGAATACTCTCTTACACGAAATCGTCAGGGCAAAAGGGAGATCCTCCTTGTTTGGTTAATGAGGTGGACTACGGGCAAAGGGATCCCACCTATTTCCTGGCACCTCAGTGTTTGTAATATATATATGCAGGCTGATGCCTCCAGCTAGCAAGCCTTACCTTAATCCCTCCCCTGATTTGAGGAGGCAGTATGTTCAAGGTATATTCCCCAAACCAGGCCTTGCCCCTAGAAGACTGCAACGCACTTCCTTCCCAATCAGACTGTTTTCGAGCGTTGGAGAATTTGGATATTTGGTTGCATTTCACTCCAACTCTGTAGGTTCTGACTTGCTGACGGGTGGAGTAAATGTGCAGCGGAGAGCTTAACAATGCATTAATGGTTTCGAGAGCAAATAAGGTATTCTTTTACCCAAAAAGTTCATAAGAAATCAAGACTATACAGCGGTCTTTTTTGTATAGGTACCCCTTTACGCAAGTGCTTTTTTTTCTTGACATGGGGGATTGGGATTCCAAAAAAGTCAATAGTTATTACTCTGGTAAAACAATGAAGACTTGGCAGCCAAGCAGCGAACTAGCGCACCACTAGAAGTCACAAATCCTGCATCTTTCCATACTAAACGCGCCAGAAGCCTTGCTCTACAGATTGCATGCCAGTTTGTCTTGTATGTTGAGCTGTACGCATTCCTCGGCACCAGCCCATTTCGCTTTCGCAAATGCCGCAGCACGGCTCAGTCACTTGTTTCTAGCACCAATGCGGTTCCCGACAAAATCCAGAAGGAAGAGTGCTCGGAAAATGGGAGCCACGCGTCGAATACCAATCCCTCCCCCATAGGGGTGCGTCGTTCCTGAGTAACGTACACTGGGGTGCGCAACAAACTCCTTGTTTTAAGGCGATGTGATTCAATCGGAACAAGCTTCATTAGGGGCAATTCTCCTAACAATTCTCGAGGAGCCTGAGGAGCCAACCGCCTTAATGCGCTGTTCCACCGAGCACCCTGGGGATACACATTGAGGAGAGAAGCACAGTGTGGAATGAAGAAGAGCTTTAGAGCGACTATTAGGTGGGGGTTTCCGGGAGAAGGAAAATGTGATGATGCGTCTAGCTGCTCGCATCACTGCGCGACCTCAACACATGAGGAAGTTGGAACAGGCTTCCTTTTCCATTGCTTTCTGTGTTCACCCAAAAAACTACTTTTTATTTTTATTTTTTTGCTGCAGCAATGCACTGGATAGTGAATCTTGGAAGAGGAACTGTTTTACTTGACTTGATTACCTACCTCTATAAATAAACCTTCTATATAGGCACCGTCCTCTAGGGGGCTTTCAATCTGCTGTGGTACCTCTAGCTGGGTAAATTCGGTAAAAAGCACCAACTTATCTAAAGAAATGCCTTTTTTCCGGCTCGTAACTTGAATTAGCGCTGTTGATAAGGAACGCGGCATGTGCAGGCCACCCAGCCAGTAGCAACTTAGACTCCCCTATACAAACAATAAGGCCCACGCTCACAATACTGCAAAGCAGAGTGTGTTAAGGCTGATACTATGTTTTCACACAGCATTTGTTGGGAGTAGTTGCGGGAAGAATTCGTCTTCACAGAACTTGGCAGGGGCAAAAAGAGTGTGGGTTATGCATCGGTAATCACCTGAACTGTGGACAATGTAAAGTCATCTGGAAGCTCAACTGTGATTAAAGTGACAGGTTTACAGCTGTATTGGTATTTTTGTTGAGCATGCCTACGAACTAGCACGGGATCGCTCCCTCATAGCCATAAAAACGCTTAAATCCTTACTCGTTCTTTCCAAGTGGTGTACTGACTGATACGTCGCATCAGGTGGGAAATCCATGAACCCAGAGACTTTGAAGTTGGAGGAGCCAGTGCCCGCCATTGCCGTGGCAGAACCCCTGCCTGCAAAGACAGGGCAAGCTCGTCAAGGTCCATAGACATCCCAATGTCACCACGCAGCGCATGGCGAAGTTCGCGGAGAGATTGTATCACTGCTTGCAGCAGAATATTGAGCCGATCCAGTTCCTGGTAACAAAAAGTCCACAGGAAATTTTCTTTACTTTTGTTGCCATGCGCATCGGAAAAAATGAAAGACACAAGACCAGTGGATGCTGCAGTCTATAGAAGTAGAGAAAGGAGCAGGCTTCAAGGGCTCTCAGGCATCTCACTGTTACCTGAGCCAGAACAATCTCAATAGGCGTTGGTGGGTCGGAGTCGGGGCAAAAATAAAGCGGCTTGCTAGGCACTTTTTCGAAAATCTCTGAGATGGTAGCCACCAGAGTAGTTTCCTTTAGATTACCAAGAGCAGAGTCTCCTTTATTCCCCGAGTGACATGTGATGTTGATCTTCAAAAGGCCATGCCAAATGCTTTTTGCATTTTCAACGAAGTAACCAATCTCAGCATTGGGATGAAGGCCAAAGACTTCTGGATTACTGCTTGCT